AACAAAATAAAGAAATAAAAACGAAAAAAAAAAAAAAAAAAAAAAAAAAAAAAAAAACAAAAGAAAGAAGAAGAGCAAACACAGCGCAGCTCACAAAAGCCAACGAGTCTAAGCTGCAGTTGACCCACTGTGCGTTAATCGACGTTTGCTAACAAATCCACTTTGCATCGCCGAATTTTTTGTGTATTTAATTCGTACATTTGGCTAAGTACCAAAGCAGACAACGACAATAAATATGAATTTTTAATTAATATTAACAATTTGATAAATGTGCATGCAGACGCGCACAGTGGGGCAAGGCGTGCCAAATGGTTAAACAGGCAAAAGCTTTAATTATAAAATATATTAGCAATTAAATTATATGAACAAAAAAATATTATTAATTGAGATCAAATATTATTTACTTACTTTATAAATTTAATTATATATATATTTATATATTTTATTATATAATTATATATTTTTTCTATATTACTTAAAGCTTATTATATATATTTATGCAATTTTTCAACTTAATTTTTTTCTATATTTTTATGCGATTATTTTTTTCAAATGTGTTTTCAAATTTAATTTTATTTATTTTTATATTAAATTATACAAATTTATAGATTTTTTAAACCAATTTATAAGTTTTATATATTTAAGTTTTTTTTTTAAATATTATTTAAAAAGTTAGCAAATAAAGCTTTTTATAACAAACACTAAAAAATATAGAGACTTGTATACCATAATTATTAATCAATAATTTATTATTTTTTTAATGATTTTTTGGTTTTTTTACATTTTTTATATTTTTATTACGTTTTTTACTTTGCGCGTAAAAAATTGATTTAAAAATACTAAAAATAAACAACCATATTTTAATATGTACAAAATTATTTAAATTAAGCAGGTTTTTATTTCTAATTTTATTCATATGAATGAATTAAATACTGTTTAAAATCTAAACTGATTACAAAATATCGTTTTGAAAGGGCAACGTAGAAAACACAGTAAATCCAAAAACTTAAAAAGCTTTAAGCTTTTAGAGTGCTTTCATGGAATTGGTCCTAAGCTGCAAGAGTCAAAAGCACACACAAAAGCTCTGCGGGAGCATAAAACTCTTATGCTAAAGACGTCGCCTTTGAAAGCTCGCAGAGCTTTAGCTTAAGTTCTAAAGGTGTTTGCACCCTAAAGCTTTCAATCAGGTTCCAGACAAAGCGCAATATGTTACAGCTTACAATTTCAAATAACTGATAAAAATATATTTTATATTTTTGAAGACAAGCTTCAAGGGTTATACAAATATTTTTGGCAACTTTTACTGTGATTATTTCCAGTTATGGAAATTAATTGTATTTCAATTATTATGCGTATGCATATATACATATTTTTTATTCTTAGTAAGCGGAACCAGTGTGCGCTCGAAGCGAGCTTGAGAAACTGATTGTTGTAATATTAAAAGCGACGGCGCAGGCCACCGGCCAAATCAGTTGACGAGTTGAAGAGCTGAGACAATGGCAATCGATTGGACGCTGGTGTGGCTGGTGGCGCTCGCGCTGTGTGCTTTGATCGAAGCGGCACGGGCACGTGCCTCGCAGGGCATGCACGTTCAGATGCCGCACGGCGGCTGGCTGGTCGGCCGCCACAGGACCGCCCACAGTGGGCGGCATATGCGTGCGTTTATGGGCGTGCCGTATGCAGTGCCGCCGCTCGGCGAGCTGCGGTTTCGGGCCCCTGTTGAGCTGCCGCCATGGCAGGGCGAGCGCTTGGCCGTTAAGGATGCGCCCGTCTGCATGCAGCGTGATCCCTTCCGACGCGACATGATCATTGAGGGTTCGGAGGATTGCCTGTACCTCAATGTGTATACGCCGGATCCGGTGCCGGCGGAGCCGTTGCCCGTCATGATTTGGTTCCATGGCGGCGGCTGGCAGTGCGGCGCGGGCATCAGCAGCTTCTACGGACCCGACTTCCTGCTCGAGCACGACATTGTACTTGTCTCGGCCAACTTTCGGCTGGGTCCGCTCGGTTTCCTCAGCACCGAGACGCTCGATTGCCCGGGCAACAATGGACTCAAGGATCAGCTCCAAGTGCTGCACTGGGTGCGCGACAATATTGCCGTCTTTGGCGGTGATCCGAACAGCGTGACGGTGTTTGGTGAGAGTGCTGGTGGTGCCAGCGTCACCTACCATATGCTCTCCGAGAAATCGCGCGGTCTAATGCATCGTGCCATTGCACAGTCGGGCACCTACTTCAATCCATGGGCGCAGCCTGCCCACAAGGGCGTGGCCGCTCAACGTGCACTCAAATTGAGCGAGCTGCTGAACTGCACCGTTGCTGGTGAGGATTGGGCAGCGCGCTTGAACTGTTTGCGCGCCAAGCGAGCCGAAGACGTTGTAGCCACGCTCTACGATATGTTTGTAAGTTGTTTGTGTGCATGTGTGTGTGTGTGTGCTGGCAACATATAAAGCTCTACTTTTAGGTTTGGGACTTCGATCCGATGATACCTTTCCCGCCTGTCATTGAGCCGGAGCATGAAGGCGCCTTTCTGACGCAACGACCACGTGAGGTGGCACAGCGACCGCATGGCCAGGCGCTGCCCCTAATGATAGGCGTGACAGCCGAGGAGGGGCTGCTGAAGACGGCGGCCCTGCTCAATTTGCCGCATCTTATGACCGAGTTCAAGTCGTCATTCGAACGTCTGCTGCCGGTGGTGCTCAATTATGATCATCACGAGGACGAGAAGCAGCAGGAGATAACGCGTCACATCGAGAACTTCTACTTCAAGGCGGGCCACAACTACAACAAGTCCAACCATCAAAATCTGACCGATGTAAGAGACAGAAAAGAGCATCCGATAAATATATATCTAAAAACATACATATATATAATGTTGTTTTCAGCTAATATCTGATGGCTGGTTTGTGGCTGGTGTCGATGAGTATCTACAGCTGCGCTTGGATGACCAGCTGGCGCCCACCTATGTCTATCTCTTTGATCATAAGGGTGCGGCTAGCTTCTCCGAGATCTTTAAGGGCGCGCACAATGAGTTCTATGGCGCCTGTCATGCCGAGGAGCTGCAATATCTGTTTCCCATTGGCCAGGAGCTGTTCGTCAGCGCTGTGCCGACGCGCCAGGATCTTGAGCTGCGTGACCTAATGCTGCGTCTCTGGGTGAACTTTGCGCGCAACGGGTATACCACTTTATTAGCCATTGCTGAAAACTTCAACTAAAACAAGACTCAATTTAATTTAGTGATCCTAATCATATCAATGGCACCAGCAACCTACCCACCTGGCTGCCCACGCGCACGTATCCAGTGCAATATGCCCGACTGGGCTCCAAGTTAGATTTGGACGAGACCGAGACTCCGCCTTCGCTGCTGCGCATGGAGGTGTCATTGTTGCAGCATCGCGCCGACTTCTGGCGCGAGCTGAAAGCTCATCTGCCTGCCGATTCGCCTTCACAGCACCGCAACGAGCTGTAAATTTATTATCATATTAATATAGCACATTATACGAATTTACGTTTTGCTTTAGAAAATAAAATAAATAAGAAATAAACATCGAGTGTTGCCAGATCCAAGCATAAGAACGGTAAGAAACGGTAACACAGCGTTACCACCGATAACACACGCATATTCTCGCATTGATGTAAAAACGAAGTGAGAATGAAAATAATTGGATTACGACAAATGCGTACATGTAAACAATTGGAACGAAAATATAAGCGGTGTAACAATAAAAAGCAGAGTCAACAATGTAAATTGTTAAAAAACAGTCATACGCATCGTGCGCCTTGCCATTTGCATACATATGCTTTGTGTAAGCGATAAATGGCATTGCAGATGAAACCGTCTGGCAACCCTGAAAACGCAAAAACGTAGTTTCATTTTTTTTTCAAGCTGGCCGACATTGACATACGCATACGGACAAAATAAATACACATACACACATATACATATATATATATATATATATATATATATACGGCAGTTCGAGTTTTGTTTGTTTTTTGTATATATATATATATATATATATATATATATATATATATATCACACACATATATATATACATATTTACAAATATATATTGTATATATACATGTATATATAAATATATATATATTTATATATATATATGTATATATATATATATATATAAATATATACATATATATACACAAACACATTATATACATATATAAAAATAAACACTTTGCAACTTTATGCCACACGCTCGCAAATACCAACGTGGTGTTTTTCTCGCTTAACTTGACCTCGAGCTGCAATTTTGAACTAAAGTGGACGACAAATGGCTGGCTCGGCGCTGCGTCGCCTGATGGCGGAATACAAACGTAAGTGTTCGAAACTTTGGGCAAGTGCTTAAAAGATATTTGCGAGGCGACGAGGGCGACTGCGACGGCCTGCGCGCTGCGGGCCAGCAATGGCAGCTGATGAAAGTTCAACAATTCACTGTTATAATGAAACTGTCTCTCTCTCCGTCTCGCTCTTGCAATCTTTGCTGCATTTCACAGAGTTAACAATGGATCCGCCAGAGGGTATCGCCGCTGGACCCATCAGCGAGGACAATTTCTTTGAATGGGAGGCGCTGATTGCGTGAGTTGCCAGATCGTATACATATTCATATGTATATGTATGTGTGCACATATATCTAATCTATTCATATATATATGTATTTTACAGCGGACCCGAGGGCACCTGCTTTGAGGGCGGCGTGTTTCCAGCCCGTTTAGTTTTTCCACCCGACTATCCATTGAGTCCACCTAAAATGAAATTCACTTGTGATATGTTTCATCCAAACATCTTTTCCGATGGCCGCGTTTGCATATCAATATTACACGCACCCGGCGACGATCCTATGGGCTATGAGCTATCCGCCGAGCGCTGGAGCCCCGTTCAAAGTGTCGAAAAGATACTCCTGAGTGTGGTTAGCATGTTGGCGGGTAAATTGATGCAAATATAAAAGATATATACATATATATATGGATAGAATCATGTAACTAATCAACTGACTCCCATTAGAGCCGAACGACGAGAGTGGCGCAAATGTGGACGCAGCGATTATGTGGCGCGAGAGGAGGGACGAATTCAACCGGATCGCACAACGATTGGTGCGCAAGACACTTGGCTTATCGGCATAAGAGCGACTGCAGCGACTGATCACTAAATCCACAGCAAACAAAACAACAATAGAAACAAAAAACAACTGCTGAAAGAAAAAAATATATGAGAAAGGAAGAGGAAGGATAGAAGATGAAGACAAAGAAGGGGAAGAGGATGTGGAGGGGGACGAGGAAGAGGAAGAGGAGGAGAGGCACATGAAAGTAGCCACTCACAGAGAAGCCGCAATTCCGACCATCGAGGATTAACGAACGCTACCCACTATATATACCAGGAAAATATCTGGGATGGAATCGAAACAACTAGAAGATGAAAATAGAATGCAAATCGATCGCTAATGCACTTCCTCTCATCTGTATGTGTGTGTGTATGTGTATATATATATATGTGTGTGCGTGCGTGCGTGCGTGGGTGGGTGGGTGTGCGTGTGTGTATATTGGGTTCAGTGGCTTGGTATATATGTAAATTTTCAAAATTTAGGAGATCAACATGATGAGAGAAGGGAAATGGGAAAAGCCTTCGAGAGGAAATGAGCCGAAAAAGTGCAGCAAGAAATCAAGCAAATGGGGAAGAACATGGAAATTCGAAGCTAATCAGAAAATACCAAACAATATGTCCAATTGATATTTCGAAAAAATTAAAGTCTTTAATTTGTAGTGTAAAAAATCGAAAAGAAAAAGAACGAAAAAAATAAGAGAAGCAAAACAATGCAATCCCAAGTCTTATAATAATATAATACCCATGTCATTCACTTTCAATTTAGCACTATACAATTGTTTCCTCCAAGCCCAAGCTAGTTTCAATTTTAAGTCTAAGTAAAAACGAGAAGTTAAAGCCCGACGAAAAACTGGGGAGAATAAAGTTTAAGTTAAAACAAACAAACAACAGCTAAATATGTGAGCCATCAGTGCAATACTCAAAATAAGGACTTGTTGGGCATGGCCTGCGTCACGTGCCGGCGCTATGCCCAAATGCACAATTGTAAACAGTATAGACATAAGCCACTGCATGTTTTGTTAACAATATGTTTTAAAAGTCCTGTATACATAATTATTACTTGTATGGTGTATTGTGTATTTATCTATGTTACTCACCTCTTAGATGTGCTGCTAAAGACATTGTTTAGGTTTTTTTTATTATTGCTCTAAATTAAATATACATCATTTATGTTGCAGTTCGTTGCTATTGTATATTTTGATTAGAAACTGATTAGATATTCACCTGTTATGTGTTCACAATAGTCGTATTTGAATAGTTGCGCCTCATCAAGCGCTGCCAGATGCAATAGCTACGTTAAGTGTGCCCAGCTATGTAGACAACTGAACAGTTCAACTTACGCAATTTATGTATATCATAGCAATGTATACGTTTAGATAACTAAAAATATAAAATTAAAAATAGACTGAATGAAAAGAGCATTTGAATAATCTTTTAAGTATGCACAATATTTGTATTTAAATAATTGCGTCAAACCAAACGTTGCCAGAGATTGTTTAAATGCAGCGTACACTTTAAGTGTGGCGTTTGCTTGGCACAATTCTGTACAGTAAAAGCTTCAGCAAAGCATACGTATAGTATTGATAATTACAACTATACATTCAAAATTCAGTGATTCCAATTCCTTAGGCTTTTGTGTATTCACATTCGTATTTAATTAATAGCGCCATAGCCAACACATAGCTGCCACACTGAATGTGTTTTTATCGGGTATTATTCGCCCAATGCAATCTGGTCGCACCGCAAAAGGTATTTTCAGTTATTGTTTTTGCTTTTAAGTCGGAACACGCAGCGTGCTGTGTTCAAAGCTAGTTGTTTTCTTTTTTTTATTGTTATTACATCGCACGCCGAATAAAAAAAAAAAGTAAAAACAAATAAAGGTATGTTAACGAAAAGCGAGAACACAAGTGCTAATATCTAAAATATATATCACAGTGAGCAGCGACATTGACCCAACTTTTAATCAAAGAAGAAAGAAGACAAATCTCTACGTGTGCGTGTGTGTGTGACTGATAAAAATAAGCGCAAAGTGAAAATGGTACTAAAAAAAAGAGTACCGCATTAAGTGGATGAAAACATGACGCATGTTGCTGCCGCTTGACACACACGCCAGGTGTGTGAGTGTCTGCGTGCGTATGTATGTGTGTGTGCGTGTCAGTGTGAGTGTGTACGGGGCCAACTACAGTGTGGAAGAAGAAGAGTTGTACAATATGCTGTGTTTTTTCAATATACTTTCACATAAATACATTTATTTAACCGCAATTGACTGTGCATTATAAATTAATCATAATAAATAAATAACATAAGCTCATTTCATCAGCTAAACACACACACACACACACAGATTGAGAGAGAGACGTGGGATAAAGTGGGCATGCCAACGCAGCTCAATGTCCAATCAGAGTTGCCAGGCTGCAAATGCATTTTTCTATTAGCACTCCCCGTTAAAACATTGTGTAATGTTTGCTTACTTACTCCAACCCCCTTCCACCCGCTCTCAACAATTAGTGCAAGATTTATCATTGTTACTAACTGTACAAGTCGCATGGCTAAAGCAGCTGACCACACACACACGCTCACGCACGCACACACACACACACGCTCACGTACGCACACACACACACAGATATAAACGGTTGCTGCATAAAATTTCATAAACAAAACGGAAAGCGCTGTAATGCCAATTAGCATATGCAAAGCAATTCCAATTCGATGTACTATTCCATTTCGAATAATGTATGCCAATGTAAAAAAAGTCACTCGAAATGCTAAATAAATTCCAGTTCCAATTCCAATTATTTGAAGTTCGGTTTTGTTCCGAGAGTTTCGCAACTTCTACCGAAAACAAATTCATCTCTTTGAATCGAATTTTTTGTTTGCGTTAACAAGTTGTTGCGCCCACGTAGCAACAACACAAAGGAGCATCATTTGTTTATTTGTAAATAATAGCGCAATGCGAGTGTGTGTGACGTCATTGACGTCAGCTGAGATAAATAACCCAAAATTAACCTGAATTTGGCTTTGTAGATTCTTATAAGATCATTATGATGCAATGACACTTCATGCTAATTGCAGCACGACAGCACTGTCAAAGAAAGTATCTGAACTCGACACGAGCGCTGCTTCAAGTGTAGCACTAAATGCCAATTGCAGCACGGCAACACTGGCGGTTTGGTTGTTACTTGAATTATGCTAAGCTGACACTTCATTATCAATATGACAGCTCGAGATGGCGGCAGAAGCCAGCAACTCATACATACTGTCATTTAGTGTTCGACCACACTGGTGCTCTAGCTGATATTTTATGAGCAGCAACTGTCATATATACTACCAATTGTGGCATAGCTGCTACCAATTGCAGCAAGGCAACACTGACACCAATATGGCAGTTCAAACTAAGATTTGCCAAGTGTCATAGTCCTCTCCCTCTCTCTTTCTCTCAGCTCTCGCGACTGCAGTTAGATTAAGCAGCTGTCATACCCGCATAAACATAACAATTCTAATTTGAATACTTTTCCCGCACTCTCTCCCTCTCTATTTTCTAGGCTAAGCCCGACTTTTAAGATGCTTTCGCTGCAGAATCAACGGCAACCAAAGACGACGCCTTTGGTGGACGACTACGAAATATCGGACACGGTGCTCGGTCTGGGCATCAATGGGAAAGTGGTGCAGTGCACCAACCGTCGCACCAAACAGAATTATGCACTCAAAGTGCTGCTGGACAACGAGAAGGCGCGCCGCGAAGTCGACCTGCACTGGCGGGCCAGCGGCTGCAAGCACATTGTCAACATCATCGATGTCTACGAGAATACGTATAGCGGTCGCAAGTGTCTGCTGGTCGTGATGGAATGGTAAATAGACTTAGTCCAGTTGGACAAGGGTATGCGAGTGCTCACTGCCGAGGAACCAAATTACGATGAGAAACAGCATGGGACTTTAGGTACTCCAATTAGCTGAATCAGAAATAGCACTAACAAAGCAGATTCCTATTGGACAAATTACCAATGTAATTAACGTTACTCAATCAAATCGCTTGTAAAATAGCAATTCCTATTGGATACGTAATGCCACTAGTCATCGCTGTGTTTTAGTTGTTCAATGAATTTCCAATTCATCCATATGTTATTTTCTAATTGGGTCGTTAAATTACTATTCCAATAGAATGAGATATACGCCAATTGGAGATTTCAACTTAATTATTTCAGATTAATACGAATCCAATTAGACCGAACACTGCTTGTTTAGACTAAATCCCAAGTGGATATTATTACCTTCTCATCAATCTAATTTAAGATATGCAATCGATTTCTAATTAACTGCCGCATCCAGCCAACCAGCAATTGTTGATATTCCAATTCGAAACAATAACTCAGAATGGCACACGCTATGAACAGTTATTCATGAATTCCATTTTCGCACGCAACTCAATTAGTGCGTTGCCACCTTGTTTACATTTTGTTGCCATAAAGCTGCCATAAATCCGCATTATTGCGCCATAATTAAATAAGTTTTGAGTTTTCTTCTTCCTCTTCGTCTTCTTCATTGAAACTAATTTGTCGTTAATTCGCATAATTGAGTGTATGGCCCTTACCTGCGGCTCTAGAAATAGATCAAAGACTCTAGCATTTGCTCAGACGTTTTAAAAGGCGGCGCAACTTCAGCTGGATAAGTCGGATGAAGTGTATGAGAGAGATGAATGACTTGAATCAAGGCTAGAGCGAGGGCAACGCAGTGTGTGTGCGTGTCTCTCTCTTTCTCCCTCTCTCTACATATATAAGCTACAGTTACATGAATGAATTATGATTACAAGTGAGAGCTGGAAAGGGTGGAGCCAAGCAAGGAAGAGAATGTGAAAACTTAGCTTGTGATAGGCAGAGAAAAGGAGAGAGTGAGAGGGAAAGACCGAGCAAGACATATGAAAGGAGAGAGGATTGGACCAAAAGGCAAATAAAGAGAGAGTGCACGAGCTTACGTTCTCTTACTCTCTTACTCTCTCTTACACACTCACACCTATTTCCTTCATCAGGAGTGTAGTGAGAGAGACCTTACATCTCTCGTTCTTTGCCTTCCTCTCTCTCTCTCTCAGTCTACGTCTCTCCCCTTAGATAGTAAAGAGAGGTCTCTCCCCCAGCCCTTCTCTCTCTCGCTCTCTCTCTCTTTTCGTAAACGTTTCACTGGCTTCGTCAGCAGCTCACACACTTTATTCACTCGACGCATTCTCTTTGGCAGCATGGAGGGCGGCGAGCTGTTCCAGCGCATCCAGGACAAGGCGGACAGCTCGTTCACGGAACGGGAAGCGGCGCACATCATGCGCGAGATCTGCGAAGCGATCTACTATCTGCACAGCCGAGACATAGCGCATCGCGACCTGAAGCCGGAGAACTTGCTATACACGACAAAGCAGCCGAACGCGATACTGAAGCTGACGGACTTCGGCTTCGCCAAGGAGACCTTCACCAATGACACACTGCAGACGCCCTGCTATACGCCGTACTATGTGGGTGAGTGCGCCCAGACGTTGCCGATCGTTGCCCGATCGATTGCATATTCATCGAATGTTTCTTCCTCTAGCGCCGGAGGTGCTCGGCCCGCAGAAGTATGACAAGAGCTGCGACATCTGGTCGCTGGGCGTGGTCATGTATATCATAATGTGCGGCTTTCCACCGTTCTACAGCATCAACGGGCTGTCGATATCGCCGGGTATGAAGAAGCGCATACGCTCGGGCCAATATGACTTTCCCGATCCCGAATGGACGCACGTCAGTCAGGCGGCCAAGGATCTGATCAAGGGCATGCTCAATGTCGATCCCAGCAAGCGTTTGCGCATCGAGGATGTGCTGCGCAACAAGTGGATAGCCCAGTACGACGCCGTCCCCCAGACGCCGCTGTGCACCGGACGCATGCTCAAGGAGGGCGAAGAAACCTGGCCGGAGGTGCAGGAGGAGATGACACGTTCGCTGGCCACCATGCGCGTCGACTACGATCAAGTAAAGTCCAATCGATTACGCGCCCAGTGCCGTCCCTAATCCACTCACTCTCTCAACCATTCCAGATGCAAATCAAGGCGCTGGACAAGTCCAACAATCCCTTGCTGACGAAGCGCAGGAAAAAGATTGAGGAAATCTATGCGGAGCACAACAAATAGATTTAGCGGCCGCTGCCAGCGTGAACAAAACCAGGCCAAAACCCTTTACCCCCTCTAACACACACGCACACACACAATTCTGTGTGTGGGTGTGCGCCTGTGTGTGCATAAAGAAGAGATAGATTATAATAGGATTTATATGCCACATTTGGCGTGCTTCTCTTATTATATATATATATATATATATATATATTATGTATTTTTTGTTTGTCTTACGTAAGCGTTTTATGACCCCAACTTGATTTTGACCATGTTAAACTATACGATCCTGTCCTGCGTCCAACGTGTGTCCCATGTATGTATGTATTCGTATGTCCATCTGCATCTCCATTTCCATTTCCATTTCCATTTCCAGTAACGGTTTTAAGGGTATAGCTAAAAAACTTCCTGTCTCTATCTATCTATCTATATATATATATATATATATATATATATATATATGTATATATATATATGTATATTTATATATTTATGTATGTTTATATCTATATCTGTACTATAGGTCGCTAGCTTTGGACCCGACTAAGAAAGCAACTGAGTTTTAATCCAAATTGTTTTTATACTTAAAAACTTTTCAAAATATGCCCGACTTTTGCAAGTGATGTCTGTTAACTATATATAGCATTAGATCTGCTCTGGTTGGTAAACAAATTGACATATATATGTATATATCTATGTATATATGTATGTATGTATGTATTGCTTCGCTTGCTGCTGACAGCTCTATATACGATTTATCATATAAATAAAGTATTTGTAGTTTATAAAGTCGAAAGAAAAAACCTTGAATGTTTCATTATAATGAAAGTTTGGATCAAATTGGACTTTGTATAAGTATGTATATAGCTATAGTAAGAGATAGACAGAGAGAGAGTGAGTGGGTTGTATTATATATATGTTTAAGAACTAGTTTTCATATAGAATGTAGAGATCACAGCCTAGAGGTCATTAGGATAGCTCCAATCCGGGTAGATATAGAAGTGCCTTAAGTTACTTAAGATTTATAACAGTTTCTGCATGACATAGAAAATCTATGAATAATTTCTATGATATCCATAGATATATATTCATGTAATATTAGATATATCTCGCATGTCTAGATAACTCATAGTTATAGATATTTCGGATTCATAAATATCATATCTCTAGAGGTATCTCATATGCTGGTCATTTCATATTCCCAGATACATCATTAGCTTGGATAGGTATCCATGCATATCCCATATTCCCACAGATATCTGACATCCATAAACTCATTTTATATCCTTAAATATCGCATAGTCCTGAATTACTGATAGCGATATGTTCTTAAGTATTCATAAATATCCCATATCCATAGACATGTCTTCTATCCATAGATCTCTTCTTTCCCTAGAGATATTCCATATCCATAGAGAACTCTGATAATCATAGATATATAGCCCACATATATATTACATCAATCTCTAATAGACAGCGTTGTCCTAGGCATGCAAACGGTCCACTTAAAACACTTTAAATACAGCTAAGCCTGAAGCTGGTCAAGTAGCACACTAGTTAGAGGGAGTTGGCTATACATCTCTCTCTCCCTCTCCCTTTCTCGCTCTCTTTCAGCTCACATAATTCAAGAAGAAATTTGTTTAGAATTAGCAATACGATTGCTTTTCATCATTTATTGACGTATGTATGTATATAACATATAACAGTGCAGTTTGACACACACACACACACACACACCTGCATACACGCACACGCAGTCATACGCTAGGAACAGTTCCTTAGGATTGCGCTTGGAGGGAATTGTGCCAGGGTAAAGCATTGCAAATAACAGTTTGCTAAGTGTTGGCTCAGTTCAGTTGCTAACGGTATAAAATACATGAACACAACCACACGCGCACACACAGATGCACGCACACACACGCACACTCGTACACAAAGAGCGCATACGCTCAAGCAAAAGTTGTTTAACTTATAGCAAAATCATAAAACAAAAACAAGCAACAAACTATATATATATACATGATATATGTAGTATATATATAAAAATTCTAAAAACCTACAACATTAGTTAACAATTTGTATTCATTTCTTCTTTACATAAATTTGTTGATTTCATTTCTAATAGATTTTTTCGTTTCCTTTACGTTGGTGGTGCCAACTTTACAAATTGTGCTGTCTATATCTTATTGCAAGCATAGCCTAGCTATATATACATATATATATATATATATATATGTGTGTATATATATGTGTGTGTGTGTATAGTACATGCATATAGTATCTGTTCTATAACAATTTTGTTTCCTTGTATTTGGTTTTTAGAAAAATACATATATATATATATATTTATAGTAGTATATAGGTTTCAACAGTTGGTGTATTTTAGTTGCTTAAAGTATTTCTTGTATATATATATATATATATATATATATATATCGATATATATGGCAGATTTGCGAGATTCAGCTTGGCTTATTCAAAAATTTTCCGCTGATTCAATTCCAATTCGATTTTCCCTTTAAAATGTCGCTTATTCAGTATAGTTGAGTGTGTAGGTGTGTGTGTGTGTATGGGTGTGTGTGTGCAGGTGTGTAGGTGTGTAGCTGTGTTCGTGTGTGTTTGGTTTTGTAAACTGAAGGTACATCATTTCCATTTCTTGCACATTCAATTGCTTATCTTCCGCTTGGTTTAACAATCGCCTCTTGACAGGCAACTCCGTATAAGTCCGAAATAACTCCGAAATTAATCCCTAAATAAAGCTATCGCAGCTGTTTTCTGCTTCGCTGTTGGAGCAGTCCATTGCTGGCAATGAGCCGCCACGCCTATACGTCCATTGGCGCTGATACGCATCCTCGGCATACGGCAGCTGACGCACTGCAGACGCACGGTCATGATCGCTATTGCTTCCGCTTCCGCTAACGCTGCCGCCGCCGCCGCTGCCACATCCGGTGCTGCTTTGACTGTGGCTGCTACGACGATTCGTGGTGCTGGGCACAGCAGCTGCAGCAACAGCATTCAGGCGCGGAAAGTATTTGTACAGCTCCAGCAGATTGTTGAGCCTTATGTGCGGCTTGTATTCCACATCGTCCAGGCACTGCGAGGCGCTGCTGCTGCTGTTCAGCGGCGTCCAGAACGTCAAGCCGAGCTGAGCGAGATGACCACCCTGAACAACAATAAGAAGAACAGTTAGTGAAGCTTAGTGAAAGAAATTGATATGGATAGAAAGGATGCAGGACAAGAGAGGGAAAGAGAGGCTACGCCTGCACCTCCACCTATTCCACACTAATAACAGTTGTAACGGTACTGAGCTTAAAGCTCTCCATGCATTTGTGTTCCTCTTTTTAAGCCTGTTCAGCTTAGTCCCATACATAAGTCACTTTCAGCTGGTGTCATTTTGTTGGCGTTCACTCACCTTGATATCCGTCTCGAGTTTGTCGCCAATCATGGCGCATTCGTGCGGCTTAACGCCGAGAAAATTGCATGCGGCATAGAATATTTCCGGATGCGGTTTTTCCCACGGCAGATCCGAGGAGACGAGCACACAGTCAAAATGGCCACGCATATGCAGCTTGGTGACCTTCTCGCGCTGCGCATTCGACGGCCCGTTGGTGATGAGGGCCAGGAAATAGCCGGCGCGTCGCATGCGCTGCAACAGCTGAACATAGTCGGGAGGCACGGCCAGGTAGCGGTAGCGCAGCTTTAGCCACTGCGGATAGATCTGCTCGGCGAGATGTTTGTGCTTCTGCTGCAGGGACTCGCGCCACAAATGCGTCCGCCACGAGTCCAGCGAGGTTTGCGAGTTGTCCGGACAGCGACGAAACGACTTTAAAAAGTTCTGTGTGGCCAAATTGGCATCGTCTTTGGTAAAGCAATACTGCGTTTCCAGCACGTCAGCAAGCTTTGCGAAGCAGATGCATAGAAAGAAGAAGAGAGAGACAATGAGAAATACGCAAAAAAAGAGCAAAAACAAAAATTAATCAAAGCCTGCAACTAACGGTAAACATGTACGTATGACACCTGTTACCTAACTTAACTGCACGAATTTTTGCACTCGCATAAGGCGATCGAATATGCTAGAATGAGATAACTATAGTCTTGAACTTGTTAGGATGACATGTGCCAAACATAATGACAAAAGTATTTTACACTCAACACAGAACTAAAATTAAAGATGTAAACTGTGTGTGTAAAATACATGTATTAGTATATTTAAAAAATATATATTTAATATTCTTATTTAACATTAAATTCTTTTAAATTGATTAGATTTCATGGATTCAAGTACAATTAATATATATATTCATGGATTCAAGTAGAATTAATGATGAATAATTCCGGTTTTTCCGAAGTTGTTAAAGATATAACAAATAACTGATAAAAACAAATACCCAGACTTGATTAAACATATTCACAGACAACAGATAATGAAAGAAAGCAATTATTCATCATCTACAATCTGTGCACATAGAACAGATTCGTGGGTTTCAAACGCAAATTAATTTAATCATTTACGTATTATAAAAAAACAGTTAATTCAAAGCTGGTTTTCTGCATGAAATAAATATTAATAACTCCTGAAGTAAGAACATTTACATTGATTTAGCTTCCGGCAAGCCCATTTGCTGAACAAATAAAATTATTAAAAAAAAAACTGCGCACAAAATAAATAAACGAACCCAAAACACACACATTCTCACAGTTGTATTATTTCGTGCGTAAGCAAATTGATGGGCATTCGTTAAACGGTAAATGGCAAAACTAACAAGTGTCATTACATTAAAGATGTATGACCATTTATTTTGGGTCTCTTATGACTTTGACCTCTAGTCAGGGAAAGACGACATGCATTGATCAAACATGCACTTGCACATGCTCACGCACACGTACAAGCGGACATAGCATGCGCGTGCTATTTGCCTACACATTTACTCACACATGCACACAACAACAAATGTACGTAACGAGCGGTTGCAGTGGAAAATTTTTTGTAAATATCAATGTAAATGTGTGTGTGTGTGTATGGTGTGTGTTTGGAGGTGCGCGCGAACTTTCACCCGCGAAGTTAACAGTAATTCAACATACCTTGCGTATTGCTTTGGAATCACCGGCCCGCGTTGGGATTAGCGTGTTATCTAAGTCAAAATAGAACGCTGAGATTTTCGCACAAATGCCATCGAATGGTGTTGCGTGCTTGAGGCCCGTTGTTAACGACGTTGCTGTTGAAAATTTGCTAGCGGCCATGAGTTATTGCCACGCACTGTTGGTTGGAGCACTTGATTCTTAGAAGGGGGTAGGGTGTGTCTATGGGAAGCGGTAGTTGGACGCACATATATCATAAGAGCGTAATAACAATTAATTGTATATGTTTGTATGTACATATATTTATTCTATTTAAATTTTGGCGCCACTAGATAAAAGTGGTATCTGTCGAAATTGTCTTTGCGAGGTAGTTGCACACGTTTCGTTAGTTAAACAGCAACTAAATTGAAAACAAACGTTGCACCAAAGTTAAATAAGGGAACAGGTAAATGTAACCAAGTAAGAGCGAAGCAATGACTGAAAGAAAGTGAACACACGCACGATTTCACAGTCATGCATGTAAGTAAGTTTGCAGCAATTAAGACATAAGTCACATCAGCTGATTTATTGCATGTTTTAACCAAATTGTTTAATTTGCTTAACGTGTTTTTCGATTCGTTTTCTCAATCTATTACAATTCTGATAATTTTCGAAATGAAAATAATTTATATTAATAACTTGTTTGAAGTTCGCAGCTTTTTAACAGACACTGTAGTCTGAGTAGCGAGAGAGGTCAGGTCGGCAAACTCTATGAGTCAGAGCGAGCACGCAATACTCTCACGGAGGAAAGCACATGTACATATACTTAATATAATTATAATACACGAAGAGTCAGCATTTATTTATAGTAACAATAATGATAATAAAAAAAAGATTCTGTTGAAAGACAAATAAAGCTTTTAAATAATACTTATAATACTAATTATTGTTTGTACGATAGTATTGTTCAACAATATGCAGCGATGCTATATATGCTTATCGATACATCGCAAAATATGAAACTATTGTAAGGGTGGCAACGCCAGAAGATTATTGACGGCCGATTTTGTTTACCAATTTTAGCAATTGATTTTTGTCATAAATTTGAAAATTATATTAACGAATTATAACAATGAGTAGTAAATCGGAAACAGATGTAGAAATGTCAACATCAGGTGAGTCAACCAAAATATAAAGTATGCTCAATATTTTTAGCTTTTTAAATTTGTTGTAGCAGAAAAGCCTCGAACCAGCGGGGACGCCAACGAAACCGCCAAAGTTGATGAATTAATTTCGCTGGAAACCTTGCGCGAATCGCCTGTGCAATGGCCAGAACGCTGTGAGTAAACCATAAATATAAAGAGACAGGCAGCTAATTGCTACGAGCTACATTGCATTTTAGTTCCCGGTATGGAAAAGTTTTTAACTATGAGCGATACACCAATACACAGACCGAGCGCTGATAGTGACCAAATCCTTAGCTGCGTCAATTTGGCTGCTATTAACCGTTAGTACAGCTGACAATTAAATTGGGCCTTGCAACAATTTCGATTAATCATTGCAGAATTCGCCCGGCTGCCGCCCGAACAGTTGGTGGAGAAGATTAAATCGATGCATGATCAAATCTATAGATTGGGTCTGCGCGAGTCGAAGGAAATGACGCGCGGCAAATTGCTGGGCATCTTCGATCGGGAGCGTCTAACCAAAGCGAAAGCCATGCGCAACTAATAACGACTGATTAACAAATACGCATATACTAATTATATTTATGTAGTTTGTAGTTAATCGTATTTAAATATATATTCATTTAGATATCTATTTTCATCCTTTGCCTGATATCATAAATTGTACAATTATATGCGTTAGCTATGCATTTATGCAAGTCAACAATAAATAACATTTATTTCCATTAAAGCAGCATAGAATCATACATCTATATATATTTATAAAGATATGGGCTACTAAATTAAGGAATAGAGTTTAGGTTTCCGTGTAAGACAGAGAGAGAGAGAGAGAGTTCTGTGTGATATGGCTGGAGGAGAAGGCACAGTATATAAATTCCGCTATGCGTAAACCAATAACTAACTCTGTTCTATGTCTATATATATGTGTGTATGTGTTTATATATGTGCAGGTACCGTTATGTGTCTAAATATATATCTATATATATATATTTCTCATATTTATGATATATTAATTGCTACACGAATAGCCACAATTACCATTTACAATTGATAATATGCTCAAATGTGCAACAAATATATAAATTTCATAAAATATATTATATATTCTCTTTAATTCTCATTAACCTAACCTCAAATAAAGTGAAACAACCTTAAAAACAAACAATTCTGAGTTTAAAAAAGAGTAAAATTGTCCAAATAACTGTAAAAAACTGGTCAAATACTAATCTTCTAAGAATTTATTAAATAATTTGCATATTTGCTGATATATGAAAAACTAACCTTAAAAGCAAAGCGACTCATAGAAACTAACGGTAAATTGTTGCTATATAGGACTTATTTGTTGATTCATTTCATTTTGGCAACGTCTCTGTAGCTCAACTACACGAAAAAAAAGGAGTAGTGGGAGTGGGGGCTAGGGGCTGGGGGCTGGGGACTGGGACGGGATGTAATGTATGTTTGTTTGTAGTCTTGGGTCAAGGTCATCTATTCCTGCCACTGCATGGCGAAGCGCTGCTCGAACGTAATGCGATTGTAGACCCCAACATCGGCCAGCTGCATGGGATCCGTGTGGTAGGCGAAGCGTCGTATATCAATCATGGCCCCATCGAACATCTCCTTCCAGGTGGTCAGGTCCGTGACGCTCATGTGGATGGGCAGCTGTGGGTCAGGTATATCGATGGCTGCCTGCAGACGATCGAATGCCTCGGCCACCGGACCCACAGACAAATTCACCCAGTACTCAGCCGGAAATCGTTTGTTCTCACAGAACGGCGCGCCTTTGCGCATGATGAAGACCAGCATCAGAATCTCATACCGCTCGGAGCTCTCGTAGAAGCGCTTGGTTCGTGTCTTCTCCACAAAATCGATTAGCAATATGAGTGGCGTATAGTTCTGTAGATGCATCAATAGCTCGCGATCTGTCCAGAGATAGCGACCGCCGCCCTTCACGTTCAGCATGCTCATGTTGTTAGTCAATTGATGATATTGTTGTTGTTGCTGTTGCAGATGTTTTTGTTGTTGTTGTTGTTGATGTTGCTGCTGCTGCTGCTGTTGGTGTTGCTGCTGATAGTGATGCGTATTGACAGTTGCTGTATTTGAGCCAATGTTGCTGCCGCTGCTGCTGACAATGACGATGCCTCCTGCTGCTGCCGTCGAGCTGGCAGCTGCATTCGTCGCACTTGCTGTGGGCATGCCAATGGGGCAGCCAAGCTCCTCAACCATGTGCTAAGTAAATCCTTGGCTGTTACTGTGCGCCCGCCCACACACGACACACACAATAACAACAACAACAACTAGGCCAAGGTTAAACTCAACCCCGAGCAAACCTCCTCGCACAACTTGTTGCAATGGTCCGTCCTAAGGCCAGTCAACTAATTCGCTTAACTTTGCCAATTATGTATATGTATATTAGTTCTTTCTTTTTTAACAACTTTTGCTTTTAATTAATAGGCGAGGCCAATTTGAGCAACAGCCACTGGCCGCACGTGCGGGCTGGACGATTGTTGTGACGCGAGTGCGTGGACAAAATGCTAGACGAACGAGCTAAAGGGGTCAATAGCGAAAGGTACGGCTCGGCTAAACGAAGCTCTCTTTGACAATTGCTCCATACACACACACACACATGTGTGTATATACACCCATTACAGTTATAAATATAGCTATCTAAATATTAGTTTAAATATAGCTTCATGCTCTTATGTCTGGCCTCTGTGCCACTTTAATTGTGCCTTGGAAAGTAAACAATATACATGCGTATGCGACACATTTACATTACATTACAGGACTACGAGAGTAGTTTGAACAATTTAGATTTACAATTTACATTCTATATATACATATATTTACTAAATCTTCAAGCTGTTTGCCATCTTGGCTGGCGGTTCGATAAGCTTGCCGAACTTATCAAACTCTCCTAGCACAATTTTTTCATTTTCCTTCTTAGTCTCTTTAATTTTCCTATAACCGTATTTTACGAACTAATTAAGCGGCTCCTGCAGTCGATAACAATCGGAGGCAATTTTCCATTTATCATTCTCGGCGGTTATTACAAATGATTGTTGAAATGTGCGCATGGACTGTTCGGCATATTTAACCGTGCCGCTGGCTAGTATTATATATGTAGTCTGTCCACCGACGGCAGGATCTAAAATTGGCTGCGAATCGAGCGTTGTCAATTGATGACGCGATGAGGGCAGCTCCAGGAAATATCGCTCAATTGTCTGGCGGCCCTGTGCACCATTGCCGTTCCAGCTAAAATTGGCCGTGTCTATGTACAAGCGACCCATTTGCTAGAAGCAAAAACACAAAGAAATTCTATTAATTTGTTTATAGCAAGTTTGGCATTTGCCGGCTCGCTTGCGTACATGGCGTCGGTTATCGAGAGAAGCGTAGTACAAACGTGTAAAATCCTCCGCTGTGCGACAGCAGGCTTCCACTTTGGCTCTTAGCTCCTGTAAATGTAATTGTAGTACAATATTATATTATATTATACAAAATTTAAATTTAAATTATTTGATGCTCACGTTGTTCATTGCGTCTGTTGCGTGCTATTTCGAAATAACATATTATTTCAGTGTTGCATTTTGCATATATCGGAACGCTTACAACAGCTGTTATGTTAGGCTGGCTGCGACTCGATTGGGGTGCGCGCCATTTACACATTTCAATTTGATAATCAATGATCAGTGATCTAAGGCCTACTTTAATTATTTTTGCTTCCACCAGCTCTGTTGAATAGTTCTTAAAAAACTATTTGTCATTGTAAAAGCGTACCAAATGAAAAAAGTAAGAATGTTGCAACTTAACGTTGCAAATGTTAAATTTAATACAAAGTGATAGACCGTCTATCGACTTTGGACCCATTGAATTGTTGCGGTTATATATTGGAAATCGCGTTACTGTCTGGCAACATCGTGATATCGATAAATTGTAATAAATCATAAAAAAATATCTTTGATACGGTTGTAAATAATGTTCTATCAGCAAAAATTTATTATAAACTTCCCAATTGCCCAAGACGATTAAATACTTGCGTTACATATATGCATATATATATATATATATATATATATATATATATATATATATATATATATATATATATATATATATATATATATATATATATATATATATATATATATATATATATATATATATTTATATATATATATTTATATATATATATTTATATATATTTTTTGATATATATCTTACAGCTCATGTAAACTGAAGGACTGAATCTAGAGAAAACATGAAAATCGAAAGGTTATCAAATGGAAGTGCGGAAGATGTTGGTCAAAAGGTCTTTTCCTGCAATTCCTTACTAAGCAACTCTTCACGCCAGCCCGGTCGTTGGCAACGTTCGAGTAAAGCCTCTAAGCGTTGTGCAATCGCCTCCTGCTGCTGCTCAGTCGTATCTTTGGCCAAGGATTCACTCAATATGAAGTTGATCTTTGATTTGAGCGCATGCTCCAGCAGCGCAGGCTCCTCGTTCTCAATATAGCGCTGTACACAGTTTACAAGCTCGTTGAGATGCTCATCAACGGCGTCTGGAAAGAGTTCACGCATCGCTATGAACAAATTAAATAGGTACTCGCGATTGGGACCGCTGGGACCAGCCGAGGTGAAGATTTGCCTTGCTATGCACGGAACCTGCCACACATGGCCTGCATAGGAATCGTTCGACTGCGTAGCCACGTACATAATAACCTCAATGGGCATCGTTGTAGATGGATATTCATGGAATTCCAAGTTACAGCGTTCGTAGCCATTCTTCTCGCGATAATCCAGGTGATCCAGCACCTGAGACTTCTGGGTTGCGGCAATGCGATATGCGACACCATAGACACGATCCATGCTCAAATCGCCCGGCAGCAGGGTAACCACACGGCCCGGCCTCTCGGGTATCCCTCGATGATCAATGCTGTGCTGATAAAATCTTCGTTTATAGCCACAGACGTAGCCGCGCCGGCGGTCTATGTACGGAAAGTCTGCCTTCCACACAAGCGAACCATAGCCAAAGATCCAGACGTCTTCGGGGCTGGCTGTTATGATCTCTGTCTGGTTGCTGGGCTTCGCATCGAAGCACTGTAGTAGCGTGGAATGCTGCCCTTTGCTATTGGAATTGCATTTGTGTTGGCTAAGCAGGCAGGAGCTGGCAGCCATCTCAGCGAAACATTCTTGATAAATCTCGGCCACCGTGGCTGACAACTCATTTGTCTTTAAAGTGTTGCTAAGTCGAAGGTTCTGTACAAAACGCAACATCTGTTCCAAGAGCAATCAAATTGCGTCTGTTCTCGTATCGCCTCAAGATATCACAGAAATTAAACAAAAGCTATTGCCGTTGCTAGAAGTATTAAATATTACCGACTCTATCGACTTACATCTGTCGTGATTCGTGCAAACTATCGATTTGATTTAGAGCAGGCACAGTGTTTTGAAGACGCCGGCGGCAAACTTGAAATATTGATGAAACAGAAAATATTGACATTAAGATGAATTCTTATATACACAAAAATAAAGTACTGTCAGAATTATTTATTGTTTTATTTTAAAATTTGCCTTACTCTCAAAACAAATGAATAAATAAATCACCGCAGCTTTATAATTCGAATCGATTAACTGTATGTTAAGAATCGATAGCGATAACATATGCGGCAAACTTTGAAAATTGAAAGTTAGCAATTCTTAGGCATTAAATATTAAAAAAAAGTCATTTAACATGCAATATGCAATATAATATGTTCACTGAATTAACTGTCTGTATTGTAATTTGGTTTTATTCTTCTGCACTATACAAATAAATCACTGCAAACGATAGTTGAAAGCGCTTGTCAGTGCTAACAGCTGTGATGTGCATCCTATTCGCTCGCGCTCACTTTGCAACTGTTTCACTCGCACTTATAGAAAGCTACCGGAACAGCTGTTCGCGGTGCCACAGCAACAAAAAGCTGAAAGAAAAACGTAAACAAATCATTTTAATTATATTGTAATTGCACACAAGGACAAAATGAGCGGCAAGGACGATCGATCGAAGGAGTAAGTAACACGTATACGTAATCGCAAGTGCGAGTAATACAAAATCCCATATAAATTCGCTGTAGCAATCGCAAGAATATGAAGCAGCATAAATATTATCATAAGCAACAGCAGCAGCAATCGAATCGCGGTGGCAACAATACGTCCTCCAGCTCCCCAAAGACAACGGCAGTACGCAGCATTGTGGATGTGGCAGATTCAAGCGATGAACCGCGTTTCGGGCGCAAAGGCTGGTCGAGTGGCACCCGCTCGCTGGCACCGCAAAAAAATCGCGATATGCTGGACACGCTGCCGCCGTCGGACCCAGACGATGTGGAGCAGCTCATAGATGGCACGCCCATTGATGAGAATGCACGTGCCCAGCTGCGCGCCGGCGACTACAAGCAGATGTCGCAGTTCCCCAGCATGGGCGGTGGCCATTTCACCTTTGGAGCCGAAAAGGAATGGAACAACGTAGCCGAGGGCCAGACCCAACTGCACACCAAGGCCGCCAGCAGATATTTCACTTTGAATCTCGGTCTGCTCAACTCTGGCCTACAAACTATTCCCTTCTACAAGCGCATGGATTATTCAGTTATGATGTTTACACGACCCCAGATTATTGCCCAAAACGAAGCAGCTGAACGGGCCGAACGCATCTACCAGGAACGTGTGCTGCACGAGTTAAATGGCCGGGTCAGTGCTGCCAAATCCCGTGCACCTTCGGCCAAATCCACAAAATCCATTGCCCAGCCAGCGGCTCCCAACGCGTCCGATGAGCTGGACGAGCTGCTGGCGCTAACCGATACACAGCTGGCGCAGACCTCCATTGCCACGGGCCCAACATTGCCAATTGCCTCACCGCTGGTGCAGCCAGCGACGCCAACGACAAACGCCAGCAAAAACGATGTCGAGCAATGGCTGGACAGCGTGCTCGATGAGTGAGCCGCCTCAACGAAAAACTAATAACTTTAAGTAAAATACGCATTTGTAGTAATTCAAACATATCTGCTTGAAATGCCACTTGAAACGATTTTAATCAGCTTTTGCCTTAGTAAAAAAATCAATTTAAAAGTATTTTTCTGCCGTTCCATTTCCCATTTTGTTCCGCTCAGCTCAGCTGTCGAGCTGTTCATTTTGTAAGCTGCGCGCGCTGCTCAACACTGTAACAAAAAGAAAGGAAAGGAAAGGAAAAGAAAAGGAAGCTCATTTTCGGGCAGCAACGGGCAACTCGTCAAACCTATTTCCGGTTTGCACATTGTGCAGGAATTTTTTGCTCTGAAGCGCTAGACAAAAAGCTAAGAAAATCTTGTAATTGAAATATTTAAGTGCTTTTCAGTCGAAACAAAAGGAAAACAAGAGGTAAAATATTATAAAAATTTTGATTGTTTCGAAATCAATTAGCAAGTCATATGCACATAACCTCAAAAATGATTTTCGAAATTTTGAAAATGTCTTGCGAATGATATATTGTCGTTTGCGGCCAGATTTAACACGTACCACAGTAGCATTGTAGTTATTTACTAGTTAATATTCGTTAATATTAATAAAACAGTTAATATATGGATCGGAAAGTTCTTTGAGAAAATGTGGCGGCTGCGCATAACCTCAAACAAGATAATGCTACAACAGCCATTCGAAATCGGTATCGTTGTCGCACTGCTGATCCGATACGAAGCCATCGTCCTCGAAGTCGCCAATGCTATACATGCGCTGATAAAATTCAGCCAGATGAGCGTGCACCAGCTTCATTAGCTCACAGGATGTCTCCAGTATGATCATGCGCTCCTGGACGTGAGCGTCGCGCAGTTGGAGCTCGTCGCGCAGCTCCTCGACAATGGTGTTTAGCCAGCGGAATAGCACGGCCGCATCGGCATTGGGAAACTCAAGCATATCCTGCGGCACGCCCACCTCGTTGCGCAGCTTCTCCGTGGAGCCGTACGGTCCGGCAATCAGCAGTCCGGCAATGACGCGCACTATCAAATTGAGCGAATGCAAATAGTTTTGCAAATAGACCAACGGATTGACCATGGCAATGGCCATCATCAGTTCGGAATATGGACGCAAACGATACTCATCGAAGCCCAGATCTGTCAGCTTATCGAGCATAGCCCAGAGCAGGCAGCTGCTCACGATTTGGGCCATGGTGCCCAGCGTGCTGGCGTTGCGGCAGCAGAGGATCAGGTTTAGCATATTGTCCGATTGATTCAGATCCAGTAGCGAGAGGATCTGTGTGCAGAGCTCATGCACCTGTCAAAAGGGGGTAGCGGGTGTTAGTTATCGGCTATCAGTTATCAGTTATCGTTTTCAATCGATAGTCTGCCTACGTGCGTCTCCTCAGTGCAGGCCATGTAGTCGAAGCAGCGCTGCATGAACAGCGTACGCTGCACTTGAGTGCTGGCCAAGTCATTGTGATGCAGCATGAAGAGCATCATTCCAGCCACATGGAGTCCGGCCAGCGGCTCGGCACCAAATTCGATCTCCTCCCGTGACATCAGCTGGCCGAAGGCCTCAATTAACTAAACGATCTCAGAGATGAACGAATTAGTCTTATATGCCATCAAGTTGTCGGCGCACTTACCTCGATCACATTGTCGCTGGAGTGCATGAACTCGGTTTTCTCCCTGAGGTACGATTTGCCCACAGCTTGGCGCACTTGCTCGATATCGAAGCCCTGTGGACGTATGGCTAGATTCCTAAAAAAAAGCAACCAACCTATGAGTAACTGTTTACTTTTACGCCAGGACTCGATTGCCGTTAGACCATGTTGACCGCTTCGCCTATCGATTGTGTCCTTGCTTATCTTGTATGGGGGAATATAGTATACGACTGCGATTGTTTACTTCAGAAATATTTAATTTGTTAATCTAAGATCCAATTCTTGTGAACGTTCAAGCTGAGCTTTAACTGGTAATATCCCAACACAGAAGGCAAATCAGAGGGACATCTGAGCATGTTTACATTGCATACGCAAACGTAATTAAAAGTCGTTACTCAACACTTGTTGTTGTAGTCGGTAGGCGCTGCTGTTAATAGGCAGCTCGTGTAGCCAACTTAACACTGTTTACAATTCGAATAGGCAGCAGTTTTAATGAGCTCTTCTGCTTAACATCTTTCGCCGGCACTCAATGGCCGCCATCTTTGTTTGCTGCTCACATTGTGGAATATGTGCTAGTGGAGACGCTTGGGCCAAATACTTCCAGGTTCTTGGTGCAATATTGCATAAGAACACACACATACCGCGCACATACATATGCATATACACGTGTGTGTGTGTGTGTCTGTCCTTGCGAACAAGCATCTGACAAAATGCGAATGCACGCGCGCCTCGCACATTTTAGCATAAAAGTTGACGCCCCCCATGGTCCACGCCCACCGCTGCTGCTTGAAGTTTCCTTTGCAGACTTGGAAATATCTGCTCATTATGCATTCATATTTTGCAATTACTTTGCACACACACACACATACAGAAGATGGAACGCTAGCTAAAAGCGCAAATGTGCGAGAGTGAGAAAGAGACAACACCAGAAACAGCAGCAGCGGCGAGGCCAAAAGCTGACTGTTAACGAGCAGCAGTAACTGTTAAGTTTGCTGTCTGCCCATGTATATGTGTGCGAGTGTGTGTGCAGCTTTTATCTTGTGCCTTTTTTGCTGCTTCCACTGTGGTTGTTGTTGTTATTTGCCATTTGGCCCATTTGGAGGCGCAATTTTCATAGAATTTCCATATTCAGATTTTAATTATGCAGCTGCATGAAAAGATTAACAACTTTTGCCCCAAGACGACGGCGCATTGTGCATTTTATATTTATATTTTAATTATGCATATTTTACAAAGGCAGCCAAGGGGCCAAGGAACGCGCACAAACTTTTTCCGCATTAAATGCATAAATTTAACACATGCACATGCATGCTGCTGTTCCTGTGTGTGTGTGTGTGTGTGTGTGCAATTGTAAGTGCCTGGCATCTAACCTAACCTCAAATTGTAATTAACAAACACTCAACGCCTTAAGAAATTAGATTCAAACTGTTTTCAATTAAAAACTTATTCGAATTGGATTTGAGATTGAGTGCACAGTGTTTTGATTGTTAAAATGCATATATATATATATGTGTATATATATATCTTTTTGAATTTGCTTGTCTTTCAATAGTTTTTTAAGCCTTAAACTTGAAATCCTTTTTAAAAAATGTTTTTCAGTTTCCAAATTGGGCACAAAAACTATTTCTACTTCTGTGTATGAATTCACTTCAAAATACCGAATCAAAGCATGAAGCCTGTGAACCTGTTTCCATGGGAAAATCAGTTCTAACCAAATCTGCTTTGATCTAAATCCATGAGAACAATTTGGCTAGCACTTGATGAACTATACAAGATGCAGCTATACGATATATGTATCTCTATGGCACGTTTAGCCTTCTGGCTTGAGCCAATTATGCAAATCAGCTTAGAAGCACACATACATTGTGCATGCATTACGACGATTACAATCTCGAGAGAGAGGGGGAGAGAGAAAGAGAGAGTTTCGTATAAGTGCAGCATTAGCCAACACTGTAATCCTGTTCTTTTCACTGTTACCACAAAGTCGCGCAATCAATGCCAACTGTATTTGCTTCAACTTCAATTAGATGTCATAAAAGCCTCAAATTAGCGAAAGGGGGTTGAACAAAGCCAAGCGCCGCGGCCCCCTCCACCTGCCACGTCCAGCCAATTGAAGAGTGTCGAAAAAAAACAGAGTTACTGAACAATCATCATAACGATAACATTCATAATCATGAGCATGATGTGAATCTGGCTGTGGACGAGGTTAAGGTTGAGGTTGAGGCTGATGATAAGTAGCAACTACCCTTTTATTACCAAGCTTTTTTATACGGAGCACTCATTGAATATGTTCTCAGTGGATATATTCGTTTCTGGAGCTATCAGAATAATGATCTTTGTCGTGAATCTTGAGCAATGAGCTATGAGTTGTAAATTATGAATATCGAATCATTAATTGTGAATTGTGAATTATGAATCGTGAATCATAAATTTTGAATTATGAATTATGAATTATGAATCATGAATCATGATTCATGATTCATGAATCAATAATTATGAATTATGAATTATGAATCATTAATCATGAATAATAAATTATGAATCATGAATCATAAATTGTGAATCATGAATCATGAATCATCATTGTGAGTCAGGAATCATAAATTTGAAGTATGAATAATGAATCATCAATTATGAATTATGAATCATTAATCATGAATCATAAATTATAAATCGTGAATCATAAATTGTTAATCATGAATCATGAATCATCATTGTGAATCAGGAATCATAAATTGTGAAGTATGAACAATGAATCATCAATTATGAATAGTACATGCATTATGCGTAGTACAGGATATATACTAGTCAGTCCCTTTTTTGCTTTGTGGTTTTTTTGATTTTTATTAGGGGTTGGATCGTTGTTATTGTTTAGCAGGGCAATCTGTAAATTTTACGCCTAATTTAGGACAAATTGTTGACATACACTCGCCTACTTTTATGTGTGGAGTGTGGTAGAGGCGGGGGTGGGGGTTGGGCAGGGGTTGAGTGGCTTAGGGTGAGGCGAATGGCTTCACTTCAGCTGGAATACAAAAGCCAACAGATTTTCATATCATTATGCGTTGATTTGTTGGGTTTGCCACTGTTTTGACTGTTTTTTCTTCTTGTTGCTGTAGGCGGTTATTCCTCTTTTTAATAATAATGCTAGCCACGGGTTGGCAATCTGGCTAAAAACTCGGCAAGTTCAATTTCGCCGCCCTAAATTGGCAATTAGCTAGTTGAGTCGAGCTCTAAACAAAATTTGGCTTTGCTTTGTTTTGTTTCTGTTTTTTGTGTGGAATGCGAGACAACTCACTTCTGCCATAAACATAGACACAATTCCCATTAAATCGATATCTTCGATGTGTTTATGCCTCATGGTTAGGGGAGGGGTTGAGCAGAGCAGAGCAGAGCTCTTGTCATTGAAAACTTATTTTAGTTATTGGCGCCTAAGCGACAGAATATCTTGATTCTTTAGCTATGGGAAAAGCTCGACCATACGGCAATAATTGCTTATCGATAAGTTATCGAAAATGTTATGAACAACAAATTTTGAGATTAACAATGACAAAAGAGTTAAGGTGGTACTCGATGGCGCAGCGGAAAAGCTGCCGCAAGCAAGACATGATTTTTACTTATCGATAACTTATCGAAAATATTAAAAGGCATATTTTTTAAGAGCAGAAGTTGTTGTAGAGGTTACGCTATACGCATATAGTTAGGTAAGGTAAAAAAGATAAAGCCAACGATTATTATTACCTATCGATAACTTATTCAAGGTATGCAAAAATAAGTGTAAATGTCAACCGCCAAGGCGAAATAAGATGTGGGTGCCCTAGCTGTTCAAAAATATGGCATCTGCATCAAGTTAATGGTAATTGATGTTTATCGATAACTTATCGAAAATGAGAAAGTATCAAAACTTTGAAGTTACTGAATTTTAGCCAAGTCGAGAATTGGGAAACATCGACTTTTTAGGACAAACATTACTTTATCTCTTTCTAGTTTATCGATAAATCTATCATGAATGCTAAATAATTAAGAATAAGACACAAGTATACGTTATAAGTGATTGCGATTAGTCTATGGGAATATTAAATGGGGAATATGAATTAAAAAAAACTTAAGTAATGAAAACTAATGTCTATCGATAACTTATCGAAAATAGAAAACAGCATTAATTTTCATGAAAGAAAGTACTGAGGTTTAAGTTCTATGGAAATGTAGAGACAAGGATAAATATTATATATCGATTACTTATCGATAAATGTCGAATGCTTAAAGATGAGTAGAAGAAGCAGTTCTATACTCAGATACCGCTTATATATCCCATATCAACTGAGACGTCTAGCATCTATTACCGTTGGCATACCGTATATCGTAATATCGTAATATCGTAATGCCGTTATAATCTCTTTGCTCTTAGTCTGCGCTGGAGTCTTGGTATCAGCTAAACGAGATGAATTGCAATCAATTCTGCACATTGGAGCAGCTGCGAGCCTGGGTCGAGTGCAGTCCACTGGCACACAAATGCCTGATTATCTACATGACCAACGATCTGGACCAGGTAAGCGGCGAATGCGAAAAGATTCGATGTCTTCAACCGATTTCCCCAATTTCACCAATTTCCCAATTAGATTATCAATGGCTTTGAGTCGGTGCGCAAAACTGCGCGCAATTGGGACGAGGAGATGCAGCGCCCTCTGTTGGTCGCCGTTTGCATGCTGTTCCTCATACACGGGCCAGTCGAGCCGCAAAAGAATATGCGCAGCTTGATCTTTCGTGTGCTGGGCCTGATGGACACCAAGGATCCAATGAGCGTAAGTTGGGCGACGGCGGAATGAGTGCTCTTCATTGAGATCATCTTGGGCACTCGTCCCGCAGGTGCATGGCCATGTGGAGTATTTGCTAGATGAGCTGCATAAGGTGGGCGCCGATATGGAGACGAACCAGCTCTACCTGGCACTGGGCTTGGTGCGGGCCAACGTACGTGGCTTGCCGCTGGGCGTCTGTCTGCTCTGGTCGGTGATTGGACAGATCTTGAGCTTGGATATAACAATGCATCGCTATCGCGAGTTCAAGGAGCTGGCCCAGACGCTGGGGCCGGTGGCGCGCTTTAGCCTCAGCGAAATGGATGCCAACCAGCTGAGTGAGCTGAATCTGCTATTGGAGACTGTCAATCGCGTCTTGGAGCTGGTGATGCTCACCAATAACGAGGAGCTCAAGCAGGCCGGCTATCCGGATCACTTCTTCCAGATGCGACGCATCGATGTGGAGTCCATGCTCAACTGGGCAACGACCATACTCTATCAGATTCATATCAATGGCCGTTGGTTTGCACAGGTAATCAATCAGTCAATCAGTCAATCAATCAGATTTACACATATATATATTTAGGTTGGCGCTCAGGTTACCACCATGGTGAGCATTTTGAATCGCATTAAGGTCGAAATACCGGAGCTGATCGAAGTGGTTGAGCAGCCCAAGATCTTGCAGGTGACCGTCGACACCTACTCGGACCTGGAAGACTAGCGTACACCCTATCCGAGCGCGCGTCAACTAGCAACTGGCAGTATTATTTATACATATATTTATTGGTAATTTTGTAATCGATTTCTGAGAATAAATGCGAAATATGTTAAACGACTACTTACGCCTCCATCGTGCGACTGAGTACTTGTTATCTGATATCCAAGCTGCAAGGCACTTGACGACGGCGACGCTGACGCTGACGATGACAACGCTGACGACGATCAGCCAAGCTGGCTGCGATCTCCGCCACGCACAACGATCAACTGGCTGCAAATTGCATCGGGTCTGAAGCCAACATCGAACAAGTTGCGCGATCGGAGCTTCGAGCTTGCCACTAACTCCATGGATCAGAGGCAGCTCTCTCTCCCTCTCTCTCTCTCTCTCTCTCTCTTTCTGACTTTGTCGATGAGTTGAGCTCAACATATGTGTGACGTCAGCTAGAGCCGTATTGGAGTTTAGTGTTGGATAACATCCAGTGCTAAGGCAAGAGACATCATTATCATTATCATTATCATTATCATTATCATTATCATTATCATTATCATTATCATTATCATTATCATTATCATTATCATTATCATTATCATTATCATTATCATTATCATTATCATTATCATTATCATTATCATTATCATTATCATTATCATTATCATTATCATTATCATTATCATTATCATTATCATTATCATTATCATTATCATTATCATTATCATTATCATTATCATTATCATTATCATTATCATTCATTATCATTATCATTATCATTATCATTATCATTATCATTATCATTATCATTATCATTATCATTATCATTATCATTATCATTATCATTATCATTATCATTATCATTATCATTATCATTATCATATCATTATCATTATCATTATCATTATCATTATCATTATCATTATCATTATCATTATCATTATCATTATCATTATCATTATCATTATCATTATCATTATCATTATCATTATCATTATCATTATCATTATCATTATCATTATCATTATCATTATCATTTGTCCAGCCTAGACTCTATTTGAGTTTTACTCTACTCATAATACCTCTTGTATTAATATATACCTCTCTCCCTTTCTCTCCCTCCGTCTCTCTTCTCTTCCTAGAATCACTTCATATATCCAATAATTCTACGATTCTATTCTATTTCATATGCTTTGATGGCTTTCTTAAAGCTTAATTTCCACATTTTTATTGAGCTTAAGCTGTGTTGTTAATGCCACAGATTATGTCATATCACTGCAACAACAATAACAACAACAGCTTGAAGAAGAAGAAGATAAGGCAACACACTTGACTTGCGACCTCGAGTGGTGTTTGGTCTGCAGGACCTTTCTGGATGCATGGTGTTTTGGTTGGTGGTGCTGAGCTCCTCTTGTTGTCCTGCTCCGTTTCTTTGCTCGTTTTGGTGGTGGATTTTGCGTCTGCGGATTCGGAATCAGATTCGTTTTCAGTTTCGGTTTCGGTTTCGGTTTCATTTTGTGATTAAAATGTTTGTCATTATCCGTTTGGAAAAATGTTGCAAATTGTGTTTGTGCCGCGGGGCGTGTTGAGCACTTGTCTTTATGCTGATGGTGGTTGCTGTTGTTGTGGTTGTTGTTGATGTCACCAACAGGCTCTAATTGTTTATGTGTGTGTTGCATTTATCGTTAAATTGCTGAGGTGCAAAAAAACGCTCATTGAGGGCGGAAAATTCCGATTTAAGCACCTGAAAAAATATGTTTGCTATTTGTTTGGCTGGCATTTGAAGCTGTCTCTGAATATGTATGAATACATATGCCGAATATGTAATGAATACGTTATATATAAACGTGCACAATGTATATATTTCAAATAATAAATTATTCGGGAATATGAAATTTTTTTGTAAATTTCCTTTGAATTTTCTTTTGCAAATTTGGCAACACTTTTGCATATACATGAATAATTCGATTTTTTAATGAATTTAAGTTTCATTTAGCAACAAAATTCCAATACAATTTACACTTTTCTTTTATAAAATACATTTTAAAAGTTTTTAAATAAAACAAATTGCAGCAGAGCTTGAGTAACATATCAGTCAGCTACGGCAGCTCAGACAGCACAAGTCACACAAAGTAACAGATCAGTCAGCTACAGCAGCTCAGACCGCACAAGTTCGCCTGAGTGCCGTAGCAATCAGCTTAGCTAAGCACGCTTTTTGCATATGTGAAAAAAGCAACTTGGGCATGGCCTTTGCCTTTGACCATGCTTGATCATCCTAGCCCAGTGCGCCTTTTTGAGCCTTAGTTTTGACTTGTGTTTCGCAGTTGTATAATTGTAATCAAAGCTTAATGCAATTAATAACTCATTAAATAAATACAAATCAAAGTGGCAGCCACTGCAGAGCACTGTTCCGAGTTCCTTTGGCACTCAAAGGATGGCAGACATAAAATGTACCAATTAAAAAATGCAATTGAGATTTCAATGGCTGCGCAAATGAACCGCAAACAAAAATAAATTCGCAGAGCCAAACGAAACGAATCTGAATGCAGAGAGGATGAAGGGCGAAGCGGGAAGAGTGGCTGAAGTCTGCTTGCATTTTATTCATTTAATTACATTCACATTTCATAGACAATTTCATAGATAACTGTAATGCAGCGACGCTACAACGGTAAAGTTAACTTGTTTCTCTCTCACTCCTTTTTACTTTTTAGTTTTTTTTTTTTGCATTCGCCGTCGCCATCGCAGTCGCCGCTACCGCCGTCGCATTCAGTTCAAGTGTCTTTTTAATTAGCGTTCTGTGCTGTTGCTGCGCTGCTTCCGTTGCGGCCACTCGAACTATGACTACAGCCTAGCGTGTTCCCCCTCTCTCGCTCTATCTCTCTGTCTCCGCACTCGTCTAGTTCCTGCTGCTCTATGGCTTGCATATAACAGTGCATCTTGCTCGCACTCGCTGTAGCCGGGCGGTGCTTGTTAACGGACTCGCCGCAGATTCAATTTGTGGCTAAACATTTCTCGTCCTTTTTGTGCTTTGGCCCCCCCATCATCGCGAGCTAAATGTGCATGAAAATCTAACCACAAAAGTTGACTGCGATGCGACGTCGCTGCTCAAGGCACCCAGCCACGGCTACAGTTACAGTCAAAGGCACAGACACAGACACAGCCACAGCTTATGCTGCTGTCACTATTGCTATCTCGGTCTGGTACAAGCGTTTGGCGTATGCGCAAGCTCTTTTGCGGCCCGTTTTAATTGCATGCTGTGTTGTTGCTTGTTTTCCGGTTGGCTGCCGTGCCACCCGATTCAGCCCAATCTAACTTTTACATGCCTACTACACGCACACATACATATATACAAACATACATACATACATATACAGCACATGTACTTGTTCGTGTGCGTATGTATTGTTTGACTGCACATAGCATGCCATTTACTACCATATAGCGACAAATTGATATCGTTTTGTATCATTCGCTCAAGTTGATTTTTAAGCATGAGACTCAATGCGCTGCACAATCGGAAATGCAGCTTGCAACGTTTACTTGCAACTACCACAAGATTGCCAGTGTTCTACAAAAAAAAAAAAAAACGGTAAATGACTGCATACAAAGAAATATCTAATCTTGTTATCGATAGTTTTTTTTTTTGACGAGATTTCAAATCGATTTAGATAGGTACTTTACTTGGCTTCCACTATTGATTATAGTAGATAATCTGAAATGTTGAATATATTTAATGTCTTTCAAATAACTTAATCTATCCTTTCTAACTATATCGGCTCTGGGTAAGGTCTGGGAAATACACTGGCTACACTAACTAGAATTATCTTGTTTTTGAGGGTCTGATTCTTGGATCAACATAAAAAAATCAATCTTAAATTTTACACAATGAACATTTTTGTTTTTGTTTTTTTTTTTCTTTTCAAATATGCAATGCAATTTTTATTTTTCACAAAAAAAAGTTATCGTTTATCGAGTGCACAAAGTTCACAATTTGTTATTACCGTTATATACCAGTAAAATATCTGTGTGTGTGTGTGCGAGTATATATTACAGTTAATTTGACTAAGCCTAGGGTTTACTGATTGGAACAGGCGAGAGGGCAATTTGGATATTCTTATACACTTATCGATAGACGCGATATATCGATAATTCGATTACGCACTGAAGTAGACATCGAGTTGGAAATCAAGATTCGTATTGCACAAAAAAAACCATATTCATCATCATCATCATCATCATCGTCGTCGTCATCAGCATCATCATATTTACATAGGCAAGCATGGAGTTTGGTTGGAGTCTGGTTTGAATTTGTATTGGGAAATGGATCGGGCCTGCAGCTCTTCTACATGGGACAGCCGTGCACGTAGCTCACATTGCGGAATATAGCAGCCGCTGCGGCTGAGGTCAAGAAGTTGCACGGATTGCCAGCGGCAGCGGCAGCAGCGGCGGCGGCGGCTGCACTGAACGAGCTAGACAAGCCGCTGGGACAGCAGCCGAGCGCATTGCCGCCGCCATTCTCCTGCACCACAAAGTCCTTCTCCAAGGTGGCCTGATGGCGCAGTTGCTCCAAACGCAGTTGATTCTGTCGCTTCCACTTAGTGCTGCCAAGAGAGAGCAAGAGAGAGAGAGGCTTGGAGTAGTTAAGGAGCAACGAGTTGCCTACTGCAAGTAGGCGAGTGCGAGCGAGACAGCTAGACTTCTAGTTCTAGTTGCTTGCAGTAGAGTAAAGAAAATGTAGTCTACTTTTAAGCGCACGCATGAAATGAAAATAAAATCGAGCAAAATATCAAATTGTCGATAGATTCGTTTGCACAAATAATGAGTTAATGTAAAAAAATAGTAGAAAGAGTCCTAAAGTGTTAGCCAAATGCAACTCACCGTCGATTTTGATACCAGGTCTTCACCTGTGTCTCTGAGAGGCTCAGCGTCTCGGCCACATCGCTGCGATCGGCGACGCTCAAATACTTCTGACAGCGAAATTTGCGCTCCAAATAGGCCAGCTGCGCGTGCGTGAACGCTGTGCGTCGACGTCGCGGCTTCCGTCCGCTCTTGCTCAACTGCAGCTTGTGCTCGGCATAGCTGCCGCTGCCAACGGCATTGTCGCCGCCCGAGCCACCACCTGCCGCACCTGAGCCACCGCCCACAGCTGCTGCAGCCAGCAAGCCCGCCGCCATGCCCGCTGCAGCGGCTGCCGCGCTTAAGCCGGCACCAGAACCAGAGCCCGGTCCAGGTGTAACAGTGCCGCAGGAACCCACGCTCGACTCCTCGTGGTGGCTGTAGTGATGCGACAGCAGCAACTCCTGCTGGCAGCCATGAGCCGTCGAGTCGGGCGTGGACCGATCCTCAATGTCTATGTCCGAGTCATCGTTGGACAATTCGATTTCTGTCAGAGAAGCACATAAAGAAGTTGAGATATATTTATCTTAGGAACTACTCAAGTCTGTGAGGGCAAGGCTTCTTCTTCTCCAGGGCTAGGCTCAGATCTCTCTTGGTGCTCAGCCATAAGAACAACCCTATCTCCAGCTCACTCCCAGTTCTCTCTCTCTCCCGCTCCCTCCCTCCCCTCCTTTATCGAGTATGCGAACAACAAAGCGCAAAGCAAGATCAAGAAATCTATAAATAGAATGTGGCATGCTTTTAAGCGCAGCGTGTCGTTAATGCGTTCTCTACTCAAAGAGGCAACGAGTCAAAGAGGCTGCGGCTGAGGCTGAGGGGCTAAGAGTTCCAGAGCCTTGAGAGATGAGCGCGTGCAGGCACTTTGGCCAGGTCGTGGCTGGACTCATTACTCTCCAGCTGCGACCGCAGGACGCAGAGACAACGCCAGCAGGGCGACTCGTGTGGGCATGGAGGTGGGCGTGGCATTAAGTGGGCGTTGGTTCGTGTCCATTAAAAAATAAAGAAGACAAGACAAGAGCAGAAGCAGGAGCAGGAGCAGGAGCAGGAGCAGGAGCAGGGGAACGAACGGTATGTGTGCCCATTGAGTCAATCAACATGTTATTTATATCCGATGCGCATATCCTTATATAGACTTATGCGCTGCGGGACTGCCTGATTAAATTCACGTGTTTGCTCGAGACGCTCAATTGTTTCCTTCCTATTGGAATTTACGGTCAAAGGACGAGCAGAAGAAAAAAAAACAACCACCAGCAGGAGGCGAGCGGCAGTTCACGTGTGCCCAGCAAGGATTCAACTTGATTTTTATTTATATATATATATATATATATGAAATACAGCAAATATATATCATATTTGTGCTGCGGAAATTATTTTTATATTTTAACCCCAAATGCTTTTTGACTTCTAGAACAACTGAGATAGACAGAGCGAGAGAGAGTGTGAGTGGGAGTGGGACAGACATGTGAATGATGATTCAATTATGCACGTGTGTTGCTGTGCGTGTGTGTGTGTATGCGTGTGTGCGTGTGTGTGCGGCTCGTCTCAAGTGAGCTCTTCTTGTTTGTTCGATCAAAAAGTCACGTCGTATCAATTTGCGGCACAATTGCCATTTAATGGGTACTTGAACTCTGAGATATAAATCAAATAATATCTATATATAATATATATATATATATAAATTGAGAGAGAGAGAGAGAGAGAGAGAGGAATCTAGTCGCAATGATGACTTTGTCTCAACTTAAAGCAAAGCAAATTTCATATCAGAAAAAACTGAAAAGTGACAGGCGAGTTGCTTGGAGTGCTCGACTAGCAGATACCCTGCATGCACACACACACACATGCACACATACACACAGACTCTAGCTCGCTGCATCCTTGAGATAGACTTCAAAGAGTTCAAGCTCAAAGTCCATGGCATGCGAGCTTTGCATAACATTTCCAGTCTTAGACTCTGACTCGGAGAGACGAGCGGAGGGATCAAGTCCATCCCAGACTAGAGTCACAGACGAACAGCGCTAAATCGCTGCATTTGGAAGGAACAAACAAAGCTGTTGATCGCATTTATAGGCCACGCCCACTTCTAGCTCAGCTAAGCTTGAGCTTGGACTTGGGTTTTAGCCTCGTCTTAAGTCTAGGCTTCGAGTGGCACTCTACGTCTTGGTTGTAGTTGAGCTTCAGATCGACTTCAGCTGCACCTTGAGCCTGGACTTGTGCTTGAGCTTGTACTTGGGTTTCAGCTTAGACTTCAGCTTGGGTTTGGGCTTGAGAATTGGGGCTTGGGCTTGAAGCTTAAGGCTTAGAGCAGGGTTTGGGTCTGAGGATTAGGGCTGGGCCTTCAGCTTGAGCTGGGGAATTCATATTGTACGTGGGACTCAGCTTGGATTGGGCTTAGACTTGAAGTTCGTCTAGGTTTCAGAGTGGGCTTAAGCTTGGGTTTTGGCTTGAACTTAAGCTTGAGCTTGAGTTCGATTTCGTAGAGACTTGAGCTTGGGGGTTAAGTTTTTTACCTAAGGAATCTGACTTGAGGCTTCGGCTTGAGATCAAATCTAGTTTCAGTTTTAGCTCAGACGTCAGCTTGAGGCTGGGGCATGGGCATGGGCAGGGGCTTTGTCTTGGGCCTTAGCTTAGCTTGGGCTTGCCGAGTCGCATATTTCTTAATTGTCTCGCATTACTTTGCGCTGTGGCGGCCAATTAGCTGGCACTTTACATGCACCACCCAACCACCCACACAGAGCACTGTGTGTGTGTGCGTCAAGCCGCTGAGCAATTGGCCGCTGGCATTTAAATCTCACACCTCGCCACAATTAGAAACGACAACAAAACTTTTAGCAACAAAATTGAGAGGGCGAAGGGCTACGGGGCTAAGGCGTTGGGTGGGTGGTTGGGGGGTTGGGTGATGCAGTGAGACGTGTGCATACACAGTCGAAGCAACAATTGCTCGAGGCAATAATTTAATTTGTTGTTGTTGTTGTTGTTGTTGGGCTCGTAACTCGCGCTCGAGCAATTTGTCACGTACAAAAACTCTGATTGTTTAGCCCCGGAATCAGCCAACAACAACAACCAGAAGAAGAAGAAGAATGTGAGAACAATGCTATGTAAATTCTTAACACCAAACAAAAGACAAACTGAATTGTTATTCGACTAACGGATACCCTACAATCTGCGCAGAAGTATGCTATGAAAATGGGCTTAGCTAGCAAAAAGAAAAGAATGAGAGGGGGAGATGTAGAGAGAAAAGGAGAGGGAGAGAGACAGATACAGATATAGACATAGCAAGACAAAGAAAGAGAGGAAGAAAGACTGAAGAAAAGAGAGAATCTGTCTCTATAGCTAGAGCCACGCCTATCAGTCTAAATTCTAAAATTGCCTTTTCCATTTACAGTCACTTCTGTGACTTACAGTCAATATACCCATGCATACGACTAGTCCAGGGCATCAAATAGCCTCAGGTGCGCTCTCATTTGTATGACTTGAGCTTTGTGTTTCTCTGTTTGCATTTGTCCTCTAATTATGCATGACATTAAATAAAGTTTAGCTCAACAATTAGAACTATTTAGGAGCTAATTGCTTTCAACTTGTATGTGTGTGTGTGTGTATGTGTATGTGTGAGATAGAAGATGAAACTATCATGGATAACTAATCAGAGCTTATCTTTTTAAGAAAAGGCGAGAGAAAGAGAGATCTTCTTTTAATTAAGAGACGCTTCAATAGGATTTCCAATTGGCTTACCGGAATCCGTTTGCCGACGATTGATTAGGTCACCGAGTAGATCGCGTATTAGAAACGATTTTGAGCTTTGCATTTTGATGGCTTGAGCACTTCGAACTTCGGTACTAAACACAAACTGCACAATTGTTTAAACTAATTCAATGCAATGCCGCTAACATTGCGCTTTAGCTTTTAGATCCTTCAACGTTTTCGATGCAGCACTTTAAAAGAAATATTGAAAAAAAACGTTTGCTTAAAGGAAATTCCGTCGGCAGTTGCTGAGCCGCTGAGTCGCTTAGTCGCTTAGTCGCTTAGTTGCTTTCACTTATTTGATGCTCTGCATATTTGTGTTTTATGTAGTTGAGCTTAATTAAATTTCTGGCAACGCTGGCAGCTGAACCGTTAAGCGCAAAGTCAAATGAACAACTGAAATGCGAACGTTTATTAATCCTTTTAGCGCAGCGCAAGGCTCACACACACACACAGTCACACACAGACACACAGCGACTAGAAAAAAGTGAATTACACGATTTGTTGCTGTAAACGGCACAGTTTAGCGTGCACAGCCGGCAGTCGCTGCGCCCAAAAGTCGGCAATGGCAGCCGCCCAACCACCAATCCCGACCCCGTCCCTGCCTCCGCCCACTCTCTTCGCACAACTCGCCTGGCATGTTAACATCTCATTTAGCTTTGATTTAATCAGTCAACTATGCTGCCATCTCGCTCGCCCCCAACGCTAAGTCCTACTTCCGTTACGCGTTAGCCATTTTGTTTTTACAAACACAGCGCAGCGAATGTGCATACAACTAGCTAGCTAGCTAGCTCGCTCGCACACTCATCGCTGTCGCCGTCGCCGTCGCTGATTGGTTAGCGAGCATTGCCCAAACAACCCTGTCGCAGGCAACTGACAACAGAACAGCCTGCTGCAGCTCGCACTCAGGTGCCAGCCGCGCACTCAGCCAGTGTTGCCTGTCGTGAAATTAACGTCCGCATCGCTAATGCGCGTTGCCGTCGGTGTTTATTTTTGTTTAACGTGTTTCAATGTAAACAGTTATTGCCGACGGTTTGCAATCGGGTGAGCTTGAATGGAACAAAGTTGCCATATCAAATGTATCCTAATTTGGATTATTTATTATTATTTAAAGTTAGATTCGACGAAAAGTTGTTAGGTGTTTGCTCAACTGGCAAATATCACCTGTTTGGACACTCAACTATTAGTCATATTTGTCGTATATTTCTTAGATATTTACGGAATACAATTACATTTGTGGAAACGCTGGGAATGAGTTTTAGAGTTACAGTTACTTACAGAGCTACCCAATTATCGAAACTATTTCACTATTCAGGAGTTCCATTTGGCCTTTAGTTAAGCAACACCACATGCCAATCTCAGATTTCAAGGCGATGGAAGAGAAGTTTACAAAACATACGATTAAATGGTATTAAATATCTAGTCTATAATCTATTACATTAGTTTTCAATTACATTGCAACCCAGGTGCTTTCACTCAGGTGCTTCCATTCGGTAGCTTCGCCTCCGAATGGAAATCATTCAGCATCAAAATGGCAGCACCCAACAAGTGTAAGGAGCCAGTGATCAGGACATCCACCTCAATATGGGCGGGATAACGTTTACGCATCTCGACAAATGCATCAAAGATCGTATTATACATGCGCCCATTATTGACCTGCTGATTGGCATCGCACAGCTGCTGCCAGGTGGCTGCGATTAATTTGGCTCGCTCCCGCTGCGCATCATCGGTGTAGCACACACTAGTTTGGTTGGGATCTTTGGCCGTGGCACTGGACAAGTTGGGCACAAAGCAGATCATATCAAAGCTGCACGACTGCTGCAGCACCTGCAGCAAGTCCTTAGTGTCCGTATCACCTGTCCGATTAAACACCAAGATACTTGGATTGCGACTACAATACAGAAAGAGACTATTAAAGATAGCTGAATATAGATGTTATAGCAAGTAGATAGAGTATGGATAGGATAAGTAGAGATGGTAAAGATGGGATGGTTCGTATGGATGGTATAGATGATATAGATAGTGGGGAAGATGATATAGATAGTATAGATATATATAGATAGATAGATAGATAGTATAGATATATATAGATAGTATAGTATAGATATATAGATGATATACGTATATATATGATTATTATTCAAAATAAAAGATATAGGATAGATGATATAAATCGTAAGGGTAGTATTGATAGTGATGTGATATGATAAAGTATGTCTAGTATATATGGTATATGCCATAAATCAGATGGAACACATACCATATATATGATATATATATATCATATATCACATGTATCTTATATATCATCTATATCACATATATATCATGCATCTTATATAATCAATATCATCTATATATATCACATATCTAAAATCTCTTCAGTTTACCTTAGTCTGGTGCTCTTCAGATACCAATTACAGCAGACGCGTATGCTCTCTACTGTATGGGCTCCATCCAGATGGACGCGCATATTCTCGTACTCCACCAGCTGGCAGCGACCGGGCCAATTGGCCTGGCTGACGCCGCGCAGCACCTCGTCGGTGAGCCGTGGCCAGTTGGTGGGGTAGCAGCAATGCAGCGGGCCCGTCGACTGACAGAGCCAGTCGTAGGCTAACTGTATGGAGAGCGAGCCGTTGAGCCGCACATAGTCGTTGCAGGTATCCAGATGGTCGGAACGGTGGTTGCTTTTGAACAGCTCCTCCGTGTTGGGCACCTGGAAGAGTTGGGCATTCTTTTCGTCTGCCCGATCGCGTATCACCTGTAGACACTCCGGCTGTGTGACGTCCGTATAGACATGGGCGCCCGGCTTAATGATGCCAGCCTTCTGCCAGGCGATCTCCTCCAGGGTGTTGCCCAGCACTTGGGTGTGCTCCAGGGCCAAGGACGTGATGCCCACTGTGCGCACGTTGCGCAAAATATTCGTACAGTCGAGCTCACCGCCTATGCCCACCTCCAGCACCACCACATCCACTCGCTCGGCGATGAACACATGAAACCCGACAATGGTCAGGAACATAAAGAACGCCGGCATGTCCCGATCGTGCTCCCGGTGTAAGAGCAGCCGATCGTAGACCAGTCTGAAGAATCGCGTGAACTTCGCCTTGGCCAACGGCTCGCCATCAATCCGTATGCGCTCGTTCGTCGACACCAAGTGCGGCGAGCTAAAGAAGCCCGTTCGGGCACCGTACTGCCGCAAGATCGACTCAGTCAGCGCGCAAGTTGAGCCCTAAACAAAACGAAAAACGACAAGTAAGAAAGGTCGAGTCGGTGTGCCCGACTAGAAGATACACTGATCCCAGTCCTCTTTGAGTTTTTTAATATTTTCCGTAGTTTTTTCGACACCAGGATTCGAACCCACTGTTTTTACGCAACGCGCACCAACTCTACCAACACAGTCACTTCATAATTTGAAAAAATAAAACAATAATAAATATTCCATCCCTACCGATCTCGAACCCTGGGACTAGCTGCTGGCGAGCGCCGCCTTTACCAACGCAGCCACTGGCCAAATGTTTTGTTTAATAACTTAGCGGATTTTAATGAAGTTTTTAGCATGTGATCTACATATTCTCTTGGCTTGGTAGAGATGCCCACTGAACTTAAATTGTAAGAATTTGGGGAAATTTGGAGCCGGTATCCAAAATCCAACAAAAATCAGAATTGCATAAGATATACATAAAACTAACAACAAAATTTGGAGGCTTTAGCTCTTAAGACGTCCCAGATATAATTTATTAACTGCAGTTCAATCATGTTTTTATTCGATAACAATTAAATGCGAATAGTTATCGAATATTTGAAACAAACTTGACATGCGCGTGCTATGCACGGACCTGCAAAAAAATGTCTTATAGAGGCTGAGATCGACGCGTTCACACATACGGACAGACAGACGGACAGACGGACGGACGGACAGACGGACAGACAGACAGACGGACAGGGCTCAATCGACTCAGCTTGTCCTGATCCAGAATATACATACTTTATGGGGTCTGCCACGCCCCCTTCTGCCTGTTACATACATTTGCACAAAACCATTATACCCTGAGTTCCCATTTTCAATGGGATCAGCGTATAAAGACCCAAATCAAAGCAAATCAAATCGACTCAGCTCGAATAGTTCAAATAGAATCGAGCTCAGAGTGCATTTAGTATTGACAAATACAATTAACACTTATCAGTTATCAGTTATCAGTCATCAGCTGTCAATGGACATGTTAATGAAGCCAGTGCCATACACTGCGAGAAAATACCCTGGCTAAAAGCTCTCTAAATATACAAATTTAGTTTTAACATATTCATATAACATATTATTTATTATTTATTATCTATTATCTATTATCTATTATCTATTATCTATTATCTATTATCTATTATTTATTATTTATTATTTATTATTTATTATTTATTATTTATTATTTATTACTTATTATTTATTATTTATTATTTATTATTTATTATTTATTATTTATTATTTATTATTTATTATTTATTATTTATTATTTATTATTTATTATTTATTATTTATTATTATTATTATTTATTATTTATTATATTATTATTTATTATTTATTATTATATTTATTATTTATTATTTATTATTTATTATTATATTATTTATTATTTATTATTTATTATTTATTATTTATTATTTATTATTTATTATTTATTATTTATTATTTATTATTTATTATTTATTATTTATTATTTATTATTTATTAATTATTTATTATTTACAAATTAAAAAGTTTGCTCTATCCAATCTTTTGGGCAAATATATATGCCACAATAGTTTCAGCTTAATTTTTGTTTTGTGTATTTGTTTTTTTTGTTTTGTTATTGTTTTAGTATTGCACTACTTAGTGTTAATTTTCAATAATGCGGGCTAGAGAGAGAGAAAGCTACGTACCTTGCCCTTGGTGCCACCAACATGGATAACGGACAGTTTCTCCACATCGCTCAGGTTTAGGCCACTGCGCTCTAGGTACTTCAATGTATTTGCCAACGTATCGCAGCGAGTGCTGATCGGGCTCTGTAGGCTTTCCCGGTTCGATTGGAGCTTGGTCAGCTCTTCGATGTTGGCCTAAAAGCAATAGCAATTATGATATGAACAAAAATTGATGAAGTTCATCGCTGAAGCTGGCTTACATTGTATTCCTCCTCTTCTCGGGCATCCTGCTCGCTGGGCATGGCACCACGAGCCGAGAAGACCAACTCTCTAAACGTGAGTTTCATCTGATCTGGTTGGGGCTTGGAGCAGCCATTAATGCCGGCAGCTGGCCTCGTTAGTGCACTCAATATGGGCGGTTTAGTTGTTAATGTGCGTACTCTCAGCGTATCGTACATTCGTCTGGTGCCGTTCACTAATATCACATGTAGGTAGACCGTCGTTATTTCACGCACTGATCGCATCTGTTTTCGCAAAAGCATTCTGGAAATTCTACCGTTCTAAACTCTCTCTCACTCTCTATCTGCCTCTCTCTCTATCTGGTTCGTTGTATAAGTTCTGCGCTTATAAATATAATTGATAAAGAAATAGAAAAAGTGAATTGAGAAATGTGATTAGATAAGATCAATCTGTTTCATTAATAAAGCACGCAATGATGACACACAAACTTTCACACATATATACTTATTTCATTATTAATTTCGAGCACACAAATCAAAAACGATAATTTAGAGATAACGGTTATAGAGATAAGCGCAATTTGGCAACAAGTGGATATATCGCTTACAATTAATATCGGCACTTGCGATAACGATAAATCGAAAACGCTGTTTAGGTGGCAACATTCCACGAAACTCACGCAATGAGGCACAGCCACAGCTACGCCACAAACACAAATGCACACACACAAATACACACACACGCACACAAACACACACACAAAGGCGCACGCACGCGCTTCGTTGTATTTACATCTTTTTTTTACTATTCACAGCGAATTTTCATAATAATAACAAAACGTGTTCGATGGCCTTCACTAAAACCGTGCCAAAATTGGCGTATATAATTGGTACAGTGACACCGCTGTCACCATAGGCTATAAATTTTTTGTATCACAAATATCAAACATTTAAAATTTATATTTAATTTTTAGCCGAAAGGGAAACCGCGTTTCTACACTTCACAGAACGCTGCACGTGTGAATGGCAAAATAAATAAATAAAATTTCGATCATTTCAGTGCTTGCTGTGTTTACGTTTACTTCTGTATGCGTGTAAATGTCTGTGTGTCAAATTTTGTGTTTGTGTGCGTTCGGGCACGTGTAAACAAAAATAAAAAATCATGATGGAAACAGCAGCAGCTAGGTATGTGTCATAAAAATATACAATTAAGTAAAATTTGAATCATATTAGCTCTGTCCACACGAACACAGTCATACATCGCGTCTGGGCAACTGCGAGGTTTGCGCCAGCCAACCGGCTCGGTACGCCTGCCCCAAGTGCGAGGTGAAAACTTGCTGCCTCGCCTGCGTGCAGATCCACAAGCGGGAGCTGCAATGCGACGGCAAGCGGGATCGCACCAAATTCATGCCCATCAGCGAAATGACCGAGCGTGAATTCATGAGCGACTATTGTTTTCTCGAGGAATGCACACGCTATGCCGAGCATCGCAAAAAGGATCCAAGCAAACGTTACACGCAACAGCAGCGACAGCTGCCGCTGCCACTGCATCGATTGCGTGTGGCAGCCAAAGAGCGCGGCACGCGTCTGCAGTTCCTGCTAGCCAACTTCAGTCGCCACAAGGAGAACAGCACCTATCTGAATTGGAAGGAGCGTTGCATATACTGGCAAATCGAATGGCTGTTCGTGCACATTGACAGCGAAACGCCGACACGCTTTGTGGAAAAGCGCTGCAATGAACAGCAAACACTCGAGCAGTTGCTACACAAATATCTGGATGTGCAGCAGGAGTTGGGCGGCAAGCAGCGCAAAGTGTTGCAACATCATCAGACAGCTGGCATTGGCGAGCTCAGCCTTTGGCTGCGTGCTGAGGGCGTCAAACGGAGTGGCCAACGCTGCTATCGACTCGCTGCCTATCAAACACTCCGCTCCAATCTGGCGGGCAAAACAATTGTCGAGTATCCAGCCATATACATTAGCTACGAACAGCGTCCGCCTGCTGGCTTTGACCTGATAGACAGTGGTAAGTTCCTGGTAGCTGCGCCTGTTCAATATACTTTGCTATAGCAAATGTTTTTTGCAGATGAAGAAGTGGAGGCAGCTGCTAGTGAGCCTCAGCCAACGCCAGCGAAACGTCCCAAGCCAGAAGCAGCCGCAAAGCCAACAAAGCAGCTGCCCGAGCTGCAGGACATTTATGAACTCGCAGCCAGCTTTGGCGTTGACAACTCCTCAGAGAGCAGCAGCGATGCGGAGCTGCTTAGCGATAATGAAAATGCAGACAATTAAATAATAAGCAAATAGTTTAAACAATAGCATAAGTTTTAGTTAAGTTTACAGATGATAACTTGCAAAAATGTTGCAAATTGGTGCACGAAATATGGACAGAAATTTTGTAAACTAACCTAAAAGAAATCTGATCAAAGTGCCGAACCTTTTACATGTTTTCATTCAACAAATATGAACTGTGTATAAATAAATATTGTAAATATGAAGGAACGTTAAATTCAAAAACTGTCAGTACAAAATCATGGTATTAAAGCACGAGGATTGCACTTCAGATGCCGGGAGTTTGTAGTGGAACCAGTGCAAGATGAACTGAGCTAATTGCTCAAAATAAGCTGCTGCTGTGCAGCCCTGTGTACAAAATCTGAATGTGTAACGGGTAACGTACTGTTCTTTTTTTTGCACAGTGTGTCGCCACATCTAGTGGCATCTCATTCCCACACATGCATCTCGCTCTAAATGGCGCAAACAAGAAAAGTTTTAAATTTGTTTATCATGAATTTATTTATTTTTCTTTTTTATAGGCTAATTAAATGATAAGAATTTTAGGGGGCGAAAAAAACTGTCAATTATAGCTCCGCCTATATATATATATATGTATATACACATATATCTGTATGGGCATAATCATATGTGAGCTCTTCGTGTACAATTCGGATTTATATAATGCAATATTTTCAGTTATAGCATCATATACAATATACCAATAACTTGCTTTTGTACATAATACATAAGTGCACAATCTTCATAAATATATATATATATATATATATATTTCGATTTATATATATATATGTATGTATATATGTTTTATATTTCAATTTGTATTTGTATTTTTATATCGATTTGTTTTATTTTTGCCTGCACCAGTTTGTTTTTTTAGTTAAATAAGAATTAAATTAATTCTGATTTTATAAAAAAAAATAATAATTAACACATAGAGACAAAAAGTCGTAACAAACAAAACATTAACATTGTTTTTGTTGCAAAAAAAAAAACAGAAGAATCCATTGAAGCAAATGGAATATACTCTATATATATAGATATATGTATATATCAATATATATATATATATATATATATATATATATATATATATATATATATATATTGAAACATTTCGTAACTAGTTTTTCCTCTCATTCTCAATCTTTCTCAAATACATGCGTTTGCTTTTTCTATTAATGCGAATCAATCGTACAGCTTAAATGATGCAAACATAGAAGAGAACGAAAGTTAATTGATTAATTTGTATATATATATATATGTATATATATATACATTTAGTTAAACAAACGATTTTTTGCGTGGGTGCGGGGTGGTGGGTTGAATGGCTCATTCTAACCGTTTACATAAAGAGAGGGAAAAAATTTACATATATATATATATTTTGCTAATCGTACATAAATTTGATATCAATTTCGCTAAACGCACACATTTACACAATTACAGTTTGTTTTGTTTTTGCTTTTGCTATTGTTTTGTAAATACAGATAGAGGAAGAAAATGAAAAAAACGAATATTAAAAAGTAACAACAGAAACACACGCAGAGAAGCTGCCAATTTGTATTTTTGTCTGTCCTTTCCAGCAACAGCATGCGGAGAGTAATTAAAAAGAGTTACTTGTGTTGTTGTTGTCGATGTTGTCGTTGTTGTTGTTCAGCTATTGTGTTGTTTACGTATTAGTTGGAAATTATATATTATATTATATATTGTTTGTTTAACAACATTTTCATTCGCTACTCCAATTTCTATTATTGCTGCTGTTGCTGCGGCTGTTGCGGCTGCTGCTGCTGCGGCTGTTGCTGTGGCATTGCGCCAGGCACAAAGAAACCGCCTTGTGGCACGGCTACCGGCGCCATTGTTGGCGCCATTACATTTTGCGGTGCCGCAGAGATGGGCGCACCCGATGGATTGAATACATCGACATAGGAGTTCTTCAACGCTGTAAAACAAGAGGTGAATGCATGAATATGGGCACAAACATTGGCTAGCTGCATGACCTACTGCGATTACGCTTAATTTTGAACATGTTCGATTGAAGTTTTGGCTGCGTTCCACCGGGCAACGTTGCTGCTGCTGCTGCTGCTGCTGCTGTTGTTGTTGGAACGGGAGCTGTAGCCAGACCATGCGATGGAGAAGCTGCTGGCGCTGGCATTGCAGGTAATTCAGCTGCTGCTGCTGGTGCTCCTGCATACATTGTTTCCTGATAGCCAGCACCATAATCGTAGTCCATCTGATTCTCATAGACATTCGCATTATTGGGCAGCTGCTGTGGCAACAGATTTGGCGCAGCAATTGGCGTTGGCACGTTGCCCAATGTATTGAGTGTTGCTGGCGTGGCGCCCATGTCGCTCATCTTTGGTGGCGGCTTAAAGGATTCCGTTTCATCGGCATTGCCCTCTGTGTTTGTCCAGCACTTGCGCTCCTTGTCCCAAACAATTGTTGGATTCTTGTCGTCCGGCAAAATCATTTGATTTTTGGGCTTCAGCGAAAACTTGTTCCACAGCCCACCAAACCAGCCAGCGTTCTGATTGCCCTGCACGCTGTGGAGCATAAGATGGATTAGTTTTTTGTTTATGTGCAAATTCATTTATTGTTGCTACTCGCTTACCCCGGCAAGCCGCCAGCTGCGGCTTGTTGCTGTTGCAGTTGCTGCTGTTGTTTGCTTGTCGTTGCTGTTGCGTTGCCAGACGCTGAATTTCCGGCTGTAGCAGCTCCGTCGTCATCATCGTAACTCTTTGATTTTGGCATCGAAATTGTGGGTAGCATTTGCTGATGCTGCTGTTCATTGTGTATGTTGGCGGTAGTGGTGGTGGTTGTTGTTGTTGATATTTGTTGAAAATGCGTTTTTTTTCGGTAATTTTTCGTATTTTGTTTTAGTTTTGTTTTTGTTTTTGGCAGACATGAAAAGTTTTCAAGTTTGTTTGGATTTGGTGGGAATTTGGAGAAATGGCAGTTGATTAGTTTCGGTTATTTGGCAAACGAAAAGCAAAGAAATTAGTTAAAGTGCATTAAACACACATACATAAATATATAAATATATGCATATATATAGATCGATAGTATGTCTAGTTAGCGAAATACATAGAAAGAGATTTCAGTTGTTCAACTGGCGCAGTCAAAAATTAAAACTTAAACCAGGCGCTCGTCAATTAGGTTAAAGCTTACATTTATATTCATATATAAATATATATATATATATATATATAGACATATATATAAGTATATATATATATACATATACATATATATATATATATATATATTGCTTAAACATTAGTTTTGCATATGAAATCACAGAGTGCCATTTTTACAGTTAACAGTTGTACATATGTCTTTGATTTTTAATAGCGCGCAGGTACTTAACAGGCGAGCAACAGGGACAGAGGCAGAGACACACACATAAACGGAGAGAAAGAGTAAGAGAGAAAGAGTGTGTGAATAGGAAAAGCTGCTCGTGCAATCAAACGACGCGCGCAGCTCGTCTTTTCTTTTTTTAGCGGTCTGGCAACGCTGTGCGCTCTGCTTTTACAAATTTCGACTTATAACTGTTTCTTAGTGCTAAGAGCCAAGCCGGCGCCGCCATTGCCATCCTCGGTGGGTGCGTCGATATCAAATGTGCGTACCACGCCCATTCTTGTTTTTGCTGTTACAGTAGTTGTTGGTGTTGTGGGAGTTGCTGTTGTTGTTTGCTTTTTAGCATCCAAATATGCTTCGAACTTGCTCAAGCTCTGCTCCACCTCAGTACACATTTTCTTATAGTTTATCGGTATGGCCGGATTGGCAATCAGCTCCTGCATTGACCAAACATGTTGAGGTGTTGCAGCTACCAGAGCAGCTGTTGCTGTTGTTGTTGCTTTTGCTCCTGCTACTGCCGCTGCGGCTGGCTGTTGGTGACGATGTTGTCGCTGTTGCCGCTGCTGCTGTTTGATAATGCCCAATTTGCTGAGGAAATCATTGTTGCGCTGCAGCACATAATAATCATCGTATTCATCATATTCATCATCCTCATCATCATCGTCATCGTCATCGTCATCATCGTCGTCGTCGTCGTCGTCATCATCATCGTCATAGTCATCCTCGGCCAACTCTTCACCTTCGGCATCCTCGTCGATAACATAATCATGCATCATATATCGATAACGCAGCATTTCACTGCGATCAGCATTCGCCTCAGCGTCATAGCTGCTGCGCTGCTGCTGCTGCTGCTGATGCAACTGAGCAGCTCCCAATGGCATATCAATTGGATAGGTGCCATTGAATACAATATGGGATCTACTTTTACTGCTGCTGCTGTGGCTGCTGCTTAGGCTGTAGTTGTTGTTCATGTTGTGTTTCGTCAGCGCTAAGCTGTAGCTCTTGTCATTATCGTTATCGTTATCGTTATCGTTATCGCAGTCTTGCTCTGCCGCCTCATCAATTGTTGTCGGCAGATCAAAGTTGACGCGCTTAACACCGCCTGTTGCTGCTATCGCTGCTGCTGCTGCTGCCGTTGTTGTTGTTGTTGTTGTTGCTGTGGTTTGGCTGGCTGCTGGCTTGGCTAACACCGGCTTGGCTGGTATGAAGCGTGTGGGCGTGGTTAATGTTTTGGGCACAACATTTATCAAATTGTTGCTATTTTTAAAACTATTCACGCGACTAGCAATTGTTGTTAATGTGGCGTTGCTTGTTGCTGTTGCATTGTCGCTGCGGCTGTTGCTGCTGCTGCTGCTGTTGTTGTTGATGCTGTTGCTGCTTTTGCTGGTAGCATTATGATGTTTATTTATGGCTATAATGCTACTTACATCATTTAAATTAAATGGCTTCGTTGTTGTTGCTGTCGTTTCCGCAATATTGTTGTTGTTGTTGCTGCTGTTGTCAAAATGCAATTTACGTGAGAATTGTTTGCCCTTGTCCAGGTCATGGCTGGCGCAATGCATTTGCTTGCCATTGCCAGCAGCGTGCAGCTTTAAGGCATTGTGTTTAAAGCGATTGTTGCTATGGTCGATGTTGCTGCTGCTGCTGTTGCCGCTGTAAGCACTTGGCTCCGGCAGCTGCAATAGTTGCTGTTGTGTTTGTTCCACATCAGCGTCTGTCTCAGTTCCAGCTTCAGCTTCAGCTAAAGCTACAGTTTCAGCTGCTATTGCTGCTGCTGCTGCTGCTGTTACAATATTGTTGCTATTGTCTAGATTGCTGCTGCTACTAATGTTGTTGCTGTCGTCAGCAATTTGGTCGTGGTGCTCCATCTGCGCCAGCTGCATTCCAAGTGTTTGTGTGTGATTAGAAACATTAGCAACATATTGCCTTAAAATTGCATGCAGCGCGTTTTACAATTGTCGCTTAACAAAATTATGAACAGATTCCAAAATAAAACTACATACAATAAATTATAAACTTAATTGCAACTACAACAAAGTCAAATCTAAATAAATGTATATAATTATATAAAATGCACAAAATGTCAAACCAAGAAGAAGAAAAAAAAAATGGGCTTTGAGCAAGTTTTAACTAGAACGCGACGCAACTGTTGCCGCTGCTGCTGATGCTCCACCTACCTCTTCGCCAAAGGGCTGCTGTCCATCGCCGGGCCAATAATCGTAGCCAGCTGTTGCTGCTGGCTGTGCATCATAGGGCTGCGTATTGTGGCTGCCATATGCCTCGGTGGCAGTTTCAATGTGGCCGTAGCCAGCGCCCGGTTGCAACTGTTGCTGCGAGGGATCGTACAGATGTTGTTGCTGTTGCTGCTGCTGTGCTGCATTCGGATCGTAGTACAAAGGCGACGCATAGCTATCGCTGAGCGTTTGCTCATGACTCGGCTGCACCTTGGCCGACTGTTCATAGTATTCCGGCTGATGTTGTTGCTGATGCTGCTCCTGCTGCGCCTCCTGCTCACGCTGCATGTTATCCTCATATTGCATGCTGAGCTCGCGCATTTGCTTATTCAAATCCACAAATTGCTGATCAATGTCTGTTTGCTGCTGCTGCTGCTGCTGATGCTGTTGCAAATGTTGCTGCTCTTGTGGCTGCTACAAAGGAATAAATTAACAATTGCTCCACTGGCGACTAGTGCAACAACTCACCTGATCGGCCAGCGTGCGCAGCTGACGCAGCCATTCCTTTTCCTCCGTTGCACCAACTTGTGGCGCCGCCTGACCACCATTTGTCGCATTTGTTGGACTAGCAAAGGACACACGATTGATCAGTATGGGATCATAATAGCGCAAACGTTCCGCCAGACCGCAAACCTAAAGAAGCACATCAGTTATCACTATGTATATACAGATAGATATCTTTAATTATATAGAGCTTACGCGTTTTATGAAATCTGCATCATAGCTCTCCGGCTTGAGCTCAATATGATTGGCTATCTGCTCTAGATAGTTGGTGCAACGAAAATGTTGTCCGTAATCCAGGATGCGTGTGGCCAACAGGAATTTGTAATGCTGGAAGTTCACAATGCTGAACTTGTTATCGAACAGCGAACGAGCATATTCATAGATCTCCGTCATGATGATCGCCTCGTTGCTGGCGAACTCATTGAACGGCTTGTAGTGCGAGGCGCCCAGCAGGATGAGCCTGTAAAGGAAATCAAAGTTGAATGAATTATGTGAGAGCTAAGCCAATGGCCTGTGCGAAGCAGTGTAAGCTAATCGATATTTATCGCTTACAAGAGTGTCTTAGATCAGACATTAGAAAGCTAGAAGTAGACATCGATAACTATCGGTTTGCTGTGCATCTACTCTATCGCTATTGCTCTCTTAGCTTCCCCACACAGACAAACAAACTCAAAAAGTTTCCCTATCCATATCAAGTGCTTCTAGTCTATACTCACCTGGGCACATTGGCTGTCAGCGTGCTTAGCTCTGTGGCACCGCTGTCGTAACGTCCAAACTCCTCTTGTGCAACTAGATAGCAAAAGTGTGCCGCATAGATGTCGCCGCGTTGGAAGAGCGTATCACCCAGAGCAACTACCGAGCTACGATCGTATTCGGGCTGGCGCGATTTATTGGTCACCAATATTGAGAGATGCGAACGCCAGTCGCCCCATTGCTCATCGCGCAGCTGGCTAACGCAGGCGGGCGTGTGACAGCTCTTCATTTGGTAGAGCGTCTGCAGCGGATCGTTCGCTTTGATGGCGCGATTGAGAAACTTTTGTGCCACATCCGTCAGAGCATAGCGATCCTCGTAGAGAGCCAAGAAGAATGCATGCGTCCACAGATTGTGATCGGTGGCCCATTGCAGCGCCTCCTCGACGTTGCCGCGCAGCACGAAGCTGCGAAACTTATCGGTGGCAGCCTGTTCCGACATGGGCGCCTCTGTGGTAGCCGCATCGGCATCCGCATCCCGTTCAGTCTCTGCAGCGGCTGCAGCAGCTGGAGCCTTCGGCACAGCCTCGTCATCTGAATCATTGCCGATCTCGCTCGGATCGACACGTGCAGCCGCTGAATCAGCATCAGCTGATTCGGTGTCCGCCGATTCGGCGTCCGCCTCAGCATCTGGTGCATACGGATATTCGCGCTGATTCTCCAGAAGCAGATCACCCACATCGGTATCCGCAATCACCTGGAAAAGGACAAGACGATGTTAAGACTTGTGTCCAGCTGAAGTCGGGCGCTCGACTTACCCCATTTTGTCGCAGCAACAGTATGAGTAGATGCCACATGAGCGCGTGCGAGGCACGATACTTGTCCACGCTGCCCAGCGGCTTGGTCTGCGTGGCATACAGAATGCTGCATGAACGCGCCGGACCCAAGCGTATCTGCTCCTTGCAGAAGCTAATTATCTTGTCCTTGTGCAGCTTGCGGCCCTGCAACGGGCCGGGATAAGCGCGCAGCAGGCTGCTGGTGGCATCCCTGATCCTTGGCGCTGCCACATCCACCTCGTTGCGCAAACGTCCGGGTCCAGCGTACATGGGACGCACACTCAGCAGCACGCTCATCGAGTAGTTGCCCACCAGATGCGGTTGATTGTGCAGCAGCGGTGTGCGACGTCGCGGCGGACGTGCCACGCTCATGGTGCCCATTGCTGTGGCATCCATAGCTGTCGCGCCAACAGCAGCTCTAAGCGTGTGCATAAAAAGTTCCAAAATTAGTCGAGAATTGTGATAATGTTTCGTAAAGAACGGAACGGCAACAGGCATAATCCAAAAATCAGAAATCAGAAATCAGAAATTAAAAATCAGAAATCAAAAATTTCAATTCCAAAGCAAAAATGCATGCAAAAGGGGCGTGGCAATGGCTTGAGAGAGGGGCGGACAGGCTAGGCTTGACAGAGAGTAAAAAGAATTCGCAATGTTTTTCCAGAGTTATTCATTATCTTAAAAGCTGAAAAATGCGAGCTTCATGATAAGCAAACACCATAAACGAATTAGATAGATTGTCAAATAGGTACACATAGAGAGCATATATATATATATGTACCTGTGCCATTCAGGCCATCTGATAAATATAAAAAACTTTCCTATAATAAACGTTTACTGTCATTTGCTTAATGGGAGAGAGATAGAAATCTAACTTGAATTGCGCTTAACAAAGCCGTTAACAGTTTAGAGTTAACAGACTGCACAAATTATATACATATATATATATATATATACATATATATATATGTTAAAATGAACTTGAATTACATAATTCTAATATGAACAACTGAAACTCTTTGCGTTGCCTGTTAAGCTGTTAAGCTGCTGTTAGCTGTTAATGGCGCGCTGTTATTAACACTCACATGTTAACATAGCGTAGTCTCTGCTATGTTAGTGAACATTTCAGCAAACATTAGAAAGAGCAAAAGGCGTCAGTTAACATTGACAGCGTCACCTTGCCATTAACAGGGTTCACAGCAACTCAGTAAGCGTTCAAGTACAGCCTGCAAAGCACAATTCACAGCCTAAGATATTATCGATCTATTCCAAAATAGTTTAGTTCAGATCATTTATCAATGTTATGATATAGATTAGGATATTTGCATAGTTGATATCTAAGCAGCCAAAAAGCTAAGATTTCCAGAAAGCTGAAATGATCAATGAAGCAAAAGTTTTGGAGTAGAGGGAAACTATATGTAGATGGCGGCACTCAGATGGTAAAGATAGATGTTGCAGATGTGTTTTTATGTGTGGATGCATGAAGAACTTTGGAACCATGTCGAGTCTACGATGAATTTTGAATTTGTACTGAGATGTTTCATTATTCTGATACTCTTGCAATGGATATTACGAGTTTTTAGCATATATATGAATAGTATAAGGATACGCTTTCACAAATCTATCTCAAATTGAATCGAGTGCTGCCTTGAAGATAGAGAATTTGATCTCAATTTATGTATATACAATAGGCATTCTTCTGAACTCTAAGTTCGTTCTGATCAAGCACACTTTATGGGGTTTACCCCAACGCCTTCTGCCCGTCACAGAAGAATTCCCAACTGCAGCGTATTCAGAGTTTAATAAGCTATGTACATGCTTAGAGCATTGCAAGAGTATTCAAACTTCGGCATGCCAAAGCTAGCTGTTCCATTCTGGTTTTTTGATGAGCTTTTAGCATGTGTGTAAGACAGAGACAGAGACAGAGACAGAGCGAGCGAGAGACAGTTTTGGGGGGAGTTTTTTTTTGTTTTTGTTTTTGTTTTGTAGAGACCACCTGATATCGACGCCGCACTCCGAGCCAGCATAATAACGCTTATATCCGGCTAGCGTTGCATCCTCACAGTTCAAGTTGCTTAACGAACGAGCGCTGGAGATGCCATAAGAAGCCAACATCAGACGTCGATTGCTGCTGTGCGTATCGCTGCCATAGAGGCTGGCGCTGTCGTCGCCCCCCAGTGTGCTGTTCAATAGATCCGTATAAGCATGTTGCTGTTGCTGTTGATGTTGTTGATGTTGTTGATGTTGCTGATGTTGCTGATAGATATTCAGTTGCTCGTTGTATTGTTGGCGACGACGATGGAATTCATTGGCTTGTGTTATGTATGCGTGTGTGTACCTAAAGAGGAAGCACATGACGGCGTTTGGTTGTTGTGTGTGTGTGTGTGTGTGTGTGTGTGGTTGTTCGAGTTGTTGTTGTTAGAAACGAAAAACATTATTTGCTTGTTGTTTGTTGGTTGTTATTGTTGTTGCTGTTAGTAGAAGAAGACAGCACAACTGCAACGAGCAGTACTTGAATGCTAGTAGTACTTCTTTAGGGGGAATTACACAAAGCACAGCGAGCAAATCGACAATCAAACTAGTGTGAAGGAGTGAGAGAGAATGACAGTGGAAGGGAAAGAGAGACAGACAGCGAGAGAGCGAGAGATAGTCGGTTTGGTTTCGTGGTTGGATTTGAGGGATAACATAACATAATTATTTACGCTGGGAACTTTGAGGGATTTTCCTTGGCAGCGCCGCTGTTAGCTCAATGTTAGACAACATAACGTGTAAAGTTAAGTAACATAACGAGTAAGCCAGAGATACACATATAAGCAGCGAGAGCGAGCGACGCTCGTTAAGAACATCAGCGAGTAAGTAAGGTGAATTGAGTTGAGGTAAGTAAAGGTAGCTACGACAACATGCCCAAAGAGTTGTAAGAGAATTACAGAAACAAAAAGTTAACTTAACGAATAACGAGTAACGAGTAACGAGCATTTACTTTGCTCTAGCCAAAAAACGCAACTCTGCAGAAGTGAGTATATATATACATATATATATTTAATACTAAGTAATGCTATGATCTGTCTAAAGAATTCGAGATCCTTCTGTAGTCTTAAAACATTTGCAACTGAAGAACGATAGAATGAAGCTTACCTAACCTAAATTTTTTTTCTTATTTCTATTTGTGCCATTCCCAATGTTCCTAATACTCAACTGGAAGAACTAAATTTGAATTAACTTCAATTGATGCGTGTAGAGTAAATATGAGTTAACTATCTAAAAACTCGTCAAGTGTTTCATTTCCAGTCGTTCCGAAACGTCTTACTTCTAAGCATGAAAACATAAAGTATTGTATTTAAGTATTTTCTTTGCGAATTACATATAAAAGACTCCTCAAGCGTTTCATTCCCATTCGTTCCCACACGGTGTTAAGCAGGAAAACGCTATTCATAGCACACATGAATAGCATACCTTATTTAAATATCACAAACTGCATAAGTGTTTCATTTCCAATCGTTCCTAGACTAGACTATTCAGTTTTAAGCCATTCAGACAAGGTATTAATAAAAAGATATCAGTTAACTGTAAAATATTGATCCAGTGTTTCATTCCCAATTGTTCCAAAAGTTATTTCTAACCATTTTATATTTTCGACACGATTAATACGTATTAATAGGTGCTTGGTTAGAATATTTGTGAAAGTGTTTCATTTCCACACGTTTCTGTGGCCATTTAGTTTGTATTCTATTGGAGTCTTAGTCCATTTCTTATGGCCATATCGATTTAGTGGCATTAGCTAGACTAATAATGATTAAAGTAGGTAAACCAAGCAACTAGTGAACTAGACTAATAGATCAACTACTCAATCTGCAAAGTTAGCGCATATGGATTGAGATCTCTATTGGATGTTTGTCTGTGGCACTTACCGTTCACGCTCACTGAGTAGAGCTTCCTCATTGCCAGCTGCAGCGTTGGAGCCGACGCCGACGCCGACGCCGATGCCGCCGGCCATCAAATGCCTTGGATCCAGACCGACAGCAGCTGCTGCTGCTAATTGCTCGTGCGACGGTTGCTTCACCGACTTCGTTGTGGCAACAGCATTTACCGCCGCTGTCATTGAGTTAATCATTTGGCCATAGAACTTGGCATACATGTCCGCATAGGCGTGCGGATTACGCGACATCTGCTCGTACATGCTGAACGGGTCGAAGCTGGCCGCTGGATTCGCATACTGTTCGTAGTTGCGACGTTTGCCACCGCTGCTGCTGCCGCCGCCGCCGCCGCCAGTGCTGCCACCATTGATGAGCTCCTTCTCCAGATCGCTGTTGCGCGAGCTCTTGTTGCGATAGCCCTCGTAGGTGCGGGCATCCCAATGCTGCTGCTGCCAATCGGAGTGATGCGAATGACGCGCTCGATCACTGCCATCGTGACTGCGCCGACTGCTGCGCAGTTTGTCCTGCTGCGAGGGCTGCGCCTGTTTCTCACCTCGTCGCGAACGATAGTGACTGGCACCGCGTGGCATCGATCGCATCTCGTAGGCATCGTAGTCATCGTCAGCTGCTGCAGCGCTGCGATTATGACGATTCCCTTTGCTTTTACGCACGCCTACGCCGCTACCGCCACCGCTGCCGCCGCCACCGCCATCGCCATCGGCATCGCTGACTGCCGCTGGGACGGCTGCATCCGATTCGCCATCATAGTTGCTATTGTTGTTGCTGTACCGAGTGAGTCGGCCATAGGGCTGCTCGTCGCGTCGCCACCGATTGCGATCACGCTCTCGTTCGCGCTCCCTTTCACGTTCCCGTTCACGTTCACGTTCTCTTTCACGCTCCCTCTCCCGTTCTCTTTCACTGCGCTCCCTGCCACTGCGCTCCGGTTCGTGTCTTCGATGTTGGTCCGCATCGCGACTGCGTCGTTTCGCGTCACGCCCGGACTTACTGCTGCTATTGCTTTCGTTGTGGAAAGCTGCTCCTCCGCCTCCGCCGCCACCGCCTCCGCCGCCTACGGCACGTGCGGAATCCTCCGTTTCGCCTTCATAGTTGTTGCTAGTGTTGTTGTTGCTGTAATGACGACGATTGTTGCGCAAGCTGCGCACGCTGCGCTCATCCGCCTGTCGCCGCGGCGGCAGATCATGCCTATCACTGAGCAACCATTCATCCTCGGACTCATCCTCCGACTCCAGATCGAGTGAGGCCACATGACGCGGCTTGCCACGTGAATGTTGCTGTTGCTGTTTCTTATCAAGCGGCAGTTGCTGTTGTTGCTGCTGTTGCAGCTGCGTGCTTGTCTCAATCTCCTCGCTGCCAATGTGATGTGTTTGATGTATTTCCGTATCCAGCTCGTTGGCAGCAGCTGTTGCCGTCGCACTTTTACCTGCTGCTCCTCCTCCTCCTGCTGCTGTTGTTGTTGGTGGCACTGTCAGCGGCACTGACTGCTGCACTGGTCGCTGATCCTCCAGGTTCTCGCCATCCAGCACCACCTCACGTTGCTCTCCGGACAGCACAACGGTTTGGGCGTGAGTCTCTACACCTGTTACCACGCGACGCGCCGATGGCTGCAGCTGTTGCTGTTGCTGCAGATGTTGCTTTTGCTGCTGGTGCTGCTGTTGATGTTGTTGCAGCTGTTGTTGTTGTTGCTGCTGCTGCTGGTGGAAGAGGTCCGTGCGCGTTGGCTGCTCACCATCGGAGGTATCCTCGCCATCGGCCTGACGATCGGACATGTGCAGCGCATTGGCCAGATGACTGGGCGGCTGCTCGGTGCCAGTGACCAATCGTTGCCGCTCCACCAGTTCCGGCTGTCCAAGCACAAGACGCGACAATCCCGGCGGTGGCAACAGCCCATCCGCCTCCCAGTTGCCCTCATTGGCCTCCTCCTCGTGCTGCTCGGACAGGTGACTGGTCTGCAGGTACTGTGCACGTTCGTCATTTGGCGCTGCCAGCAATACCTCCTGATTCTCATAGGGCTGCTCCGGCTGATTGGGTTCCGGTAGCAGCATCTGCACAGGCGCTGCAGCTACGATGGGCACAATTGGCGTTGGTGTTGCTGCTGGAGCTGCACCTGATGTTGCCAATATATTCACCCGCTGACTTAGTCCGCCGGAGCGCTTGAAGGGATTCCCGGCTGCTGTATCCATCGCAGGTGGTGGCAAAACAGGCGTCGCTGCTACAGGAGGGGCAGCTGCTAGCGGAGCAGCCACTGGAGGCGCTGCCGATAGAGGAGCTGCTACTGGAGGTCCTGCCACTGAAGGACCTATGGGTAGTGGCTGATTTTGGAAAGCTTGTGGCGGCACAATGGCATTCAGTTCCGGATCCGCCACTGGTGACAGCTGCTCGATGGAGGGCGACAGTAAAGGTGGCAATTCCAATGATTTGCCTGCTTCGCTAAGGTTATTATTGCTGGCCTTATTGTTATTGCTGACATTGAGGGTGTTACTAAAGGTGTGCCAGCTGCTTTGACCCTGCACACTGAAGGAATCATCCACAACGTTAGGTAAAGAAGGAGGTGCCTCGTTCTGGGTGATAATGCCGCTGTTGTTGTTACTGTTGTTGTTGACGTTATCATTCCAATCGCCCCAATCACCCCAACCATCATTTTTTCCACTATTATTATTTTCAAAGAGCTCCACAGCTGGCTGTGTCTGTGGGTCTGGTTGCTGTTGCTGCTGCTGCTGCACCATTGGTGCCGATTGATAATATTGTTGCTGCGTGGACATCACATCGGGCGGTGCATAGGTCATGGGAACGGCAGGTGCTGGAGCTGGAGCAGGAGCAGGAGCAGGAGCAGCTGCAGCTACAGTCGCAGGCGTTGCATAGCTCACTGGCTTAGGTTGTGCTGTGCCGGAAAAGAAATTTTTATAGGTGTGAACCGCCTGCTGTTCCTGTTCTGGCCAATATACTTGTGGGCCTGGCTGTGTAAACATTTGGCTGGCGTAAAGCTGCAGCTGCGGCTGCGACAGCGGCTGCTGTGGCGCCTGTTGGGCCTGCGACTGATTATGATGAATTTGAGGTGCCTGCTGCTGCTGCTGTTGTTGCTGTTGTTGTTGTTGTTGCTGTTGCATATGTTGCTGCTGTTGAGGCGGTGGCAGCCAGCTGGCATTATTGTGCAACATGTTGTCGCAGTGCGTTAGCTGGGCAAACTGCAAAAGAAAAACCCGTTCAAAGTTTGGTGAAATTTTGTGCTAAATAATTAAATTGTCATATCTCTTTAACGTGATGCTAAATTTTAACTAGCTGGCAACGTCAAAGCATTTCTGTTATGGTTTTTTTGGTCTCCTTATTTTAAAGTATGCACGCACCCAATCGTATATTCACAGTTATTTTTCAGACTGCATGTGTGTGTGTCTGCGTCTGTGTATGTGGGCTCGAGCAAAGTTGCCATACAGCTTTCAAGTGACAGCTGTGCTCACTTCGCGTTAGGATGCAGCGATACCTGAGCGTATATAACGTTTTCATTCTGATTGATTTGTATTTACAATTCACAATTGGTTTTTACAGTTGCTGGAAGACAACTTCTGGCATGACATGCGTTTGTTTTCGGCTTTTGGATTAGGTGCAAATTACAATAGGATTGACATTTGACAACAAAAAATTAGGAAAGAAAGAAAAAAAAACAATTCATATGAACTCATGCATATGTGTGTACTTGTCAATTTGTTATGCCGTGCTTCGCTTTGCTTATGTCTTGTTAATTATTTCGCTTGTATTGTTGTTGTGCAGTTTTTTTCTTTTTTGTATAATCCAACAATCACAATGGCTGCAGCAGCAGCAGCAATAGCAACAACAATAACCACGCTGAGCTAAAAGTTTACGTGGACGTTTGCTATGCGCGCCCCTATACCCGCTTTCAGCCCCCACAGACACGCACACAAACACTCACACTCGCAATCTTTTTCGTCGTTTTGTTACCACCGTTTCGCTCTGGTGTTTGTTGTTGTTGTCTTTTTTGTACTGCTTGACACAGCAGGTTTTTTTATTTGCTTTGCGGTGCTTTGCATATGTGCGTATATCATTTACACTTGCATTTTTATAATATTTATTAACTTTATATTGAAACAAATTTGTATATGTTCTTTTTTTCCAACATCAACGTCAGTCAAAAGTGAAAACAGCAAAATTAGAGCAGCGGTTGGGAGATAGAAAGAGAGGGAGAGCTATATTGCCAGAGAGCCGTCAAAGTTTCAGTCGAACTGCAAAAACAAATAGTACGTACACGCACATACACATATATGGGGTAGTAACCGCTTAAATGTAATTGCTCCAAGTAGCCCGGGCGGTGGGGTTCCTAGCACTTGCATATAACCGTTTCGCATAATTAGGCATAAAGCAGCTGATTAGCCGATAAGCGGCCGTCCATCAAATTTATAAAAATAACAACAGCCACACCGTCGTACCGAAAGAAAAGTACACACACATACAAACACACACACTTGCGCCACACTTCATAAGCACATCAACACAAACACAAGGTGTCAATCCTGTGCCTTTCTTTTTTCTCTTTTTTTGTTAGTTTGTAATAATTGTTATAGTATTGTCGGTACAAACACTTACACGAAACTTTTCTTCAATTACGCCAGTGTGTTACTTATTTAATAATTTTATGCAGTTGGGTTATATTGTATTTAAATGGAATTTTTCGAGTACAAATGCCAACTCGACTTTTCGCAAGCGTTGCCAGTCTGTTAGCGCTAGACTAACTTTTCTAACTAATATCTGTTAACGCAATCTGCAAACGCAAAATTGACTCTATTAACTTACATCGGCACAGACTGTTAGGCAACAGCTGCTAAGCAATGCACAAAACGGTCAGACAAAACTGTAAAAATACTTATATACTAGAAATACTTAAAATAGAAATACATAAAAACTGTGTATTCTTATGTTAAGCATATATGGTCACTAAAACGTGCTTTCAATCTTCAAAAGTTCAAGTTTAATTTGTATTTTGAATTAGAACAGAATGGGTAAAAAGGATAAGAATAAGAAGAAAGGCAAGGGCGCCGAGAAAACCGCCATGAAGACGGACAAAAAGCTGGCAGCCAAACAAAAGAAAATGCTTGAAAAGCTCGGTGAGGTAAAACACACGTTCAACTCGCAACAAAACTTTTGTATATAAAATATTTGGTTTGTTTTTTATAGGCGGATATTGCGGATATTGTTAAGAAATTAGAAGCTCAAGAGCAGAGTGTAACGGCCATAAGCGAAAATGTGTGTGCAGCACCAACGCCACGTTCCAATTTCTCACTCGTAGCACACCCCGAAAAAGAAGAGCTGATCCTTTTTGGCGGCGAGCTGTATAATGGATCTAAAGTCTTTATATATAACGATTTGTACTTCTATAATATACCACGCAACGAATGGAAGCAACTGCGTTCACCGTCAGGTCCAACGCCACGCAGTGGCCATCAGATGGTTGCCACAGCCAACGACGGCGGCCAGCTCTGGGTAAAGTGGTAAAATACTTCAAAATTGCCTCTCGATTTAGTGAGTTTGTATTTTTCAGTTGTTTGGTGGAGAGCACGCTAGTCCGTCGCAGCTACAGTTCTATCATTACAAGGATCTCTGGATGCTAAGCCTGAAGACACGCCAATGGTCCAAAATCAATGCACCAAATGGTCCAAGTGCACGCAGCGGTCATCGCATGGTCGTCTCCAAGAAGCGTCTTTTCGTCTTTGGCGGATTTCATGACAATAATCAATCCTATCATTACTATAACGATGTGCACGTATTCTCGCTGGAAACATATGAATGGTTGAAAATTGAAATAGCGAGCCCAATTGTACCGGCTATACGTTCCGGCTGTTGCATGGCCGCCGCACCGGATGGCAAAATCTTTATATGGGGTGGCTATGCACGAACCTCAATGAAAAAGGATCTAGATCGAGGCGTTACACACACGGACATGTTTATGCTGGATGTAGACAGTAGGACTTTTCTAAAATTGTTAGAGTTTATCTAATGGCATCTTATTTCACTTGCAGAGTCTGGTTCCGGCAATAAGTTTAAGTGGAGCACTGTCAAGGCTGGCGGTTATCGCCCAAAGCCGCGCAACAGCGTTGGTTGCACCGTTGGAGCAAATGGCAAAGCGTATTGCTTTGGCGGTGTCATGGACGTCAACGAGGATGATGAGAATGTACAAGGACAATTTGGAGATGAGCTACTTGTATTCGATTTGAGCTCCCATGCGTGGCGACTGCTGGAAGTCGCAGCCAAGGATAAAAGCAGCTCTAAATTGGACAAAGAAAAGTCGAATGATATCGAAATGGCTGGTGATGCCGCTCAAGCTGCCGAGAAGACAGTGACTACCAGCACAGATGGCATTTTCACGGTAACCGTTGGTGGACCTGGCTCTAGTCAAGCCACCACACCCTATGTTTCCAAAATACCCAGTCTGTTTGGAACGCCTCGTCGCACAGATGTGCCGTCACCTCGCATGAATCCGGGTCTGTGCATTTGCAAGGGCATTTTATACCTATTTGGTGGAATCTACGAGGAGGATGAGAAACAGCAAACATTAAATGATTTCTATGCATTAGATCTACATAAACTGGATCAATGGAAGGTCCTCATAGCAGGCAATCAGAAGGCGCACGACTGGATCGATGATGACGACAGCAGCAGCTCCGACGAGGAGTGCTCCGATGAAGATGATGATGATGATGATGATTCTGATTCTGAAATGGAAACTGATTGATTGCATAGTACTATAAACAATTTGAGTAAAATGTATTTTAATAAATACAAAATTGTACAGCTGAAGTGAGCATTTATTACAGTTAGCTCGTATAACTTTCAATCCAAATATTTCAAAATGTTTATCTTTTCCACAGCTGGCAGCTATAATACATCAACAGTAAATGTATTAAATACCAAATTAGTGGCGTATCAGCTTTAATAAAATACCAAAATGAATAAACAAATATAGTAGGCATATATAAGATGCAAAAGTAGTTGCGGAAAAATACCAAAATGTAGTATTTAATGCATGACAAATAGCATTTGTCCAGCGTACACCTGACCCGTATGCATATCATGTGTGCGTGCGTGCGTATGCCTGTGTGTGTGAGTGTGTGTGTATGTTGGTGTGAGCATGTGTGTGCGTATTATTATTATTGTTAAGGTTAACCAACAAGTTAGTTAAATGCTTAAGCGCTTGCGTATATAGTTAATTATTCTTAAGTTAAGTGCGACAAATAGAAGCCACAGATGCTGCGCCTACTCCTAAGCAACTGCAATCGCAGCGATTTGATCAGGTAAAGCAGCAAAGTGGAAAGCAGCAGCTCAAATGCTCCACATGCTCCTCACTTCACACACAACTTTGGCCCCGCTGGCCCTCTGCACCCCCCAACCCTCCCACTCCCTTCAGCACAAACGCGCGCGCGTTTCGTTTAATGATAAAGTTTTTGCCCTTTTTGATGTTTGATTATGTCATCAAATATTGTTTTCTTGTTTCTTGTTTTGCTTTTGCTTTTGCTTTGCTTGCCCTGCTGGTTGTGGGTGCTCCGCTAGCCGCAGCCTATTGCAGCAGCTGCCTCAATCGCCGCTAGGCACACGTCTCCACAATGCCACGAGACTGATGCGTCAACATCAGTGGGCTGGACCACGACCGACGTGCGGCAGTGGCAGCGGCAGCAGCAGCTGTCGCGCCAAGCTCCAGACGACGCGTGCCCTGCTATGGGGCGGCGGCAGCTTGGGCGTGGGCGTGGCAGCGCGCAGCTGGTGGACGAGTCGAGCGATCGCTCACTGCGAGGGTAACCGACTGGCCGGTGTCATACAGCATACACTGCAGCAGGAACAGGAGCAGAACTTTGACTGGAAGCGCCTGTGGACGTATCTGGAGCCGCACACCTGGGAGCTAATAGGTGCCATATTGGTAAGCACCTGAACTGCTTGCGGCGCAGTGCATCCATTTGTCTATGTCAATGTCATTGTTGTTGTTGTTGTTGTTGTTGCAGGCAGCTTTAATTGTGGCCTTCATCAATATACGTATACCCAATCTGCTGGGCGACCTGGTCAACTCGCTGGCGCGATATGCCAACACCTATGTGATAAACCCGATCAACAACTCCTTTGTGAAGGATGTTAGCAAGCCAGCTAGCAATTTGCTAAGCCTCTATATGCTGCAGTCGGGCTTCACGTTCATGTACATCTATCTGCTGAGTCGCGTGGGCGAGCAGATGGCCGCGCGGATGCGACAGGATCTGTTCAAGCAGATCGTCCTGCAGGACATTTCGTTTTTCGATGAGAATCGCACGGGCGAGCTGGTGAACCGCCTGACAGCCGACGTGCAGGACTTCAAGACCTCGTTCAAGCATTTCGTTGCCCATGGATTGAGAAGTGGCGCCCAGCTGATTGGTGGCAGCGTCTCCCTGTTCATGATATCGCCGCACATGGCAGCCATTGCCCTGGCCAGTGTGCCCTGCGTGGTCTTGTTTATGTCGTATCTGGGACGCAAGCTGCGCTCCCTCAGCAAAAGCTCCCAGGCGCAGGTGAGCACTTGTGAAGAAGGTTTCCAATAGTCGATATATATATCTCAGTCCCATTCATCAGACGGAACGTGCCACGGGCGTTTGCGAGGAGGCGCTGTCCAACATACGCACTGTGCGCTCCAGCGCCTGCGAGTACCGTGAGATGCAGCTCTTCGAGCAGGAAACGAATGAGGCAGCACGTCTCGCCCAGGAGCTGGGCTATGGCATTGCCGTCTTCCAGGGCCTGACAAATTTCTTCCTGAACACACTGGTCCTGTCGACGCTCTTCATGGGCGGCCATTTAATGTCCACGGAGAGCCTGACGCCCGGTGCTCTAATGGCATTCCTGGTCGCCTCGCAGGGCGTGCAGCGTTCGCTCTCGCAGGGCTCCATTCTGTTGGGTACCATGATACGCGGCCTGACGGCGGGCAGTCGCGTCTTTGAGTTCCTTTCGCTGCAGCCCAAGGTGGAGCTGTCCCGTGGCTATGTCATACCCGAAGAGCGCTTGCATGGCGAGATTCGCTTCGAGAATGTCTGCTTTGCCTATCCCATGCGACCGGATCATGTGAGTGAGAATAAGTTTATCTGGATTTCATGCTAATTGCCTTGCTCCGCTTGTCTTGCAGCTCGTACTGAAGGACTTCAGCCTGACGCTGCGTCCTGGCCAGACGGTCGCTCTGGTCGGCGCCAGCGGCTCGGGCAAATCCACCATTGCCGCGCTACTCGAACGCTTCTACGAACCTACCTCAGGCAACATCAAACTGGATGGCTACAAGCTCTCCGACATCTCGCCCTATTGGCTAAGGGCCAATGTGCTGGGATTCATTGAGCAGCAGCCCATTCTCTTTGGCACCAGCATCCTAGAGAATGTGCGCTATGGCAAGCCGGATGCCAGCGAAACGGATGTCTTTGATGCATCCAAGCTGGCGCAGTCGCATGATTTCGTTACCAATCTGCCCGATGGCTATGCCACACATGTGGGCGAACGCGGCACCCAGTTGAGTGGTGGTCAAAGACAACGCATTGCCATAGCCCGAGCGCTGGTCAAGAATCCGCGCATCCTTATCCTGGATGAGGCAACGAGTGCGCTGGACGCCACCAGCGAATCAGAGGTGCAGAAGGCCTTAGACACTGCCGTACAAAATCGCACTACGCTGGTGATAGCACACCGGCTATCCACGATACGCAATGCAGACCTGATTGTGGTCATGGATCAGGGACGCGTAGTGGAGGTTGGTTGAAGAGAATCTCTTTTCTTTGTAATATCCGCTTAACGCTATTCTTTCTCTCTGCAGACGGGCAAGCATGATGAGCTGATGGCCAAGCGTGGCCTGTACTTTGAGCTAGTGCGTCAGCAGGAGCGACGCGAGAGTCAGGAACAGATCCTCGATCAGCCGCAGCTCCTGGAGCAACCAATTAGCAAAAATTCCCCAACCGTCGAGACGACAGAGAACGCAGTACAATAATACAAAACGACACCTATATAGATGTATCTATATGATTCCCCTGTATATATAAAATTTTTTTAATTTATTAATTGTTTGAGAGATTTACATTTAAATTTAAAAAAAAAATCACTAATTCGATGAGATAATTTAAATAAGCAGAAGAACTGGTGTTCATGTTAAATAAACCAAAACAAGATACATTATTTTTATGTACATAAAGCATGTCTATCATAATTTGTCAGTTATTTGTTTAAAAATAAAAATAAAGCCAAAAGTCAAAAAAATTAATTTTTCAAGCTTGGCTCGTGCAGTTCACATATTGTCTGGTATTTATATGGTATTTATCGCATTATTTGTTTTGGTATTCACGGTTTTTGGATTTTTTGATTGAGTCAAGCGCGGTCACATTGTACACACAACGCTAGTCTCATTTTGGTTTTTTTTTAAACAAATGCATTTGTTTTTTATTTTCGAACTGTGTGGAGTATTTAAAGTGGCCAAACGTTCGAACGCTTGTGGAAATGGTGTGAAAACGCAATGCACGCAAATTTGCGATGTGCATTAAACAGCAGCATCAAAATATAAGATAAAATTATGTAAGTGTATAAGTGAGTGTATTGTTTTCTGTGTGCGCGCTCGTGTATTTGTGTGTGTGTGTATGTCATGTGTATAGTTTTGGCAGTAACAACTATTAGTAAGAATGCAACAACAACTTAAACAACAATAGCACAAGCTTTGCCATTTGCTAATGCTGATGTTGTTGTTCCCGTTCCCCCACACACATTTCGTACAACATTTCAACTGTTATTTGCGCGCGTGTGTGTGTATGTGTGTTTTTGTTTGTGTTTGTGCATTCGTCATATTGTGTATATGTTTTTTTTGTTTTTTAATTTATATGTGCATAACAACACAGCTGCGTCAGCTGCTACTGCTTGCTTCATTAGTTATATTAAGCACTGATACTGTTGTTAACAAATATGCAGTCATGAGTTGGGCAAGAATCAGTCACAACACCATTTCTCAGGGTCAATGCTGCCAATAACCATAGGTTTCCCACCCCAAAGCGCATTTGGAATTCCCATAGAGTTGCGCTACACCGATCAACTGAACTAGTTCCACTCGGTCACATGATCTCAATTGATGCTGCAAATAAAATGTCATAATTTTTTATATGTATATATTAATACAATATTTTGTGAAATATGCCGGCTACATGACATCATACTTAGATTAGTTGATAAGTAGCTCGACTTGGTTTGTACACAGCTCCAGCAATGTAGTTAGTTGCATGCAGTGTGTTGTAGTAGTTCATTTGCAAAACCGGTTCAGTAAACAAAGGCTTGCCAGATCGTTGCACAAACAAACATCAGCACTCTTAAACTTGCTCTCATCATCATTGTGCTCTCATGTGCTCTCTCTCCCTCTTCTCTTCAACCAGCAAGCAACGCATACATACGCATACACATATACACACATCCATCTCCATGCATCAACAAAAAGAACAACCACAACAACAGCGCATAGCGGCGGTGGCGCTGCCAGCTTGCGCCAGTTGTCTCTGTCCCCTGCTGGCCAACAATCACAACGATGAGCCGATAGTGATGGCCCTTGGCCAGCAATGGCATTGTGATTGTTTTCGCTGCTCCGTTTGCGATTCACATCTGCATAGCTGGTATTTTGAGCGTGAGAATTTGCTCTATTGCCGCGAGGATTATTATGCACGTTTCGGCGATGCCTGTCAACAGTGTACAGCGGTTATAACGGGACCTGTTATGGTTGCCGGAGAGCATAAATTTCATCCGGAATGCTTTTGTTGTGCGGCCTGCGGATCATTCATTGGGGAGGGCGAATCCTATGCCTTAGTCGAACGCTCCAAGCTCTATTGCGGCCTGTGCTATGGCAAACGTCTGCCCCTCGATGCTCGGGCTCGTATAACGAATGCGGGGAAGCCAATGCATTCCATACGCCTGGTGGAGATACCCAAGGATGCGACACCCGGTCTTCGTGTGGATGGTGGGGCCTTAGACGATGGTTGTCCCACTGTGCGGATAACCGAGTAAGTTGCCCAACAAAACGGCTTAAGATCATAAAAATAATAAAAATGCCTTACGTATTTGGTAGCATATAGAAAAAACAATAAGTACTAAAAAAAAAGTTTTAAATACTAAAACAAATATTGTTAAAAACCAAAAGCTTTACATACTTAAAAAGCAAATGATCAAAACTAATCATAGAGTTTAAATATTAATAGTTCTCAAGGCACTTCTATACTAAAAAATACTTTTATATATATATATATATATATATTTTATATATATATATATATATATATATATAAAATATATATATATATATACTCTATCTACTTTGGCCACGTCTTTCAAAATAATATTTCAATTAATTCAAAAGCTTTTTAAAATAATTAAATATGTATAAAATGATTAATCCAAAACCATTTTTTTAAAATGCTATAAAAATACTTTAAAAATATACATAAACATATATTATTTCTATACACTCTTAAGAGTCGTTGTAGTAGACAAACATTGAATACAAAAGATTATTTTTTTGGATAAAGATATAGAATTTTATGCGATCTTGTGAGTCTATATAGCAGAAATTTGTATCATATTACCGATTAATCAAAAAGTTTTTTTTTAATATATTTTCAAAATACTTAAACAAAAAGGTATTCTACAAATATTAAGATTTTTAGAGCAAAACTTTTAGTAAATAGTATTTAGAAAGAATTTTTTAAATGTTTGTATTTAGTTTGTATTTATATTAATAAGAACTTAAGTTAGAAGCTTTTAAAATGAATTCAATTTGTCTGTTTGCTCTTAAGCGAAAGTTGCTTAAAATATATCCAAATTGCTGTGGTAATTTAATTAATTTTGAAACCACTGAAACCTAAAAATGTACGCAAAATTCTCTCAAATTAATTTAGTCTATATGCTCTTTTGAGAGCTTTTTCTTGAGCAAACGCATTTAAAGCAGCTGTTTAGTAGTTTTACCTTTAGCTTCACACACACATGCAAAAAGCTTTAACGTGCTTTTAAAGCAAAAAGCTCATTAAGACAAAAGCAGCTGCTTTGAATGCTTCTACTTTAATTATTAATTTGTAAATGAAATTTGTTAGCAAATATTTTAATGCCTGGTGTTGGTTGTTTTACTTTCCTACTTTCTCTCTCTCTCTCTCTCGCTCTGTTTGCGTTTCTCTGTCTCTTTTTTAATTACACTGTGTCACGCTTATCAAGCTTAATTTGTAAATTTTATGGTCGCATGGGCAAATACGCCTTCTCCCTGCTTACCTCGGTGGCGGATCGTTGTTGTGCTTCATATATGTAGGTAAACCAAGAACTCAGGAAACCTAGCCCTGCTGGCATCCTGGACTCTGTAAGTGAAAGCTCATTAATCTGTGTCTGTTTGCCCGCTTCAGGATCGATGTGAATCTCACCAATTTGCATATCGGCGATCGCATTTTGGAGGTCAATGGAACGCCCGTCAGCAACTCGTCTGTGGATCAGATCGATAAGCTGATACGCAGCAACGAGAAGATGCTGCAGCTGACCGTTGAGCATGATCCGGTGCAGGTGTGTCGCAGTTGCAGTCAAGCGGACATCCAGCGCGCCAGCTCCGCATCGACCTTGATATTGCCCCTGAGCACGTCCGCTTCCAGCGTTGAGGTCGGAGGTCGTGGACGCGAACGCCTGTATAAGGCTGCGGCCACCGAGCCCAGCGGCAAGATGCGTAAGATGCGACAACAAACGTTGCAATCGCTACAAACCAGCAAATCGACCGTGCCACAACAACAACACCAGCAGCAGCAGCAGCAGCAGCAACAACTGCCGCAGCAGCAGGAGGTACAGAATCCGCCCGAGCAATTGTCATCGCAGCTAAAGGAGAAGGAACGCAGTTCGAGTCTCTCGAAACTGCTGGACGAGCAGCACGCGGCTCAACAGCATTCGGCGCATCCACAGCTGTACGATCTGTCGCGGACGCAGAGCTGTCGCGTGGTCCAGAAGCCGCAGCGCATCTTTCGGGCCTCCGACTTGGTGATGGGCGAGAAACTGGGCGAGGGCTTCTTTGGCAAGGTCTTTAAGGTGACGCATCGCTTGACCGGCGAGCTGATGGTCCTCAAGGAGTTGCATCGCGCCGATGAGGAGGCTCAGCGCAATTTCATTAAGGAGGTCGCCGTGCTGCGCCTGCTCGACCATCGGCATGTGCTCAAGTTCATCGGAGTCCTCTATAAGGACAAGAAGCTGCATATGGTCACGGAGTATGTGGCCGGCGGCTGTCTCAAGGAGCTGATCCATGACTCGAGTCGCGTGCTCACCTGGTCGCAGCGCGTCTGCCTGGCCAGGGACATTGCCTGCGGCATGAGCTATCTGCATTCCATGAACATCATCCATCGTGATCTCAATTCAATGAATTGTCTCGTGCGCGAGGATCAGTCCGTGATTGTTGCCGATTTCGGCCTGGCGCGCAGTGTCGATGCGCCACGTCTGCCCGGCGCCAGCTCCAACTCTGGCTCCATCGACGCCAATGCCATGTCGCCCAGCGGCACATTGCGGCGCAGCAAGAGTCGCCAGCGCCGGCAGCGCTATACAGTCGTCGGTAATCCCTATTGGATGGCACCCGAAATGATGAAGGGTCTCAAATACGATGAGAAAGTTGATGTGTTCTCCTTTGGCATTATGCTATGCGAGGTGAGTCAACATATATCAATATAATAAATTAGTTGATGCATCTAAAGTCTTCTCTTCTTCTCTGCGCTGTCTTCGTAAACGTTTCACTGGCTTGAAAGCGTTAACTCACCTTCTTCGCTCTCTAGCTCCATGTAAATACTTCTTCTGTTAGCCACTATTGTTGCTAGACCTGTGCGCTTCCTTGGCTTGGCGTCTGAAATGTTTTAGTGCCATAAAATGTAATTTACTATAGCTATTCGCCTTTAGACAGCCACTGATCCCTTCTGTAGAGCTTAGCGCTCTTTTATGCTCTTCTAGTGAAGCATTCGTAAACGTTTTACTGGCTCACAGTTTGCCTTTTGAACTCTGCGCTTATCATATTATCCTTTCGTGTTCGTAAACGTTTTACTGTCTGCTACTATATATTAAAGCTTGTTTCATTAGCTCAACTTCTCATGCTCCTATTTAGCATATATTGTCATAAGCCACACTCGTAAACGTTTTACTGGCTGCTGCTATATATATTAAAGCTTGCATCATAAGCTGGGCTATTCATGCTCCTATCTAGGCTCTTGTAGCATAAGCCCATTGCGTGGTGCTTCGATGCGTAACTGTTTTACTGACTTCTAATATATATTAATAAATCGTAGCTGCCATAGCTTAGCCTAACTCTTCCGAGCTACTATCTGGGCGCTCTTGAATAGATCTTCAGTTTTGCAGCCGCATTCGTAAACGTTTTACTGGCTCATAGACATATAGATACGCAGTATCCTTGACCCTAAGCTAAGCACCCGTTTCACTGGCTGAACATCTACTTACGCTTTTGCTTTTTTTCGTCGCAGATAATTGGACGCGTTGAAGCCGATCCGGATTATATGCCACGCAACTCGGACTTCAGCTTGAACCAGCAGGAGTTTCGCGAAAAGTTCTGCGCCCAATGCCCCGAGGCATTCGTGAAGGTTGCCTTTGTCTGCTGCGATCTGAATCCGGATATGCGTCCGTGCTTCGAGACGTTGTACGTCTGGCTGGAGCAGCTGCGTCAGCATCTGGATGCACAGCAACAGCCGCCGGCGCGGCTGCTGCACGAAATCGAGAACTTTCAGGATAGCTACATAAGTTCGGAGGATGCGTTGTCGCCGACATCGCAACGCAGTCTCGACAATCTAACGATGGCCGGAACAGCTGCACAGCAGCAGCAGCAGCAGCAGCAGCACACGAATCAAGCCACAGCCCATGAGCTGGAGGAGAAGGAGAATGTCGAGCTAATGGATAATGTTGTAATGCGCACCCACGACATACCCAAGTCTCCGCATCTGGGCAAGGATTTCTCGCCCAGTGGCGAACGTCTGCGCGACAGCATGCGCGCTCGACGCCGTCAACGTTTCCTCGGCGCACAGCCGCCGCTGCGTGGCCTAACGCCGGAAACGACATCCACCGAGCGGGCGCTCAAGCAGGCGCTGAAGAAATGCCGTCCATTCGGCGAGAAGGGCTATCTGGTCGACCTGCGTCCGGGCGCTGAGCTGCAGCTGAACGATGTTCGCGACTTGAACAACTATTCCGATGTTGACTCCAGCTGCGACACGAGTCTCAATTATCATGATGTGAATGTGACGCCGACGCCGACGCTGACGCCGCCACCGATGGCGCCGCCCACACCGCCGCCGCTGCCGCTCGAGCATCATTTGGCGTTTGAGGATATGCGCACTCGGCTGCATCAATGTCGCAGCAAGTTCGAGCACCTGGAGGAGGCGAGTCGTCGCAACTTCAGTCAGTCGCAGCATTCGATGCGTAACTTTTTCAAGACGCCGCCAGTGGCATTGAAAATGTTTCAGCGTCTCGAGCACGAGGCATCCATGAATGGCAGCAATGCAACAACAACAACAACAGCCAAACAACGCAGCACTCAGCGCATCAATCAGACGCCCATCTTTGGACGGCGACAGCTGCCGGCGCAGCTGCCACGCTTGCCGCATGCCGAGTCGTTTGAGCAGCTCGCAACGGCAGCTGCAGCAACAGCGAAAGCAACTGCTGTTGCCAAGCGCAGCAAAGCAGCCGAACAGCAAGCAACAACAACAACAACAACAACAACAACAACGGCAGTAGCAACAACAGCAGTTGCTGCAAGCCCCGCAGCTGCAGCAGCCGCAGCAGCTGATTGCCTGGCCAAGAAGCATAAGCTAACGCTGCCACTGGCCACCTCTTGGCAGCGACGTCCAGCTCAGCCCGTTAGCAAAGCCAAGCCACAAAGAACAACGACAACAACTGCAACAACAACAACCTTAACAACAACCAACAATAGCCACAGCAACGGTGCCTCGCCCACACGCCATCGACCCGGCTCACCGGGCAAACATCTCGCCCAGCGTCACACAGCAGCCACGGCACAGCGCCAGAGCCACAATCATGGTAAATCCCTTAAAGCATTTCATTCCATAGCGGATGGCACTTCGGTTGCTTCGATAGAGCCAGGCTAACGCAGTTTGTTGAAACTAACAGAGAATCAGACTTGCAACAGCACTCGCAACTGGCCTAAGCGAGCCGAGGGTCGAGTAACTAAATGAATGTACAATTAGCCAGTTAGTTAGCTAAGTAAGCTCTAGGTCTAGCATCTCCTCAACTCTAAAGCCCCGCAGAGTCATATGTTGCTATACAAAATCAAATTGAAATAGTTTTTCGCTTCGAATTCGCAACTAGTTTAAGCGAGCGGAGAGCTCACAGCTTAGAGTTGAGTACATAAAGGAATATTTAGTCAGTTATCTATATATGTATACCTATATATAGTAAGCTATATATAGCAACTAGCTATGGATTATGTTTCAATTCAACTCTAGAGCGCGACATAATCCCATTTCCTTATACAAAATCAAGTTCAAAGCTCTCAGCTGGTGTCTGAGCTAACATTAACAGCTATATAGATAATAGATATATAACGGAGACTAGTGATTGTAGCTATAGCTACTTAAATAACTAACTATATAGCCTGTGCCCCAAACATTGCTTTAATTCAAAAGTTTCGCACATTAAATATGTTTTGCTTGTAATTCCCAACTGGTTTTTGAGCTTCGAGTTGCACAGAAAGGCAAATGTAAAGCGAAGTAGCTATAGATTCTGTAGTAGCTAGTGAAAAACCGCTCAGCACAGTTCAAAGTACTATAATATCAATATGAGAACTTCAGACTGATAGCTAAAATAAACAAAAAAATTACAGAATTACAAAACTAAATGGAGTAAAAATTAAGGCAAGAGTGAACACGGCGCATTTTGGTTGTACACATGGAGCAAATAATATGCAAGAAGTGTTCTATACAGAGAAATTGAAGAGTATTACGAATTGCCAGAGCAACCAACTCCAACGAGCTACCATCAGCTATCCACGATCAAGAAACCCGCACAAAAATATTAATCAGAAAACGAATTGAATTATAACAGTTTGCAATCAACTAATAAATATTCATTAAGCTGCCATCTCTAACTTATAGTTATATATAGTTATATAGACAATCTGTATCTAAATCGTATTTCTTCCAATCCTTCGCACAGTCTCGTCGGGCCCGCAGCAGCTAGCGAAGAGCACGCGCCTCAGCATTCTCAGTCCGGAGAAGGTTCATCGCTTGGGCGCTCGTCTCACCGATCAGAAGCAGAAGCTGCGCGAGGAGGCAGCTGCAGCAGCCGCTGCAGCACTCACTGGCAACAGCAATGGACATGGACATGGTCATGGACATGGACATGGGCATGGGCGAGCGGGCGTGGGCGCGACGGCGGCAGCGGGCAACAGTGTAAATGTGGATCGTCGCCGACGAGCGCCGCCGCCGGCCCCAGTGCGAACGCATTTTAATACGCGCTGTTAACTGTTATACGAGTTGGCGTTGGGTTGTGCAGCAACTGAAAATCCAATACAAAATTGTTATACACATTGGCTGTTATACACCAGTAGAGCGAAAATCTGAAAAGAAACAAGAAAAACTGTTATACACCTTGGCTGTTATACACCAGTTATGAAGAATGGCTTATGTAGCAACCAACTAAGAAAACTGTTATACGCCTGCTACACGCATCAGCATTGGAGCAGATAATGTTCAACAATAACCATGCACGACAACTGTTATACTCAGCGGCTATCTTCCTAAAACTGTTATATACTGCTATCAGTTGTCATGTGCGTGTGGCATTTGCTGCAACTGTTATACGCATCAGATGTATACAGCGCAATGGTTAACAACTACTGTTATACACAATATACAAGCAGCAGCAGCAACGTCAACTCATTCCAACAACTGTTATACGCCGCTATCTTTGAAACAAGAAGTGTATCTGAAGGCAGTGACTGTTATATACAGCAATTTTTACGCACCACAACTGTTATACACAGCAACACCAACTCATTCCGACAACTGTTAGACGCCGCTATCATTGACTGTTATACGCAGAGGCAGTAGCAGCGGCATCACAAAATCATCATTTCCACAAACTGTTATACACGACATTCCACAGTCGCAAACATTCCCACATGCATTGCATCGATAACACGAAAGCAACAAAAAAAATCGAAACGAGTAATCGAAATCGAAGCAGACGAAACAGAAAAAAAAAACGAAGCGAAACAGCGTTGCCACCTGACGGTAGCGCAGCGACGACAGTTGCCCCCCAAATAACTGTTCGAACTGTAGTAGTAGGAGAACGAGAGAACGAAAGAGGGAGAGAGAGAGAGGGGGGAGAAAGATTGAGAGAGAGTTACGAAGCTTGCCACACAAATGTGCAACTAATCCAGAACTGTTATACAGCCGCAACTGTAACAATATAACAAACATAAGATGTATACACAATATAACAGTAATGCTCAATACATATACACATATTTTTTTTATAACAACTGTTATACAACATTAGTATTCTATTTTTGTTCAAATAATCCAATATATATATAGATTTTTTATATGAATATAAACTTATATCTCTGTATACATTTAAGGTTAAGTGCCTGTTAAAGTGAATAATCTGAAGATGTTGCAATATTTACAAAATCAAAAACAAAACGGAAACACGTTGTATAAACATAGCATCTAAGTTTACAGGGTATTCGAATTAACAAAGTTCCCCAAAATATATATAAATATATAAAAAAAAATAAAAAAAACTGTATGAGATGACAAATCCAATAACGAATACGAATAGAAGAGAGACGGAATGAGAGAAACTAGTGCCATGTGCCCACCAAGCGCGAAAGAGATGACAACAGAGGAAGAAGAGGAAGAGAAGAGCAAGCTGGAATATATATATATATTTATATATATATATATGAAAAACTGTGTTAGGTTGGGTCAAAATGATGACAAGTTAAAAAAGACAAGAAAAAAATTATTTTTTTATATACATACATACATATAACATACATGCATACACACACACACACACATATATATATATATATATATATATATATATATATATATATATATATATATATATATTCCATGTTAGTGCTTAAATCTAATTTATTATATAAACAAAAACAAAATTGAAAAACTTATACCCTCCTCTAAACTAATACGAACTAAAAACAGTTTCAAAAAAAAACTGTACTACTTACTGTTATATATACATACGTACATACATATATGTGTGTGTATATATATATATATATATGTGTGTGAATCGATCGAGAAATTGAAAGTCTAACTTATGCTCGTATACTTTATTTATTAATGTCTAACTGTACGATAACTGTACTACGTGTATGTGTTATACAACAATTTGCAATTGCTCAATGCGGCATTAGTTTATAAGTAGCACAGTGCTAACTGTTATACACACACACACAAGTTTATGCTGTTAAAAAGAAACTGTTATACGCTCTATTGTACTTTATATAACTAGGCAAAAACAAACAAACGCTTACAAAATTAATTATGCAAACACGCCACGCCCCCACCACAGCCCTCCAATAACTGATTTTGACTCATATATAGATATATGTATATAGATATATATATATATATGACGAGTTGCTTAGTTGTTATACAGATGCGTATAACAGCTATTGCCTGAGTGCGCGCTTAACAATATTAAAACAAATAAATATGTATATATATATATATATATATATTTATATATATATATATATATATATATATATATATATATATATCAAATAAAATACTTTATAATGTTAGTTATATAACTATATATATATATATATATATATATATATATGTATATATATAATGCGTATATTTTTGTATGCAGCCAATAATTATTATGTTTTAAAATACATTTGATTTTGATCAAAACCCTATATACCAACTGGTTTTCCTTCAATGGCAAGGGATCTAGACATCTCTAGAGACATATATATATATGGAATGGTCCAGCTCACATCTATCTACATATATATATATATATCAATAACTGTAATCGAACATCTTTATCAAGCATCGTATGGATCGAAAGAAATTCGAATCAAATTCACATTTCTGAGTGGAAATTGAGTGAATGCTGCAAGTTTGGACCCACGTCAAAGCTTTAGCTTAATGTTTTTGATTCTTGATATATAAGCAGTTATCAGACGTTTTGATCTGAATCAAAGTCGAAGCCTTACAAAATTGAAAACACTTTAGAAATGTACGGCTTGGACTATTCCGTATACGGCTGAATTGCTTTCAATTGTGAATATGGCGAAATTGAGAAATGTTAAAGCTGACGTATAACAGTATAATAGTTAATTGTCATTAAATTGATTAAGCTCTGCCGTTTGAGCATTTCAAGTGCACTTGGTTCGCTCGTCTGCTCTACGGCCGTAATGTCAGTGCGGGGGCAGGTCGGAAGTGGCGGGCTCTGCACTGTGTGTATCCAGTTACTTATTTTCTTTCTTTGGCATTGTTGCTTCCAGGAAGCCTGGCAGCTAACAATGCTGGATACACACAAAATAAAGGGCAATACGACAGGTTGTATCCATCGTGGAATTTGTCCCAGACCATGGTCGGAAGACGGATCGATAGCAATATATATATACATATATTTAGTTGGCCGGGCCAACAGCCCAGGACAATTGTTATACATGCAGACAAAACATTAGCAGCAGGAGGCGTGGCATATATACATACACACACACACATGCAGTTACGTACATGCGCAGTGCAAGCGTTTCCTGGTCACAAAATGGAACACACACACACAAAAGCTTTACATATCCATGTAAAATGTATACTATAAATATATATTTATGTATGTATGTATGTGTATGTGCTTAAGCTTAACAGCGCTGCAACGTTGCCATTTTTCAGGCTGCTGCTTAACAGCCGCTGTTAAGTCAGCTGTTTACTGACGAAATCAGCTGCTTGCGCTAATTAGCTTCAGCTTTTCTTTCACAGATACACACACAACTCATGCTATAAACATTGTCAGCTAACATAACGGTTCAAATCATGCGTATGGCATACATCATGCTAAACGTCATTTGGGGCACCAGCAGTAGCAGCCGCTGTACTGTGAACGAAAATAACTGCAATCATTAACAGGCTCTGCCGCTGCAATTGCGAGCGCCACTGACGTGACGTAGCAGCGACGTCGGCAGAGACAACGACGCGCCGTTACGTATTCAAGGTCTACATTTGTGTATCGATACACGAACGTTTGTATGTAGCATGTATTGTGCCACAATTTCGTATGTATACGCTTGCCCATGTACATTTACATATGTATACACTCATGGATATGTGAATATATGTAAGTATGTTCCCCTGTACACATGGTATACATACACGCAACGCTAGTGTACTGGAGCAATGGTCGCTGCTCTCGTTTCAACCCCCAACACCAAACGCGCCCCTTTTGCACGACGTACCCATTGCCATGCCCCGTCGTCACAGCGTCGTCAGCGCCTTGCTTTGGGTTTTGCTTTTGCTTATGACGTGCTCGCACGTACGCGACGCACAACTGTTGTATGTGTGTATGTTTTTAGTGTATATATATGAATCGCGTCATACACACATATACATGGAAGTATGTGGATGTATGTGATACAGTGATGTCTCGCTTGCACGACACGCAATAGCTATGAATAAGTTGCTTCAGAACACGGACATCCGATGTGTAGACTGTTTTTATGTGTAGAGCTCACACTGTAGAAGTAAATACACATCTGTTAGAGTGTGTATGCGCCAAAAGGCACACGCATACATATGAGAGCGACAGCGTGCGCGCATGAACTCAAAAATGTGTACAATAGTAAACGGCAAACAGCCCAATTGCCAATTGGGATTTATGAAATAAGGTAATACTATGTGCATGGTAATAGTAAGATCGGAATGACTAAATTCTTAAAGCTCATTTGTAATATAAAAAAAAATTAAAAAACAAGTTAGTGTTATTGATATTATCGCATAAAAAATATTTATTTGTCTTATGCATTGAAATACTTGCATACAATATATATACAATTTAATAATATATACAATATGAATATATGTTATACTATTTTACCACTAACTTAAAAATGTTTACACCGTGTAATGTCAATATATAATATCCAATTGTTAATTTTCATGTATATATGTATATACATATATAGAAATATATAAATATATATATTTGTGTGTGAGTGAGTGTAAGCATCCCTGCTGCATTGGCTTGCTGCATGACCTATGCACGTTTGTTTGTATATATGTGCGCATTTACCATTGGGTCGCTAGTGCTGCTGACTATTTGACGTGCCTGTTTTTTTCTTCTTTTTGTTTGGTTTTGCTTTACGCTGCTTTTGCTTTGCGCACCGCTCATTTTCATCATTCTGTAGCCGAACGTTGCCGCGTCAAGTTACGCTTACGCTAAACATTCTTCGGTGTTGCCCGTACATATTGAGCGTCGCTCGGTACGTGTCTCTGCTGTGCGCTCTGTGTATGCGTGTCTCTGTGTATGTGTGTATTTTGTGCAGGCGACAAAGACGTACAAAAAATCGTAGAGCGTACGTGTGTGTATAATACGTGCATACATACATGTGCAGCTGCGTATTTGTGTGTGCGTGCGCCGCAGCGCAATAGAAAAAATAATATTTAAAAACAATCTAACTATTTTTTTGACAGTGTACGGAAGAAATAAATAAATAATTTTTTTTTTATTTTTTTGCTTGTCATGTGTGTGTGTGCAGCAACGAAAATCAATAACAAAGCGCAAGACGCTAACAGCAGCAGATAAAAGAATAAGAAAAAAAATTAAAAACAAGTTTTGCAGACGGACATGGCTATAGCGTGTCAGCTAGTCGTGCTGAACAAGAATATATATTCTCTGTGCTTTAAACAAATTTATAAAAAATAATTAACATATATAAATATATATATATATTTATATATATATAAAATGCCGCAACGCAATGATAAAAACGACAACAAATCGCCGGTACAACAAAAACAACAACAACAACAAACTCAACAGCAGCAGCAAGCGGCGCCATTGTTAAACAATTATCGATATTTGTTATCGGCGCACAATTAATCAAACGCTTAACAGAAAACCAATTCTCGTTTCTTCTACTCCGTGTGTATGTGCATGTGTGTACGTGTGCGTGTTTGTGTTTTTGTGCATGTGTGCGCGCAGCGACGCTGACGCCAAAAAGTGGGTCGAGTTGCGCGCGTAAATTTGGGTCGCAGCAGCCGCAGTCGACGTCGTCGTCGCCGCCGCAGCAGTGCATTCCATTCGACTTCCAGTTGAACTACTACAAATACAAATATACAATATACAAATATAAATACAATCACCCCCACCCACCCCAACAACATGTCGCTGCAAACAAAAAGGCAACATTGCTACCTTTGCGATCTACCCCGCATGCCATGGGCCATGATCAATGATTTCTCTGAGGCCGTGTGCCGCGGCTGCGTCAACTATGAGGGCGCCGATCGCATCGAGGTGGTGCTCGATGCGGCCAGGCAGATGAAGCGCTTGCACCCCAGCAGCAAGCGAGCACATGAGAACGGCGAAGTTGTCGTGCTGCAGCAGCAGCAGAGTCTGCAACAACAGCAGCTGAGCGGCGGTCCACAGCATCGTGGCGCACCGAGCACATCGACAGCTGGCGGTCCAGGGCCGTTATCGCTATCACATCATCATGCTGTTGCGGCCGCTTATCAAATGCCGCGCATTGGTCCACCGCCGCCGCCACCGCAGCAGCAGCAGAGTAGCGGCGTTATGGATTTTCCCGTTAAATTGGAATCGGCACCGGATGTGCGACCGGTGCGCATCTCACATATGACGCCCCACCATATGCCGCCCACAGCCGGACAGCGTGCCGGACCTGGACCTGGTCCCGTTACACAGCAACAGCAGCCACCCGTTGGCAGCGGCTCAGCTCTGCTGCCTGCCCTCTCTGCTAACTTGAAGCGTCCGCCCTCCGAGGATGTGGACATCGAATCGCAACAGCAATCGCACGGCCCATCGCATGTTGGCGTCGGCGTCAGCGTTGCCGATCTCGCTGCCGGCAGCAGCAGCGTCGGCGTCGGCCCATCCAGCGTTAAGCGCAGTGCGCTCGACGATCCAAACGGCGTGCGGCCGCCCTTGACACGAGGCGAATCGCTGCCAGCGGTCAGCTACGTGCCCGAGCGGCAGCACAACTTGCGAGACAAGCAGCAGCCGGTGCGGGCGCCCAGCTTCGATGCGTCGACCTTCAAGGCAGCCGGTAAGTTCTTCTGCGACTCTCTTTAGCTACTAAAGAGCAGTGGCTAGCAGAATACCCTGTAAAACAGTTGCAACTAAAACTAAGCCGAAATGTCCTTTGCAATTTATTTGATATCCAAACGGAAATAGCAAATGACAATTAGGCAACGACTATGCCATACCCTGTACCCTAATTGTTTGAAAATTTAACTCAAATAGGTACGTTCAGTAGCTATATTGAATTGTCCACTGTAGTATGCAGGAGGCGACTACGGAATACCCTGTAAAACACTGACAAATTTGCTGAAAAGTTGAATTTCAATTTATCAATTTGGTATATGGTGTTAGTACCTATGCTCGTGTCTGTTTAAATTGACAACTGTACTTTATGAAGTTAGTAAGCAACGACTACGCAATATCCTGTAAAACTCTACCACAAATATCAGTGGAACGAAAACAGCTTTATTTACACATAATTCTATACAATCTATATATATATGTGTGTATCTATATTAATAAACATATGTCTTCAGCTCCGATTTCAATTTTAATTTTAACATCTTTCAAAAGGTTTCCAATGAGCATCGTGAAACATGCAAAAGCTTCGATTCCGTGTATACACATTCACACACATGTATACGTATGTCTGCATGTGTGAGTGCTATTGGAAGATAAGCGTCGCTGCGAACTGGCACACAAAATCCCAAAACGAGTGAACGAGCGTGATTGTCGCTTATCAGAACGAAAGCGAGACAGAGAGAGAGAGAGAGAGACAGACAGACAGCCAGCCAGACAGCCTAGGCTCGAGGGAGAGTGAGACACAAAGAGAGAGAGAGTGAGTGGGGGCACAGGAAGAGATAGCAGATAGGAAGAAATAAGTTGTGCTTATCAGTCGAGCACCAGCGACTATTGGCTGATAACTGGCAGCGTTGGCAGCGCAGCTCAGCGTCGCCAACAGCAGATTAGATAACGGAACAGTTGGCTATATATATATTTATATACTATGAACATGTTATCAGCATGTCGCCGCCGCCGTCGCTGACGCTTATCGGCCAGAGTCGCAATCGCTGAGCTAATTCTGCTGCCGCTGCTGCTGCTGCTGCAGCTATTGCAGTTGGTGGGTAGCCCTGACGCAGCTTTTTGGAACGCATGAGCTCTTCCAGGCGCTGGGTCACAACAAATACTGTGTATATGCGTGTGTGTAAAGCACACATACATATGTTAAGCTTGGAAGGAATCAAGTGCCAAGTGCATGGGCAAATGGAAGGGAGAGAGAGCGAGAGTGACAAAGAGAGAAATAGAAACAAACCGAACAACTAAAAAAATTACATTTATTTAACTAATTTGGTTGTCTCTTTGGACGCAACAACATGTCACGTACACACTCAAGCACTCCGACACATACACCCACACAGACAGAGTTGCACGCATTTTGCAATAAGACAACGACAACGGCGCAACCCTCATTGACACCAGCGGCACCTTTTGGTGCTGCCAACCCTTGCCATAAAAAGGCATTTGCTGCTTGTCATGCGCACATCCAAAAAGCTAAAATACATAACAGGCATTCACAGAAATACATATGTATAATATATATAAATATATATATATTGTATATACATATGTATGCATACACAACTCGGATTCGGCTACACGTAACCCGAAAGGACGCTACGCGACCCGAAAAAATGTAATAAAAACAGACGTGCAAAAAGTCAACGTCGCTACGATGCTGCTGAACTGAGCTGGGCTGAGCTGTGTAACTGTGTCTCTCTCTCTTACGTTCCAAAGCTCTGCCGTTGCTGTTGCTGCTGTAACTGTGCCTCTCTCGCTCTCTCGCTGTTGCTGATGCCTGGGCTAAACGGGTTTTTCGATTTACTGCTGTGTTCTCTACGTTTATGTGTTGTTTTTTCTTCTTTTGTTTTTTTTTTTCTTATTCTTTTATGTGCGTGTGAGTGTGTGCGCGCGCAAAACGTCATTAAACTTGTTTTGGTTTTTATTTCTTCTTCTTTGCTGTTTTACGCTATGCGATAACAAGTTGCACACACACACATTCTCACAGATACGCGCGCATACGCAGAACAGCAAACAGTGTAGATAAAATTTTTAGTTAGTATACGGAACGGACTGCAACAGCAACGTTTATCGTACATACATACTCATACTGATATACAATACATATGTACATACGTATTTATATATATGTATCCATGTACAAATGCGCATACATGCCCAAATACTCACCAAATAGAAATAAAAACAAAATGAGAATTTTTCGCGCATGCCGATGCCGTCATCTGCCGCTACACAGTGGGCCCAAGCGTATTTCCATTGATGATCGCTATAGTTCAGCAGAAATATTAATTGTAACGAATGATGGGTTGGAAAAAAATATGTAATGAATAAGCTTATTTTAACTTAACATAACTTTGTGTGTGGCATGTCAATATTTGTTTTGTATATTTTTAAAGTACTGCAAATCTAATTGACATCACTGTGCGTGATTTTGTTTGTATGTACAAACATATATACGTACATATGTATGTTTCTTGTTGATTTTAGTTCTTTTTCATTTTACTTTGCTGCGGGCATTTATTGCCTATTACTTGTATTTACGTTACGTTTGCGCTTTGTATATATATTATACATGTATGTATTAGTGTTTCATTACCAAATTCTGTGTGTGTGCGTGTGTGCTAAAAATACAATTTAATGTACATACACAATAACGCTGCATAATAATATTACATATACATATATGTAAATATGTATTCATCAACAGCATCAGCTTTTACAACGCAGCACATAATGCATACATGCGTGTATACATACACAAATATTTAGGCGCACGCATAGAACGTGCGAGTTGACTGTTCCTGCCCGCCCACTTCTCTCTCTCTCTCGCTCTCGCAGTTTTCCGTCTTCATTCAGTGCATTTGCAGCTTGCATTGAGAGAGCAGGCATTTGTGACCATTCCAATGTGCGCGTTAGTCACAAATATTTCATTGTACACACGCTTCACTTTTTCACTCTGTCTTTCTCTGTCTGCCCTATACAATAATTAAGCATGCTCTCTATCAATCAGAAGCATCTCATCATCAGCATGCAGAGCAGCACTTTTACCGTTAACACGTGAACAGCGACGGGCAGAGAGATACTGCAATGAGAGCTCATGCAAATGTGTATGTGTGGGTCCGTGTATGCGTGCATGAACCTAGGCAACATCGCTGTCGACGACGCTAGCTCTGCTGATTAGATGCATCAGTGCACAGTGTGACCAACCACTACAACCGCGTATAATACGTGTGAATGAAAGCGACAATGTTTTGGGTGCATAAATCAAGGGGAAAAAAAAATAAATTAATATTTTTTTTCGGTTAGTCGCAAGCACATGCCTCAGTGATAAGCGAAACAATAAAATAGGGTATCATGCGGCGTTGACATATCTTATCTAATGTTCTATCAGCTAGTAGTGCTTATCAGTTGAACAGTGGTACAGATAAGCAGGTACAGTGGTTGTGAAAGTAAGTGTGTAAAAATATATTTATGATGTATGCAGGGGCAGAGATATAATCAATAAAGAAGTGTTAGCGGTTGGATAATTTAGATTAAGTACTGCATTATCAATGATTTATCGATTCCATGGTTCAGACTTATCTAATAGGAGAGTGAAATAGTTATATAATTTGCTATTAGGCCAGACTTATACGAATAGCATTTGGTAAAAAGTAAATACAAATATCATAAATGATAATCTTGTCATAATTTGCAATCTTTATTCAAATGTTGCAATATTTGCTATAGATTTTAGATTTTCAAGTGTTTCCTTTGTAATTCCCAAGCTGTTTTGGGTTAAGCATTTACTTAGCAGATAAGACGCTCATGAGTAAAGCTCTTAAGAGAGCTCCCTTGCGATAAATGTTATGCCTCTCATGCTATTTATATAATATATATGTATTCATGTTCCACTTATATTACTTTATTTTGTGTATATATATATATCATGGCTCCACTTTCGTTTGCTTTTAAGTTGGTTGGCTCGTTGGGTTTTATGCACACAGCTGTTTTTGGCCCTTATCTTATCGCTAGGTAATTGCCTGGTCCTCATTGAGGCTACAATCTTATCTTATCCGCGGCCAACTATGACTGATAGCGAATGGTTTAGTATATATATATTTATATATATATGGCTAGTATTTGTTTTCTAGATAGAGGCAGATCACACGACTTAAGTGCTGCTCTATTCTAGGCATATCTTTTGTTTATTTTAATTACGACTTTTTCTTCGTCTTCTTTCTCTTATTATCAGCGGAAATCAATGGAGAGATCTTACGGCATATTTTGAAATAATCAACTTTAAATAAAAAAATTTAGTAATTCCCAACGCACAAATGTTTCTTTTTCGTAAACAATATCTTGGCAATCCTACACATTCTTCAAAATCTAAACAAATATACTATATCTGTATATATGTGCTGGGTGTGGTCTTTCATTCATCTAATATAGGCAAATAGTTCTTTCTGTGTTTAAAAATTAACAAATGATTCATGTTTGCGCTATAGTGTGCAAATATGATGCCAAAAGCAGCAGAAAATAGAATGAAATATAAAAGAATTGCAGCTAAAAATAGATTGGGTCGAAGAACAGATTGTCTGCTGCATTCACACTGAAACAACTTGATTGTTTGCAGACGAATCAATGTAATCAATATATATATAAAATTGTGTATATAAAGAAATGTATAATAAGACTTAAAATATGTTGGTAATAATTAAAAACAATAAATTAATAAATTTGTTCTGTAAATCTTAAAAAGACACACAAATTGCCCCATACTCACTGTGCACATAGCGCTTGCACATTTTCCCGCTGCTCACTCAGCTCAGCTCTCTTACACGCTCTTTTTGAATGGAGACGGCAGCGATGCGCTGCATGCGTGCATATGTCGATGCTGCGACGCCTACGTCGACTTTCACACTGATGTTACTCTTGTATTTATTGTCGTTGATGTTGTCATTGTTTATTGTTTCTCTTCTTCTTATGTATTATTATTTTTACACATTTTCGTGCAAAATATAAACAAATGCTATAAATAATCACATTTCATTATTGGTGAGGCCACACGCACGACGCTGATGTCGACGTCGACATCTATAGCGACGGCGACGGCGACAACGACGACGACGCCGACGCCAACGCCAACGCACCAAATTGCGATTGCCAATTTAGCAACGTGGCGCAGGAACAGGCAAAAGCAACAACAATAATAACACAGCAACAGTTTCCAATAAATAAACATAACAGCACTCCCGGGGCAGACAGTAGCACTTGGTATGCAGCCCACTGTGCGGCCGCTGACAGCGTCGTCGACATTTGAGCAATGTGCGCGGCCCAGCTAGGAATACAAATTAAAGCCCAGCTCAATTCCAACGTGCCTCTTGTTTTTGATGTTGTTGTTTTTTTTTGCTTCTTTTTGTAGCTTTTCAATATCATCATCGGCAGCAAAAGTAAATTGTGGCTACGCGTGCGCGTGCGTTGAATATGTTGAAACCCATTAAAAAAAAATAAAGTAAAATAAAAAAAATTTAACAGCAACAGTTAACAGAGCAGCGGGATAGAGACGCGACTGCGGCCTGTTAAGTCTTGCGCATGTCTCATGTATGTACATGTGCACACGTACATACTCACATAACTATGCATATTTAATATATATAAATATAGATATATACATACATATACTTATCTTATACATATATATTTCGTTTGTGTGTATGTTAATTGGCGTGACCGCCGCTCGGCAAGTCACGCGGCGGCCGTGCCGGCTGCGTGACGAAAAAACCAAAGCAAACAGTCAAAACAAAACTACAAATATGTTTGCGCATGTGTATGCGTGTGTGTATGTGTATGTGTACGCTTTGTCGTATCTGGTATACATACACGAAACGTCTCAACGTCGTGTCTTGCGTTGCATGCTTGCAGAAAACGAAAAGGAAGAAACAAAAAGTAAAGAAGGCAAAAAAAAAATATATATATATATAATATATATATATATATATATATATATATATAGAGAGAGAAGAAAAAACCGGCCCAGCCAACTGCCAACTGCATTCTGCACGTTTGCTAGCTCGCTCGGTCGCATGCTCCACTCGTTCGCTGCTGCTGCTCTGCATGCGTCGCTGCCTTGTGACGTATGCGCAGCAGCAACAAAAACTTGTTTCGTTCAATTCGTGTCGTTTGTTTCGCTGCCTGGCACTGGCACTGGCACTTTGCCAACTGACGTCGCGTTTGCGAAAACCAGCTGGTTGAAGATTCTATTGTTGTTTTTGTGTTGTTCGTGCGCTGCGCTGAGGCACAGTGGGGCCAGCAACCTGCACAGTGTGCTGTGACGTCACGTTGCCGCTGTTGTCGCTGCTGGTGAATGAAAACGTTGTCGTTGCTGTGTTGCCAACGCATACAAAGCCACTTAGGCATGTATGTGTGAGTAAACTGTGAAGCGTTTCGTGCCAAGTTCTAAAATTACAAATATTGCGCCAAAAAAGACGAACGAAAAAAAGCATCTTGCAATGAAAATGATTTAATTTAGTTTTCCTTTTTGATTCATTCGTATTTTAAAATCGAAAGCAGCCTTCATTAAGTAAATGTCGAACATGTTTATGCAAGTCGACATATGCATATACATATCTACATGTAGACATACATACTCTGTTTTGTACTATGCAGATGTGTGTATATGTTCGCATTTCGCTTGGGGATTTAGTACCATTTTTATGTACTGTAAAGTATCAGTAAAGCTAACAAATTTTTAATTAAAATTTTGTTTTATAACAAAATGTTATACATGTATATAAATATATATACTGTCACTTCAATTAGAATACTGAAATCGGGTGTGTCCGACTAGGGTATACTCAGCTAGAACTCTGCACAGCGCAGCTCTAGTATTTCAATCATTCCAGGCTTCATTTATAGCATACATACATACATACATACATGTATATGTATGTATAGCAGACAATACATGTACACACATACTCATGTAAGTACAGAAGCACGCGGTCGGCTTACGCAGCGGCTGCATGTACCACCGGCAGAAGTATTTCAATTACTAAACACTTGTAACTTGGCAAATAGACAGATCTGGATATCATTGCGCTCAGCAAATTTCATTAAGAAAATGCATTCAACAATTAGGTGAAGCTACTAAAGCCCAAAAGCTCAGTCGGTGCGTAAACTGCGCAGTAAGCAGAGGGCGTGCTTATGCGTGCTTTGCATAAAAGAATTGTAGGAACAGCGCTCGCAAGATTTATGTTATTTTCTAGAACACTTGTTTTATGAAGACTTACATGACTACTCGAGCGACACCCTCTGTTTTCCATTTTCTTTGCCGACTATAGACAGAACAAAAAAGCTCTGTTTCTTACTTGCCTAGTAAAAGGCGAAAGCTTTGTCATGTTTGAAGTAAGAGTGAAAATTTTCGCAATTTTTCTCTTTCTCTTTCTCTCTTAATATTTTATGCGTGCTCTAATCTATTTTCCATTTCTTCATCCTTTATTTTTCTATTCCAGAACACTTGTCTCCAGCCAGTCGGCGCAACGGATCGAGCCCGCCATCGGGGCCAATGCCTCCGCGCAGTGTCCACTCGCCGAATAGCTCGGGTAAGATTTACTGTAAATAGAAGCGAAAATGAAACTTATTGTCTCTGTCTCTCTCTCTTCTGTAGGCTCTTCGTCGGGTCGACGCTCGTCTGGTTCTCGCCATGTATCCAGCACAACGGTCACAAGCAGCGAAGTTGGCGGCTCGAATTCAGTGCAAGCGGCCGCCGTTGCTGCCGGTTTGGGCGCTGGTAATGGCGCTGGTGGAGTCGCCGGCTCGCTCGGCGGACCAGGCGGACCGAGCAATTCACAGCTGAGCAGTTGCAGCAGCGCTGGCGGCGGCGCTGCATCTGGCAATGGTAATACTGGACCCTCATCACTGCCCCCCAATCCGAATGCTGTTGCGGGCGATGGCAGCGGCGCCGGCGGCGGTGCCATTGGTCCGAGTGGCAGCAATGGTAGCGGCTCAGTCAACGCTGGCCCGGGCAGCAGTGGCAGTCAAGGTACGCCGGGCATGAGCAGCAGCAGCAGCAGCGGTAGCAGTGGCAGTGCAGCTGGAATTAGCGGTGCGCCCGGCAGCAGTGCAGCGCCAAATTCAGCAGCTGCAGCAGCAGCGGCTGCGGCACAGAATGCCACACTGAAGTGCACGCTATGCCAGGAGCGACTGGAGGATACGCACTTTGTCCAATGCCCATCGGTGAACATACACAAGTTCTGCTTCCCCTGCAGTCGCGAAAGCATCAAGCGACAAAATGTAAGTAGTGTGAGAGAGAGAAAGCAATACTTCCTTAAGCTCAATATTCTTACTAATGCCATCTCTTTTCATCACATAATCATTTGCAGGGTTTGGGCAATGAGGTGTATTGCCCCAGTGGTGAACGTTGTCCGCTGGCCAATTCCACCATACCGTGGGCCTTCATGCAGGGTGAAATTACCACAATATTGGGCGAGGAGGTCAAGGTGAAGAAGGAGCGCGAATCTTAATGTCCATTTTATTGTAAAAAGCTGCGCAGAGCTTTGGAGCACTTTTGAGCCAGCCAGTGACCATCGAACAGGGAGAGAGATAGCGGAAGGGGGAATTTTAATATTGTTCGGCGATCACCGGCTGCACAACTCTCTTGACTCTGTCTCGCTCGCTCTCTAACAACTATGCATATGTCTGTCTGTCTTTGACGACAAACGAATGTCAATTTATACATTGAGCGAGCGTTGACAACAAAAAAAAAAAAAAAGAAAAAATATCTTTTTCTGTGTCGGCCGCGACGCCGGCGTCGCAGTTACAACGGGCGGTCGCACACTGTCCATGACGACCAACAACAACAACCACAACATTTGTAGGCATAAGCAACAAAAGAAACAAAAACAGAAAACAAATGTAATTTGTTCCAAAAAAATTTGTAACTTTAACTTTTAAAAGTAAAGAAAACACCAAACAATTTGATGAAGCGAGCGAAAGAGCGAGAGAGCACGCAAATACAAGAAATTTTGTAGCGCAAAAAGGGGATTTTTTAGCCAAGTGAAAAAGAGCAACAAGAAGAAAAAAAAGCAGCTGCAGAGAGTAAATTGAATTAATGCAAACACAACAAAAATACTAAATAATTGAAACAATGAAAGCAACAACAATTCGATAGGCATTACGTAATATATATATATAAATATATATATACATACTTTTTTTTACACTTAAATTTAACTTAAGTTAAGCTAATTTTTTGTTGTTAATGCATGAAAATTATTTAAAAAAAAGAACGAGTAAAAAACAAAAATTTCTTTAAGCTTAAATTTATTTTTTTTTTGTGCTAATTATTAATTTATTTTTTTCTTAACCACACAACACATATATAAATGTATAACTACTATAATATATTTTTTTTACACTAATTTTAATTTAATTAAAAAAAAAAAAACAGTTTTTATGCTAAAGATTGTAAATATTCATACCACATAAACGGAATACAAATATATATATATAAATATATATATATATCTATATATATAATAAATAGAAATATATTTGATGTTGAACAAGAGAATGAAAATTGGTAAAAAAAAATGCAGAAGGAAAATTTCATTGGCGAAATACGTAAAAAATTATAACTGAAGAACGAAAAAGGAAAACTTGTGAATTTTGTATCGCATGGGCAGCTAACGGTACTCATTATGCGATGTTGCCAAATTTCGTTGTGGCAACAGCGCATGCAACAATTCTTTTATTTTCTGTTTTCATTTTTTGTCTAGCAAAAATTGTAAAAAAAAAAATACAAAGAAACAGAAAAAAACACTGCATTTTGAGCGAATTTTCGTGTAGAAGAAGTGGAGGAAGAAAAGGATATGATAAATAAAAAAGGCCACTGCTAACACTGGACCAACACTGTGTTGTAAAATGCCAACTCTAAAAAGCGAGCATCAAGAAAATCTAAAGTTGCCACAAAATAATACAAAAAAAAAAAAAATTTTGTAGAATGAAAAAAAAAAAATTAAATAAATAAAAAAAATAAGAAAAATAAAATAAAAAAATAAGAAAAATTAAATAAAAAAAATAAGAAAAATTAAATAAAAAAAAAAATAAGAAAAATTAAATAAAAAAATAAAAAAATTGTAAACAGTGTTGCCACACAACATGACAAGATTTGCAACATTTTTGAGGTTAGGTGCGCTGAATACATGTTTTTTTTTTAAATAAATAAAACTAAAACTAAATCAAAAATCCAAGCAAGAATTGAAACCATACATAAACAAGAATTTACATTATATATATGTAGACATGCATAAATTAGCTGTAAACAAGTTTGTATGGCATTCGCTGTCTCACTTCCAAGCGTTCCAGCTAACTGTCAAATGTGTCTGTCTTTGCCGTCTCAGCGTCAGTTTCAGTTTTTTCTCATTTAGTTTTCAACACTTTTTGTGATAAGTAGCAAAGAAAAAAAGGAAGAAACTACAACTAGGTGGCAACGCTGCCCAATTGAGAGCGTTTGCGTCTAATTGTAATTTGAAGATCTCAACTTTGTAAAATTGCGCAATAGGCCAAAATAAACATTTTGTAAGCGTAAGTAAGAAAGAGCAAAAAGAAGAGAACGAAAGAAGTGGAGGAAGAAAGAGTGGAGAAGAGAGTGGAAAAGTAGACAGCATATAACAGTAATATAACATTTCCTTTTTGATGTGTGTCTCGATGTGTGTGTAACGTAGTGATACAGTTATCAGATTATAAAGACAATTTATCTAAGAAGAAAAACGTAAAAGAAAAACACCAAAAAACATAAAAAAAACAGAAACAAAAATAAAGAAATCGTATTAAGACATTCCTTTTGTGTATGTTCGATGTCAACTAAATGTCTAAACTAAACAGATCAAGATCATATATAGCATATATATATATAAATACATATATGGCATGCAAATGGAAGAACATATGTCGACTTATCGATAAACGATAGCGATAACAAGAACAAGTATGGCTCGCATATACCAAGTATATCGAATGAAAAGTGTCACCTAAGGCAAAGCATGTGGATAGAGACGATACAGATAACGATACCGATAACGATAACGATAACGATAATGATTACGATCAAGCTGATACATATGTCAGCCAAACTGGCAAAACAATTAAAAATACTATAAACAAAAACATGAACAAGAAAAAGCAAACTTAAATATAAAAATATATAAAAAAATATGTGCTTTTAATGTGAAACTGGGATGGGAGTGTAAATTCTAGTATGAACGATCAAAAGCGTGTAATATAATTTTTAATCAATATTTATAGGTCAAGATTCACTGTGCTTAAGGTCCCCCGCCTTCTAATGCTTTCTTAAAAATGGCCACAAGTTTAGTAGTGGCGTTTCAGGCTGGCGCCACCTAGCGTGAAGCTATCGTAGTTATTGCTTGCTCTGCCACACAACAGAGGGCGCCAGCAAATGTCCAGCTAGTAAATGTCGCTGAAATGTCCCTAAAATATCCCTTTGCATCATTCGATACTTTTGCCATAGTACAGCTATCGATAATAGCCGAATAGAAATAGATGCTGAGAATAAGGCCAATTTTGGCAAATTAAACAATAAACAGCGAAAAATGTTGGTTAATTATGCCAATGGCTTTGCAGTTTTTTAGTTAGTTTATAAAAATTCCCGGCATCAACAATGTTTACATTTTGCAAAGAGAACGTCACTGTCAGGCAGCGAGAGAGAGATAGAGAGTGAGCATGAGAGCATGACAGGCGAGCGTAACGGAATGCGGTGCTGCCTCTATCTCTGCCGCTGCCGCTGCCGCTGCCAGTGTTGAGCATCGCTCGCTGTGGCTGCTTTATTTGTGCGTGCGCGTTGCCAATAAACGGGCAGAGGCCTCTGCTCCTGGCCACAAAAGGCGCAGCGAATTTCGTTGTTTGTGATAACGAAGAGAAAAAATTAATAAAAATAATGTAAATTGACAAACACTTCCGTTTCCGGTGCCTTTGTGCGTGTGTGTGTGCGCCTAAAAGCTGACAATGAAAAGTGTTAATAACAATTGAAAATAGATTTTCATCAATGTATCAATTGATGATTTTGCCATTGCGCTCTCTCATCGGGAATTCCCTTGCAGCGTCAAGCACAAATTGTTTGTGTTATACACAGGACGTGGCAGGATACAACAACAACAACAGAGACGGAGACGGCAACGGCTTGCGCCCACGCACGGCAGCGAAAGAGAGAGAGAGAGAGAAAGTACGAGAGAGCGTTCACTTGGGCAGCTCCTGTCTGTGCAGGCACAGTGGTGCTCAGTGTCAATTTACGCTCTTTTCGTTTTCGCTTTTGTTATTGAAAGTCACACAGTCTTTTGGCAATTAGTCATATAAAGTCATTCTAGCTCTTGTTCGCTTAAGCTGCATTTCCTAATTGACTAAAATTATTTATAGCATACTTTTATAGGATTTTAACTTTGCTTACCGTTTTATATTTTTATAGTTGCTGTCTTAAGTTAAACTTAATTTCAGCTATTTTCTTGGCTTTGATAACGTACAAATTAAAGCTATGCATTCGATATATTTATGGTTTTATATATTCTATTTCAACTCAAAGGGATCAAATTGTCCATTTATTAAGCTTTAGACCACTGTTCGCATAGAGAACTTTTAACGGAATCTAGAAACGTAAGCAGCAGCAACAACAATAACAACAAGCAAGAGTAGCTTGGCGTCAATAAAAGCGGCGCTTTGGTTGCCAACGCCAACGTTAAACTCTCCTGTTTTACTTTCTGACTGTGTGTGTGTGTTTGTCTATGCTTATGTGCATGTGTGTGTGTATTTTCGCTCTCCGGTCTCCGCTCATTACTAACGCAAAATTACACAAAACGTAAAATGTGTGTCGTCGTCGCTGCCGTCGCTGTCGTCGCTGTCGTAGCCTTCATCGCCGTCTTCACTTTGTTTCTCATCTTTACAGTTATAGTTCTCGCTGTTGCTTTTCACTGCTGCTGATTGCTGCTATTTAAATATAATTTTTTTTTCGAGTGAAAACTTAACAAGTTTTGCCATTTAGAAAAAAAAAAACAAATATACAGCAGTGCATGTAGGCAAATAGTGTGCGTGTGTCAGTTTGAGTGTGCCTCGCTCAATTGCTCTCTGCAATTCGTTTTCATTCACAAGTGCAATGCGAACAACAACAACAACGGCGCGACTTAACAAAAGGAGTGAAGCGCGTGCTTAACCTAAAAGTGCATGACAAAAGTTTTCACCAACACACACCAACATACATTCATTTATATATAGTGCGTTACTTGGATGTGTGCGTGTGTGTTTGGTTAAACTCAATTCATGCTCTTTGTTTTCTGCTTCCGCTATCCACAGAGAACAACACCAACAACTACAACTAACACTATAAACCACAACAATGCATAGTTCCTGCTGAGTAGCTTTTTGTGTGTGCCTGTGTGCGTCTGTGTGTGTGAGTGCCTGTGTGTGAGCGTGAGAGAGAGTGTGTGTTTTTGCAGGCATGTTGCGGCTGCTGCTCAGCATACAGCGCCAGAGCTGACAAAAAAAAAAAAAAAACAAACAAAACAAAACACTGCCACCTCGCAACAATACAACTATAACAACAACAACGATAGCAACAACAACAATTTCCACTACCGAAGAGTCGCCAAACTCCTCCCATTCCTTTGTAGTTAGTAAAAATTGCATAGGAATTATAAGAATCAGCTAAAAATAGATAAAAAAGGGGAAAAACAACAACAACAAATCCCGTAATGGAACGCATGTGGCGCAAAGTGAATCACAGCCTGCGCAACAGCAAATCGCAAACGCCGTCGCAGCCGTCGCACGGCCACAGCCAGACACAGCCGGCGAACGCTGCAGCCGCTGCCACCGGCGCTGCCGGCACAGCTGCCGGCATCGTAACGCCACATTCGAGTGACACCATCAGCTCTGCGGGCGGTTTTGGTGATGCGCAGCTCGTGGTCGCTGTTCAGGGTCTGCCCGGCGTTGGCGTCGGCGTCGGCGGCGCTGCCGGCGGCAGCAATGCGACTGGCCGTCGTTTGGCCAGCAGCGGCCAGCCGCCATCGAACTGCCACAAATCGCTTAGCCAGCATGTTCTGCAAACGCGCACCGCCTCATCGGAGCGTCGACGTCGACGTCGACGCAAGAGCCGACCACGACGCAGCGGCGGCATGGCCAGCGTTACCAGCTGCGTGGGAGATGCCGGCGGCGATAATATGTCGTAAGTCAAGTTCACTTGAACTACATTTCAATCAATCTATCTGTATAGTAGTAGAGTATACATATATATATATATACATAGAATATAGATATATATATATATGCATAGAGTATATATAGTTTGCATCCGTTAGCCAATCAGTTAAAGAGTTGGCCAAGCAAACAATTGAGCTCATCAATTTGCTAGTCAGGCCGACTATAGCGGAATCAGTCAAACAGTTAATACATCAATTAACTAAAAGATGGATCAGTCAATAAATTACGCACCTATGAAGTCAATAAATCCGACAGTTCGACTATCTTTAAGTGAACAAGTCAAGCACTAACAGTCACTTTATCGTTTAGTTTATAGGTCAATCAATATCATCAATCAGTCAATCAATCAAGCAGTCTATCCATCAATTAACCAGTCAATCAAACAGTCTATTGGACAATACAACAATTAATTGACTGTCAATTAATTAGTATGCCAAACGGTCAATCAATTCAATCAATCATGGCATACTTAACTGCTCTAGTCAATCAGCCAATCAACTCTTCAATCAATTGACTACTCTGCCAATGAATTCTTAAGCTACTGACTAGCAATCAGTCTTTGAATTTTTCAGTGTCTGAGTCATGACTGAATCAATCAGTCAATCAATCTTAATCTCTTACTCAGCTTAAGTTAGTATAAAAATCGCTTTATTATAGATTCCGTTAATTGGGCTGCTCAGTTACTCAGCCTGGCAATTTGTCAGTCAATCAGTCACTGATTGATGGTTAAATCAATCATGTAACACGACTTATCAATCAGTCCAGTAGCGCTTCAGCTAAGTGAAGTCCGGTAACAGGATCTAAGCTACCAAAAACCTTAGCTTGTTCTATAACTGGCTAATTAGTTCTTAGTCCTAACTTTAACATGAGGCTTAACATGAGCTTTAGCTGTGAATTGCTAAATACCTCACAGTTTTCATAACTTTAACTTTAGGCTTTACTTTATCATGAGCTGTAACATGAGCCTTAACATTAGCCTTAACATTTCCTTTCGAAATTAATCCTGTTAGCCTTAACTTTCCGTTTGAGCTTTAGACTACAGATTTGACATGAGCTTCATCTGTAAATTTGCTTATTGCAGCTCCTCGGGCGGCTTCTACACGCTGAAGGAGCACCAGCACCAGCACCAGCATCAGCACTACCGCCATGGCCATGGACATGGCACAGTCTCCACATCGCAGCGTCTGTTCGCCAGCTCAGCGCCTAGTGGCACCGTTATGATGTACCCGAATGCACAGCGTGCGCCAGTGCTGGCCAATCCGACAGCAGCTGGCGGTGCAGGCGGCGTCGGAGGTTTGGCTGGGGGAGCGAATGTTGCACAAGCAGCAGCTGCAACGCCGCCGGACATCTCGCTGAGGCAGCGGGCGGTTGCTAAGCTGCGCATGTTCAACTTTCACCTTAACTGGGATCTGCACATGACGCACTGCAAGCCCTGCGGGTGAGTTTACGCCATTCCCCAAAATGTTTCCCATTTGCAATGGAGTTGCGAGTTGCAAGTTGCACGTTGCAAGTGGGCAACTGCGTTGCCAACACTTGAGCCTTTTCCAGCTGCTTGTGGCTTTTGTTGGGCGTCGTTGAGTTTTTAAGCTCTTTGTTATACCCTCTAAACAAACGCAATTGAGTACACAGGGTAGTTAAGCTCATGCTCAGACTTCGTAACTTCAACAAACTTCAATAACTTTAACTTTACAAATCCCTCATATATCGATAAATATCGATACTTCTCTTTCTTCCCGCTTGTCTATGTGTGAGCAAATCTCTTAGCTACTCACAGCGAGTTACGCTTTATATAGATATGTTTACTTAGCTACAAGCTTACAGGAGTGGTATTAGAGGTCTTTTGGATATTTCAATAAATATCGATAAATTCGCCAAGTTATTGCGATGTAATATGATAATAGTCTTTTGTTTTAAGATATTGTATTGCTTCATCTAGGACTATCCTAGGACTATCAAGTCTCGATATGCCAAAAGTAAATAGAATTATTTTGCTTTTTCGATAACTCAATATTTATCGATTGGTATGTTTTTCTTTGTAGAACTCTGACATTTAAAGTACTTTCCTTTGGTATTTAGTTTGTAGAACGTGCATACTGAATATATGTTTAAGCTTTTCGGTAGTGTTCTTCGAACATCGATAAGTTATCGATAGGTATAAATATCAACCAAATCAAATTTTAGGTATCATGAAGGCAGACCAAGCCCAACCGACCTCTTATAGGATAACTCGATGTCATGCATACACAGGGTAACCGCATGTCTATCGTCTGCCTGAAAGCGGACTAGAGGGTATTTTAAAGGGGTGCCTTTTGGTTAGGGAGTGACTCTGAGTCGATCAGTTTTGCTTGCTAGACTTTGCTCGGAATGGAGTCGAGTGAGTCGGTTAGTTGGCTTCATTGAAGTGTGGCAAGGGGCGGCAGCAGGACGTGGGTGGGCGGGGTCATTTCGTTGAATGAACCCAAATGCAAGGGGAAAACTGGGTCGACGACATTTTCCGTGTTAGCCAACTTTAAATGCTGCGGCTTTAACCCGACACCAGGTCGACAAGCCAGCGCCACCTCCAATTCCCCCACCTTCTTCACCTACACCTCCCACTCGCACTCCACCTACACCTCCTCCTCCACCTCATCTCTATATTTTTGTTTTGCGCTTTCAACACGGCCTCCGTCCCAAATGTGTCAAATTTTAATGAAGCGCCCGGCCTAACGAGCTTCTTTGCCAGCTGCTGTTAGCCCCAAAAGCCTTTTTTGGCCAAAACTGGAAGCTGGAGCAAGGAGCAGTTGGGGGCGACTTTAGGCCTCTGCTGACAAGCAACAGCAACAGAGTCAATGGTGTGATACAGAGCTAAACTAACTGCCTACCTTCGCCTGCTCCCTCTCCTCGCCCTCCTCCTCCTTCTCAGGAAAAAAACTAGCTCAAAGCTAAAAACTTTGGGCATACCATAATTAAAGAAGGTGCAAGGTGTGGACTAGGTGCAGAGGCGCAGATTAAGGTTAGAATCATATACTCATAGTTACTTAAGTCAAGAATTGTTGGAGTAGTCGGCACAAGTTCAACTTGAAAGGAACTAGTTCAGCACAGAGACTTGGGCTAAGAAGTAGAAGTTTCGTCAAATTATTCAAATAGTTATTTTGGACAAAGGTAGTTTCAGTAAAAGAACTAGCTCTATTTAGATTAGGAACAAGTTCAGCACAGAAAACTAGTCCAAATGGCAGAAGTTTCTTGGAATGACTCTTACTGTTAAAGAACTAGTTCGATTTTGTAAAATGTAGAGTTACTGAAACTGTTAAAATAACTAGTTCAGAAGAAAAACTACAGCATTTCAAGTCGAAAATGAACTAGTTCAACAGAATTGATAGGTATAGTGCTAGAAATAATTAAAATTGAACAAGAACTAGTTCCATTTAGCTTAAGTTGAACTCAAGTTTGTTTTTTAATAACTCCTCCTATCTTGAGGCAAGTGAACTAGTTCAGTTATAGAGTGAAACTACAAGACGTTTGAGTGGAATAAGAACTAGTTCAAAATTAATTAGAATTGGAGTAATTTTTTGGCATTTGAAGTGGAGGGAACTGTAGAACAGACAGACTGATGCATAGCTGGGCGAGCGGAGGGAAGGACAGCTGAACGGATGGACGAAGGGACAGACGAGTCGACAGATGCACGGAAGGGAAACAAGCTAAAAGCAATTTAAAATTTGAAACTCAGAGCTTACTGTCTCTCCCGAGAGCCTGTGGAAAACTACTCGAAGTTCAACAAAAGTTCACACACACAAAAGACGCTTGCGGTTACCCCTTTGCTCAGATAACAATAACCTATGAGCTCTCAATCAAAGTTCTTTTGCTCTATTCTATTTGGATAGGCCTCGCTTGAGTGGAAGTGGAAACATAATAACGCGACGGCTGTGCCGCAATCGTAGACGTGAGGACAACGAGCTCTATCGTTCGAATAGCTTCAAGTTCGAGCGCTTCGAGCGCAAGGAGTGCCTCGAGGAGCTCTCTAACACATTGCAGAAGCAGGTGAGTACAGTTGTGTGCAAAAGGCCAACGAACTAGTCGGGTCTAAACAATTATAGAATAAAAAAAAAAAAAACAAGCGAAAATCTCCCGCTGGGCGTAATTTATGCGTATTTGTTGGACTTACCTTGCCACATGTTGCATGCTGCTGCTGCTGCTGCTGCTGCGAGCCATCCATCTAGCTGGCAATTTTATGCGCATAGATTACAACTAATTGAAGTGTCGAAGAGCTGACCCAACCCTGAAACCCCGCCCAGCCTCACCTCTAATTAGAGAGCTTTCCTCTGGCGCCCAGCCCTCCCCCAGTTGGCCAGCTGCAGTTCAATGAAGCAGCTCGAAGAAAAATTGCATTATGTTGAGAGTTTGGCCTGGTGGCCTGGGCTCTCCGTCTCTCTCGGTCTGAGTGGGTGGCATCTGTCGCAGGTGGCGCTGTCCTGAAACTTGTTCAACCGAAAGTTTCGTGTGAAGGGATGGGAATCTAATTAATGGCGCGCAACAAATTGAATTTTAATTGAGCGTCGAATTTGATTTTGCCCCTCAAGTCCTGCGAGATCCTGGCGGCCATTACTGAAGGTGTCTGTCTATCGGAATAGGGGAAGGCGGTGAGCGAGAGAGATAGAGAGAGAGAGAGAGGGTGGGCGATGTGCCACAGCTGATAATCAAGTTAAATACGTTTTTGGGCAATGACTTTAGAGAGGTGAGAGAAGGAGAGACGGGGAGACGGGAGGAGAAGAAGAGAGAGCTAGAACTAGAGAGCGAGCGAGGCAGAAGGAAAAAGGGAGATAGAGATACAGAGAGAGAGAGAAAAAGAGATAGAGAAAAAGGTAGACAGAGTCAAATAGAGAGAGATAGAGATAGATAGAATAATAAGTATAGAAAGATAGGGAAATACATTGAGGCAGAGGGAGAAAGAGGTAGAGACAGAAGAAGGAAGTTAGTGATAGGTCAGAATAGAAGGAGAGAAGAGAGGCAGTGGAAAGCGGAGAGAAGCTGAAAGCTGAGCAGAGGGATAGAGAACAAGAGAGAAAGTGATAGAGAAAATAAGAGAGAGAGGAGAGATAGACTAACGGAGAGAAAGTCAGAGAGAGTGAAGAAGGGAGAAGGCAATAGCTTAGAGAATGAGAGGGCCAAGGGAGTGGGGAGAGAGAGGGGCAACAGAAAGCTTAAACAGAGCACATTAGAAAGAGAGGGAGAGCGAGGAAGGAAGAGACTAGAGGTAAAGAAGAGACAGAGGAGAGACTCGACTTCGACTAAAATAAGCTACGACTGTGGCGGGGATTTGAAATCTTTAATCAGTGAGCAGGTCCAAGAGGGCAAGCTCGCTATTGATTCTGATCTATACCTAGAGAAAACTTTACCTTATGGAGCATAAGTTATGAGAGCCAGTGCTAATGCATGTTTAAGTAAAGAGAGAGAGACGGAGGGAGACAATGAATTGCGAATAAAAATCCAAACTGTTGGCAATTCCAATAAAATCTCAAGCAAGTTGGCTGTTCCTCTTGGCCTGTGGCTCAGCAGCACTTATCAAGGACTGAAGCCGCAGCTTGCTTCGTGCTAATCTCATCAAATTTTTAAAGTTCTCGCTGCAGTGGCAGACCGAGCGTCCAACCGACAGACAGACGCTGGCCCGTATTGACAGCTCTGGCCGCTCCCTGATCTCGGTGCCCTGGCCACAGCTCAACTGACAGACATCCATTTGTTAGACGAAATGTTTTTGAAGTGCTGCTGCTGCTGTTGCGGTCTGGGCACAACTTGTGTTCCGTCTCGTGGCGAACAAGGTCTGTCAGCTGTCCGACTCGATAACACCAGCCTCAGCGCAGCTGCCCCCTGCATGTGCAGCATTTGCACCTTTTTCAAGACATTTTTCGTGCTATAAATAAATAAAAATTGTTGCTTCCCCCTCGATGGCGGGCAGAGTTCACAGATTCTGAGCCAGCCTCGCAGTCACATTAACAGCTTCATCTTCGCTTAGATTTATGTGCGCTGCGTCACACGGTTGACATACCATGTCTCACCTGAGCTGCAACTGTCTTGTCCGACCTGCCAGACACTAATCATGCCAAAGTGCCTGCCGCAGACGTGTCTGCCAACTTTTCGCTGTGCCGCCCACAGCCACCCACATCGGCCCACCTGTCGCTGTCAATTTGATTTCTCAGCCAGCGTAAAAATGCCATAGCAGCCCGGCTAAGACAAATGGCATTGGAATTTTCTTTGGCAGCTTAAGTAGTTACCTAAATGCACAAACTCAAACTTCTGTAACCAACCGCAGATGCCACTCCCCCATTTAGCTTCTCACGCCCTTAAAAGTATGCTATGAAATATTATTTTTTTGCCTTTTTCTAGTCAGATTAACTTAGTCTATTCACATAGATCGTTTATCTTTGACGCCTGCATTGGCTGCCCTATATAACAGTTAAGGCGTATATAGCTTAGTATATATATTTTATAAATCTAGCGTATACTTTAGACTAAGCCTATATATGAAGACTCAGCTTAAATATAAATTTATTTCTATATGCTAGTCAGGTACTGCTCTCTTTCGATAACTTCATGTATCTATCGATTAAAATCGATCATGTTTCGTTTAAGCATAGCTGAGCTGCTAAAGCAGCTACATATTTGTTGAATACATGACTGAAACTTACTTCAAATTGCAGTCTAATATACCTGACATGAGGATCTCAAGTAGAACGCTTAAGCACATTAGCTCTGCTGCAATTTCGCTTAAGTTTTGGAAAGAATCTTTAGCTAAAATCGCTTAATATAGCGCTGTTCATTAAATTAGTAGCGCATCAAACTTAAACCGAATGCCTGAAAAATAAAACAGATGCTAACTTTTTGCTTAGAAAGAAATGCAAAGAAGAAGAAGTGCCACCAAATGGCGTTACTTGCGGTCAAAATTCAGAGGGAATCTGTTCATAGAAATAGTAGTGCAGCATGTGCAGCTATTTATAGCCTCATCATAAGAAATGTCATTAAAAGCAGACTTGAATGCTTTATAATTCCTTCAATGTTAGTTCTTTTGAAATGTCCTTTAACTTATCTTTAACCCCAATTCCATCTTCCATCTTCCATCTTCCATCTTCCATTTTCCATCTTCCATCTTCCATCTTCCATCTTCCATCTTCCATCTTCCATCTTCCATCTTCCATCTTCCATCTTCCATCTTCCATCTTCCATCTTCCATCTTCCATCTTCCATCTTCCATCTTCCATCTTCCATCTTCCATCTTCCATCTTCCATCTTCCATTTTCCATTTTCCATTTTCCATTTTCCATCTTCCATCTTCCATCTTCCATCTTCCATCTTCCATCTTCCATCTTCCATCTTCCATCTTCCATCTTCCATCTTCCATCTTCCATCTTTCCTTAGTTAAGAATGCATAACTTTTAGCAATTCGCAACTAATTCTCAGCCTTCATTTATCATTGAAATATTTGCTGGCCGTCAAAGTTGGCTAAGAATGCAATCGCATTTCAATCAAGCAGAGAGAAACCTTGGCCCCAGCCATATTTACCTACTGCTGTGCCTCACTGTGGACTAACCCTTATCGCCTATACTTTGCCTTTTCCCGTCTCTGTTTCCATTCCATTGACAGGACGATTTTGGGGTATATTGATTGGGTTCAAATTGACGTGACGGGAAATATATGAGTTCCATATAGATTCTTGATTAGCGGCAACTGTTGAGACGATCGAGACGCAACTCGCAACTCTCCTATGAGGTTTTTTTTCAAGTATAGAAATCGATAAATATCGATATCAAAATTAGCTTATTTGGGCCTATTTCTCAGCTGTTCAATGCTATTCTCACTTGGCCTAGTCTTAAGCATATGGAGATATATATTGCTGAGCTCTTGGCCAACAGAAATGGATGTAATCCCAGCTGGAAAGCTTTGCTATATTCAGCAGCACTTCATAGAGCAGCTCAGGGTATCTTCTAGTCGTGCACACCCGAGTTGAAGCAGCTTTGTTTTGTTTGCCCCCTGCTGCTAGTTGCGTAACTTAAGCTGCCTTTTGCCTCGTCGTTTGTTTATTATAATAAAGTTTTCTTTCACTTTTGTGGAGATGTTTGCGCCTTGCTTTGCCTGTGGGTCGAGCCTTTGTTTTGCTTCGACGCCCATTCCGGGTCTAAATGCAATTATTTCGAATGGAATTGCAACTGTTCAATAGAGTTTTAGCAAAATTGCATTTTGCCATCGAAATTACTGCAAATTTCATTTTGTGCAGCTACTCGAAAGCTCTCTTTGTGGAGCATTCAAATTGGGTTTCCTTTGTTTTAGCAAAGAGTTTCAAATAAACAAAATATAAGGTGGGCATTTGTCTCTTACGAAGTGTTTTCGTTGCAGTTATTGGGTTGAGTTTTTAGTGTATTGGGATGCTAGTCAAAGCTGTTATTTGGGTCAACTTTTTCGACTTGCCTCTTGAAGACCTGCCTCAGCTGCCTCTAGACGTGGTTGTTTCTAGAGTAGAATGTTTTCTCAAGGCAACATTGAAGACAGTTTGAAATATTCTTTATCTATCATCATCATTTCCCCTGTGTCTCTGTCTTTCTCTCTCTTTATCTATCTCTCTCTGTTTTTCGCTGTCTCTTTCTTTCTCTGTCTATCTCTTTCTCTCCCTCCGTCTTACCTCTCTCCCGCTTACCTCTCACTCTCCTTTTCTTACCTCTCTTACCACTATCTCTCTCTATATTTCCCTCTCTCTCTTTCTTTATATCTCTCTTATCTCTCCTCCTTCTCTTACCCCTCTCTCTCTGTTCCTGTCATTTACTTATCTTTCTCTTTCTTTGTCAATTTCCTTCTTTCTCTCTCTCTCTCTCTGTCTCGCTCCCTGGTACCTCTCCTTCATCTTCATCTTCATCTTCATCTTCATCTGCATCTGCATCTTCATTTTCTTCTCCTTCTCTCTCTCTATTTCCCCTCTCTCTCTCTATATCTACATCTCCATAGCCCTGTCCTTGACTTGCGATCACATCCTTCAGCCTTAGACCCCTCCGCAAAGG